AATAAATATAAAAACCTGTACATTAATGTCCCATTCATTTATGTCACACAAATCTCGTCCCTCGCATCCCACCCTCTACCACATTAATACACACACAAACAATATATATATTGTGTGCAGACTGGGGCCAGCAAGGATTACATGTCATGCTAACTGCCCTGCTCCAGTTGTGTATGATTCTAAAACAAATATGTTTATTCTTAAGATAACAAAGAGAGCACAGAGTGCCAAAGGACAACCGCTTATAAGTCAATTCACAGCAGTAACTCATTTGCAATTTTTTTTAAGCAGAAGGATGTATTTGCATTTTATTGGTGTTGCAATGAAGGCCAACAGCACATGCCTTAACGTTTGTGTTAACAGCAGGAAGCGCATATTTGAAATGACACGATACATTTAAAATACTTGATATTTCAGCTGTAAGATTGTATTTATCAAATCGTAATCGGACAATTTTTGTGGGGAATGTTTCGCCTTTCTTTTTCATCTATATGGCAACACCACAAATAAGTACTGGCATATACAAATTTGACATTGAGACATTGTTTGCCTGAACCTAACCAGAAAAGATCAAAATGTAACTTGTTGCTCCTTCTCACTTATATAGACAGAACCTCAGCCCCAGATCTACTGCATTCTGGGCAAAAGGATACAGCCAAAAGGTAGCACAGCATATGTCTGCATCGCCTGCTTTGTGACGTTTCAATGGCAGTGTTTCCCCTAGGTTTACAGCTTTGGGGGGATGAGGGGTGCGGGCAGACGGACGCCCACACAAACACTTTAAGGAATCTTGGTGTTCATGCGTTACTTTTAATGACAGCTGTCCTTTTCTATCGGAAAGGTATCCTTAAATTACTTATTTCCCTGATTTCCGACTCAATCCACTATCCTATCCCTACAATAAAGGCACAAAAAGCCCAAAAATAAATCTTTAGAAAATATATATATATATACAGCTCTGGAAAAAATTAAGAGACCACAGCAAAATTATCTGTTTCTCTGATTTTACTATTTGTAGGTATGTGGTTGAGTAAAATTAACAATTTTTTTTATTCTATCAACTACTGACAACATTTCTCCCAAATTCCAAATAAAATATTGTCATTTAGAGCATTTATTTGCAGAAAATGCCAAATGGTCAAAATAACAAAAAAGATGCAGTGTTTTCAGACCTTAAATAATGCCAAGAAAACAAGTTCATATTCATTTATACACAACACAATACTAATGTTTTAACTTTGGAAGAGTTCAGAAATCAATATTTGGAGGAATAACCCTGATTGTCAATCACAGCTTTCATGCGTATTGGCATGCTCTGCAGCAGTCTTTCAAATTGCTGTTGGGTGACTTTATGCCCCACCTGGTGCAAAAATTCAAGCAGCTCAGCTTTGTTTGATGGCTTGTGACCATCCATCTTCCTCTTGATCACATCCCAGAGGTTTTTAATGGGGTTCAGGTCTGGAGATTGGGCTGGCCATGACAGGTCTGGTGGGCCTTCATCCACACCTTGATTGACTTAGCTGTGTGGCATGGAACATTGTCCTGCTGGAAAAAACAATCCTCAGAGTTGGGGAACATTGTCAGAGCAGAAGGAAGCAAGTTTTCTTTCAGGACAACCTTGTACGTGGCTTGATTCATGCACCCTACGCATCTGCCCAATTCCAGCCCTGCTGAAGCAATCCCAGTCCGTCACCGATCCTCCACCAAATTTCACAGTGGGTGCGATACACTGTGGCTTGTAGGTCTCTGTCTAACCATTACACGACCAGTTGTTGGGCAGAGCTGAAAATTGGACTCATCAGAGAAGATGACCTTACTCCAGTCCTCTATGGTCCAATCATTATGGTCTTTTGCCAAACCTCAGCCTGGCTCTTCTTTGCTTCTCATTGATGAAGGGCTTTTTTCTAGCTTTACACGACTTGAGCCCTGCCCCTAGGAGCCTGTTTCTAAATGTTCTCACCATGCACCTCACCCCAGCTGCCATTTGCCATTTTTTTGTAGGTCACTTGATGTCATCCTACTGTTTCTAAGTGACATTCAAATGAGTTGACGGTCATTCCGTTCAGTGGAGAGTTATTTTCGCCCTATGCCGGTCTGTAGCTTTCTTGTGCCCAATGTCTGCTGCTTGACCTTGTTCTTATGAACAACCGTCTTGGAAATTTTAAGGATGGAAGCAAGCTGATGCTCACTGTAACCCTCTGCCAGTAAAACCAGAATTTAACCCTTCTTTTCCTCACTCAAAACTTTTATTTTCAACTCTTTTGGAACGATCAATAGTTTTTTACTCCAATTACTTCTGAGGTACTACTAGCACTGTTTTTGCCATCCAGCTGGTCCTATTGCAAGAGGATACTGATGACCACAGCAGTGGTTTTTATACTTTTCCTCTTTTAATAAGATTTAAAATCAGGTGATCACCTAAACAGTACCTCATTAAGTAGAATGAGGTGTGCTTGTGTTGGAATTCAACAGACACTGGAATGGAATGGCTTTCATACATGTAGAAATGCTGATTTCAGAAAAAATTGCAGTGGTCTCTTAATTTTTTCCAGAGCTGTATATATATATATTTATTTTATTTTATTTTTATATTAGGGCGGGCCGCCCCCCTAATATAATGGTAGGGGAAACACTGAATGGTATGCATCGAATGTCTGTTACGCTTAGCTTTGTCAGGCAGATTGAAAATGTGACATATGTATACAGTATGCTTAACCCTAAAAACAATACTGTTACAGCTGTGGTAACTATGACAGGCCACACCCACAGTAGTAGGCTGGTCAAGATAAACCTAATTTGCTTTTGTTAAACAGAATTTTTTAGGGGGGGTTAGGGTTTTGCATTGGTCACATGAATCCTACTGCAGAACACATAAACACTTGCTCAGATGAATAGGACTGATTCATTTGGCTGCCTCATTGGTGTCTGTGTAGTTCCCTCTGGAGATGGAGATGAACACCATGAACAGAAAATACTGTCTGTCAAAAAGCACGAGACCACGTCCCCTAACACTTCTCACTGTAACACAACTCACTGTGCTTTCTGAGGCTACACAATCAGATCATTGTGTTAGAGTGTTGAATAGGGCCGGAGAGAGACTGTGAATCCTCTTACATCTTTGCTGACATTGTGAGGAAGAGAAGGAGGAGAAAAAGAGAGAGGTCACAGTCTTTTCATGGCTTCATACTCCTATTTGCATGCTCCTCTATTTAGCACTTCCCTCCCGCCCTTTCTATACTAAGGCTACATGACTAGGCTACATGGCTTTTTTGCTGAATGCTTCTCTCCTGTTTCTCCCTCTACTTGTTCATGCACACAAAGACCCTAAAACAAATGTTGGTCTCTTCAATAGTATACTGTTGTGCCTTAGCATATTACGTTAAGCACAGTGCCTCTGTCAGCACACTGACAGCTTTCGGTCTGATCTTATTATGTACTGTATGCAGCAGCCGTCAAGCTTCTTGTCGACCTTTGATGATCTCAGACAGCGGCGCTGTCATTATTGAGAGCATGCAGGTTCTAAGATGGCTGAACTGTACAGTAGGTCAGTGTACAGGTGATATGCTGTGCTAGTGACAAATGTGTCCCTATCCCCCTTTCCCATACATTGTATGTGCAGACCCACACATACGCAAAGGTTTTTCTGTAGCACAATCTGTTCTTACTGATCAGTTGTTGGGTGGCATCGCATGCTCAGAAATCTCCCAGTCTGTCTCTGTTTCCTCTTCTCATCCAGGGTGAAGAAGTAGCACTAGTCACCAGTTACATGCCGCCATATCTTTGGCAATGGCAGATGAATTAGCCATCTGTTAGGGCAATCTAATATTCTTTTATATCATCATAATTTTTTGTTTTCTTTAGCATATATAGATAGCTATTGATAGAGATTGGAGATAGCTGGTTAATGTTTAAATCTGCCAGCATTTTAGCGTTCTAGAACAGTAACTGTATGCTATTTAACGTCAGCTTTTCAAGCCGAACAGCTTATCTTAGTCAAGTATGTCCATGGTTTATACATCCTGTGCTGAACTGAATAGGCGGTGACCTATTCAGATATGTTGAGGTAGCATGTTTTGTTTCCATAGCTCACACTTAAATAATTAACTTACTGTTAGACTGATACATTGAAACCATTGTCTCTGTGACTTCGTTTGACTTTGCAAAGAACAAACATGATGAAATTCACATAACAGTCCCTAGATGGCAATTATCGTCTACTTTGACTTGATAAAATAAATATTGCCCTTTAATTTAAGGAATTACAGAGTAGAAGGAAGTCAGAAATATCCCGAAATATAGAAAGACTTACCGTGAAAAAAGGTTTTAATACCTATTTTTTCATCTACAAGGGTTAGGAAGTTGTGTAGGTACAATATGATGTATTCAGTCTTACTGTTTGCTCTGATTTGTGTTCATGTTTGATTAAATTCAAGATATGCAACCTTTGGGTTCCAGACTACTCTCCTCAGTCCACTGCCCTACAGAAGGAGAGGGATATTTCTTTCTCATTCAAAGGTTTAGAAAGTAATGAACCATAAGAAGTGGCAGCAATGCAGGGGAGCACTGTATACAGATATGAGCGGCATATTAATTATATCAGCATGAAAAGTTGGTCAGGTTGAAAATTCATAGCTTAACACCACCAACATCAGAGCAAACTGTCTCTGCCTTGTCCTGTAAATAGACCGGTTCTCAGTCAGAAATGAATGGAGAGCATAATGCACTAACATACTCCATAGAAGTAGTAAAATTCTTCACCAGTACATAATGGTATCCAAATTTTACCTACATTTCACAATGTCTTACAAGGTCTTAAAGTCTCCTATGTTTAGGATGTGATGACAATGAAACATCACAAACAAGTAAGAATAATTTTTACGTCTGAGGGTCAGTCCCAAATGTGTGATGATTTGTTAAAAAGCAAATGAGTGGCCCTTTCAAAAATTAATGAATTCTTCTCTCCCCCCCCCCCCCCCATCTTTCACCGCATTACCCTCCAGGTCTGCGAGTTGATCAGGAATTGGTAACCTCTTACCCACAAGTGGTGGTAGTACGGGTTCCCACACCCTGGGTGCAGTCAGACAGTGACATCACTGTGCTTCGCCACCTTGAAAAGATGGGCTGTCGGCTGATCAACAGACCCCAGGCCATACTCAACTGTGTCAACAAGTTCTGGACCTTCCAGGAGCTGGCCGGCCACGGCGTGCCTCTTCCTGACACTTTCTCTTACGGTAAATAAATACTTAACAGTTCTCATTTTAAATAATCAGTAAGTCAGTATTTATGTGAACTGGCTTTTTTATGCACACAAAATACATTTTCACATTCTGGCTGTTCAAGTCCTGCTGCATTAAATTGTAACCTCGAAAGGAACAGACAAACTGGCATCTCCTCCTGCTTTGTTGTTGACATATCCGAAGTCCCGTCCCTTCTTGGTTTTGAATTTGTTTGTGAGGGAGAAGTGACATCGACGAGTGTGGTATTCTAAAAGATGAAATTCTGTCAACTGGGTAGATGTAAGCGCAGCGACAAAAAAACAGCGGACACAAGGGCGTTTTGAAAACAGGCGCTGCCAGCGCAAGAATGCTGTCTGAGGACACAGGCCCCTAGTTAACACATGTTTTTTTATATAGACTGCTACTGAGAACATATGGAATAACTGGTTTACATTTCAATCACCAAATCACATATATTTAATCATTTCATTTTCACCAAGGCAAGGATGTATCTTGCAGCAAAAGCCAAACTGCTCTTAATTTGTTGTAGTGTCTTGGTTTGATTAGACAATACAAGTGCTGACAATCAACATAAAACCTATCCATCTGTTTTTAGCAGAAAGCAGAGAGAAAAAGATTCAGATAGAGGGAAAGGAGAAAAGAAAGCGGCGAGGGTTTTTGGCCTACATTCCATTCGTCTCTCTGCACAGTAGGCCAGGCGATGCATGCAGAGCGGCTGTAGAGCTTATGTAACAAACCCCCCACCCCCTCCCCATGGCCCCGCCCTCTGCCCCCTCATGTTTTTTGAAAATAAAGGATACCATTCCCTCCCTCCTGACCTCTACAGCAGCTTGTGACGTGGTCAGACCCACATTTGCTGTTCCCTCCTTGCCTTCCTTAGCTCCCTCTTTTTTTTCTCCCTCTCAGTGAAAACACATGTGAATCTCGGTGTCTGAAAAAAGCCATGTGACAGGCCAGTTCACATCTGTTCCCTTGACTGAATACCATAAAGGACCATGCAGGGAGACACAGAGAAAGAGAGACACGGGGAAGTGCAGTGGAGACAGAATATGGAAAGATGTTATTTTCTCCTCCATTTTTCAATATTTCTGACACATTTTTCAATCACTTCTGAAGCCAAGGCAGAGAACCTGAAGCACATTTGTGGCTAAAAGCTGCCAGTCTGAATCCTTGTCAGATATGATCAGCTTCTTTGCATTAATGCATAACTCAGCGGCTGCTCTTTTTCAATCCAATGACTTAGAAACGCAAGATATGTAAAAGCCTGGGACAACACTCCTACAGCCTTGCTGTTTTGAGTCACTTCAGTTGCCAAGGCAACAGGCTACAGTTCCTCCCCCATGCTGCTCAGTCGTCTGTAATGTGTGAACCATGCCATCAAAACAAGGAAAATTTTTAAACATTTGGGTACTTGTTTGTGTGTTTGATTTGTGTTTGTGTGCATTGGCATTTTCCAGGAGGACATGACAACTTCCGTAAAATGATTGACGAGGCGGAGCCGCTAGGCTACCCTGTGGTGGTGAAGAATGCACGTGGCCACAGAGGTAAGACCAACCGTGTAGATATTGCTGTCACAAGCCTACACCCCCACTCAAAGACATGTACACTGCACTCACCTAATACCAGCCTGTTCCACCCTTATATAAAATTCACTGACAGAGTGTTAAATAATTAGGTCTGTGGTGATGTAGGAAACACAAAACAAAGCAGATGTGTGTCTACTATGCTAATAATTTTGCTTTTAGTTTACAAATTGTTTACCCATTGTGCCTAAATTGACAGGGGGGTGTGTGGAACTTTTAGCTTTGTCAATAATGCTTCCAAGAGATAAGTCCCAGTGTCTAAGCACCCATTAGCCTATCCATAGTTATTGATACTTGCCTGGCTTGGCATTGTGTTAAAAAAGAAACTAAGAAATAACAATAGACCTTGACTAGTGGTGTTCTTCAACATGTATTGTTAGGGAAAGCAACCGTTGGTCAAAGACTTGACCTTTTTTTTTATGGAGTGCATCTCAGGGGCTACTTTCCTTCCCTCTGTGATTGAACACTAACATTGGCCAAAGTCCAGCATGCATTCCTTCTAATGACCATACAAAAGGCATGTGAACAAATACATAGGCCATTACAAAGTATCCTGAATCACTGGTAGTAGGGGGTCTGTACTAATTGTCACATTGTTATTTCATGCACTCTTTCAAGGGAATTGTCCAAATTAAGTTTCAATACCATACAAAGTAATTAAGGCCATGTGTCCCAATGAGTCACAGGACAAATTTGGCATTTATTTTCTTGTTTTTTTTTTACTTGTAAAGTGCTACATGGTACTGGCTACAGTCCATTTTCATCAAGTAAAAGATGTTACCAAAGGATTGCCCTGTCATCTTACACTGTTCATCACTTAGAGTAAGAGCACGTTTTTTTCCCTGTGAAGGAACAGGATCATCTAACTTGACAACTAGGAGAGGCAGCTAAGACGTGCTAATTAAAACAGGCGTCTTCTATGCTCTGTGAGAAGCAGTTCTGTGGCTGCTAAGAGGAGTGTCCTTTTCATTATATGGGAATTGGGAACTGACACGGGGCTTGGTCAGCAAAGGCAGCTACTTGTCAGGACACTGTTAAAGTTATCCAACCGCTTGAGCAATTTCACACATTTCAAAAATATGTTTTTAATGTAAGAAAAAGAGGTCTATTTAACCTGAAACTTGCTATTTTTTACTCCCTTTCTTCATCTAACGTCTCCTTTCCTCCCTCTCCAAGGCAAGGCTGTGTTCCTGGCCCGGGACAAACACCACCTGACAGACCTGTGCCACTTGATCCGCCATGACACCCCTTACCTGTTTCAGGAGTATGTCAAAGAGTCACATGGCCGGGATGTGCGGGTTGTTCTGGTTGGTGGCCGCGTCATAGGCTCAATGCTACGCTGCTCCACTGATGGCCGTATGCAGAGCAACTGCTCTCTCGGTAGGAAGACATACACTAAATAACTGAATTATGGATACTATTACATAATAGACACATTACACTTTACTAAGTAACCAGTTACTCCCAACCCTGCTTGTATGAATGATACTCCACAGGTTGAAGAGGCATTAGTTGAGTATTATTAGGAGCAGAAAATAGTTATTTTGCTAATATTTATCCATGCCCAGCGTCTTTTTTTTTACAAGCGCTCTGCCATTTTTGTGCAGCCGTTCAACTTTTCAGAAAGGCGCTGTTGATATCAAGGGCGCTCTTTTCAAATTGTATGATATTCCCCATATTTAGCCCCCTATGGATCATATCTTGTACTCACATCCTCTGTGCTCTGTGTCTCCTGGGGTAAAAAACAATCTCAAATATAAAACATGCAGTAAAAAATAATGGAGCCGTGTCGGTCATACAGTGGCCACTGTCAACAAACTGTTGTCATAGAGACAGGACTTACGTTCAGCGCTTTTCTTCTCGGAGCACAAACGCTTCCGGGCGCACATCTGGCGCTTCTCTGCCAACAAAAAACGCTATATTGTTAAAGCGAGTACTAGAGTAATCATTATGTAGTTCTTTTTTTTTTTTGCAATCTAAAACTTCTGTGATTCACATTGGAATCAATGCGGGCAGCGTTATGCTGTTGTCGATTGTGCTCAGAGGTTAATTTGTAAATCCTGAGGTTCCGGAGCAGAGAGAGTAGCCATACTGTTATGGCGGGGCAGGAGGAGACAAAAAAAAGTCACGCAGTACATAAAAATTCACAGAGCCTCTGGCACTGTGTTCACAATGATCGCTCAAAATCAACTATAGAACTGCGTAGAATCACCGTGTACTAGGGGTGCAAACGAGTACTTGGGTACCCAGTACATTAAATCATAATCGGTTACAAAAATCTTTTAATCAATAATCGTTTTGTAGTCCACATTTTTGTAAATGTTTCTTGTTGCGTTGTGGGTTCTAGGATAGGCCTAATTCAAAACAGAAAAGATGGAGCACACACAAAGAGAAATAAAACTTAAGGTGCACAAGCGCAAAAAGAAAATAGATGACAAACAAAGCGCTGATAAAGGCTCTGTGCTGAAACGCGTCCGTTGTTGAACCGTACGCTGCTACCCTAACAAAAATATCTCTTTAATTAACCCCCCTATGAATTCACAATGAACAAAAAGTCCCAAACAAACAAAATATGCAATATGATCTACGAAAGTTCAGTTCAAATTGTCTTTTTAGTCCACAGAAAAAGAAGGACTTTCACTTTGCAATTACCGCTTTACTCTGCCAAACCAATGGGACAGGACAGAACAGCATAACTAGATGTTTTCCTTTATTTTGGAATTTTAGATGATTATTCTTTTAATAACTACAAAATGGAACAACCTTATAGGGAGAAATAGCTCATAGCGGACGGACGAGCGAGATGGAGCGAGTGTGTCATTACGCACAGAGGAGAAAGATGAAACAGACAGATACTTAAATTGTTCACCTGTTCTATTGTAACTTCATTTACCAGAGTAAAGTGTGCTCTACACTGCAGACTGTAGTCTTTCCTAACTGAATGTTGCTGTCAAAACAGCTTCAGCGTGCGATGAGTGCATTGATGTCTGCACGTCCGCTCGCCACACTCACTGCTCTAATTATAATGAAGTGTTAAAACAGTCATAAGATACGTCTGTGTGAATATTTATTTGAGGTTTGCTGTCTGTTGAAGTAAGAAATTTCATATTTGAACGTTAATACAAAGGCCTCTTACTAACAATTATTAAAATCCCAAAGATTAAAATTAATCAATAGTTACAGTCGGCATCGTGTCATAGTTGGGGGCGGGGCCTCCTGTGGGGGAAAAGAATCACAGAAAAAAAAAGAACTAAAAAACGATTACTCAAGTACTCGCTTTAACAATGGGAAGAGTAATCGATTAGAGAAAATTTTGCATTTCTGCACCCCTACCGTGTACGTCTGTGTCCCCTGCGCTCTCTCTGAATGACATGCTGACTATTTTCAGTTGAGAAAAGTCATTCTATATGATGACATCATAACAGGTGCTGCGCAAATTCCTATTTAATTAATTAATTTGAATCTTCGGGACTTTCAATTACTGTTAGTAATACTTGGTATTAACATTTCATTATTAGAACATTTATTACTTCAACAGCCTCAAACCTCACAATGAAAATTCACACACACATGACCGTTTTTTTTGTTTATAATAAACAGTGAGGGTGACAAGCGGGCGCAAAGACATCAATGTGCACTCATCGCACGTTGCAGCTGTTTTGAAAGCATCATTCTGTTAACAGAGACTACAGGCTGCAGTGTAGATCACACTCTTCTCTGGTACACTAAGTTACAATAGAACAGGTGATTGATTTGAGTGTCTGTTTCATGTCTCTGTGTGTAATGGCACACTCGCTCGTCCTTCATGAGCTCTTTCTAATAGTTAGACAGTAAACACATCTTACTTTTTTTTTTAACTCTTAAGTTTAAAAAAAGTTTACTCAGTCAAGCAACTAATTAATCCATTAATTCCACGAATGTTTTGTCACTCACTGTCACCTGTGTGGTAGCTGTGGGGGGGAAGGGGAGGGGTGGCGGATAACCAGGGGAACAGGGTTGTAGACGGATCCTGCATGCAGCAGGACCAACTATTGTGGTTTACTTGCTTTATTGGAGAAATCTGGGAGAGAAAAAGGAGTTCATAAAGGGAGCAAGGCAAGCCTCCCCAAAAATTGGCAGTGGTGCATGCTTCTAAAATGTACAGCAAAAACGTATCTCAACTTGTTAATCCAATTTATTAGACTGACAACAGAATAAAAGAAGGTGGTTGTAATTACGGTAAGTGACTAGTCCACAGTTTGGCCAACATCCGTACTTATGGAAAGCCCTGCATTAAATAAGTTGTATTATGTAAATACAGATAGGAGCACCATTTGTGCATGAGCTTAACAGTACTTTCAGTAGTGACCAATCACGTACTAGTACCAAACAATTCTGATTCTCTGTGCCCATTCCTAGCTCTGACACGAAAAATATGTCTGCTGGATTGCAGTCAGTTGATTTCTTCAGGGTGACTTCAGTACAAGCTTGTTCATTTAACAGTTTCCCCAAGCTTGTTGTTTGCTTTTTTAAGATATTTTTAATTACCTTATAACCATTATATATTTGGTCATAGTTAACATATACCCTTGTGCTATGTTATTTGTAAAGATCTTATTTCATAATGTTTCCCTTTTTGTCTGAAACATTTTGGTTTGCAGAAAATGCCCTTATAACCAGAACAGACTATAACCAGAACAGTGGGATATTTTACCATACAACAAGAAATAAAACTGTAAATGTAACGCATTACTGTAACTTCACTAATATTTGCAGTAACTAGTCGTGTGTCTAGTTACTTTTCAAATTCAGTATCCTTTTCCAATTACAGAAATCTAAAAGCACTCGTTACATGTATCTTTAAATGAAATAACCAACAACTACGATTGAGATTAAGATCAAGGTTTATTGCCATTAGTTTGGCTAATTTCAGTACTGTATCATCATGGGAGAAAGAAAGTTGCATGCAAACACAGGGGGGTTAGTTTTGTTTCAGTGTACTCATTGAAACTAAACTATAGCTTTTAAACACTGCAGGTGATCTAAATCCCTGCTGTGCCTGTGCCTGACCAATCAGAGATATTCAGCAGGGGCTGCAATCCCTGGCCTCCAAAGTACCTGGACCTTTAGAAAGTACTACCCCCCTAGCAAGGTCTTTTTAAGGGGTAGATCTCTTTTACCCCAAAACAAAATTTAGACCCTGGTTCCTCTGGTGGAATTGCACAATAAGTCCTGTTAATAGCCATGCCAAAACAAAAACTTTTCTTCTGACTACTGCTCAAGTAGCATGATGAACTCGAGCGTAAGCAGCTCGGGGGTTTGGAGCTTTTGGTTAGGTTGGTCCCTAGTTCTGGGGGATAGTTCCACTGGTCGAAAAAGGGGCTTATGACGTCAGTCATCAGATTATTCTTTATGTAACAGATTTTGTGAATATTTGCACTGATTCTGTGATACTAAATATTGACACTAGCAAAATGCCCCAAAAATATTTCTATGATAGTACAATTTCTCGTTAGATATAATTACACTCTTGGACAGTCTAGATGGTGAAATGAATGACAGAATGTAGTAGGTATTAACCATTTTGATGTCTGTCTGGATTTTTAGGTGGAGTAGGTATGATGTGCCCACTGAGCGAGCAGGGCAAGCAGCTTGCCATAGAAGTGTCCAACATCCTCGGCATGGATGTGTGTGGCATTGACCTCCTGCAGCTCAATGATGGCTCATTTGTGGTTTGCGAGGCGAATGCCAATGTGGGCTTCATCGCCTTTGACCAAGCCTGTGGCATGGATGTGGCGGGCATCGTCGCAGACTTTGCCCTCTCAATGCTCCCCAGCCGCCTGACCCGTAAGATGTCCCTGCTGTCTGTTGTTTCGAGCACCAGCGAGACCAGTAGCGAGCACGAGGTGTGTTCTGTGCCCAGTGGTGGAGGCTCCCTACCTGAGGCCGTCTGCAACATGAGTGTGGGTTCTACTTCCAGCGAGAGTGACCCGGAGCTGACCGAGCCCTCCCAGTCCTCGCCCCGCCAGTCCACTGCCCCAACCTTGCCTAATCTCTCTGACCTTCCTGATCCAGCCTACAACTTCAACACCCTCCTCGCCAACGAGATCAAGTTATTGACTGAATGATATTATGCATCTTAATTACACACAAAACAACACAGATACACAACACATACACACTCCCTGTACGCATGATAACAAACATTCCTTTGAAAAACGCATATCAGTACAAACTTTTAAATCATAGGAAGTTAAATGGAAATCAAGAGCAGAGAAACACACAGCCACAGAGGTATAAACATAAACATTCCCCTACTTACTAATTAGAAATTAAAAGATCTGAGGCTGCTCCCCTGATTCTCCTCGCTTTGCATGTCTTTTTCGAAAACTGCAAACCACACCATCTAAACATAGCTTACACTTCAGCATGGTGCCAAGTGTTAGAATACACTAAATAAGAACACTGCCAAACAGCCTCGCTTTTAGGTGTGGGTGTGGGATTCCCATAAAGGCTACAACCTGCCATATTTTTACCCTTTTAACATGCATACATAATTTAAAAAAAACTAATGCATCCAGTAAAAAAGAGGTTTTCCTGCTGAGACTACAGCTACGTTTGGTGGTTGATGAGAGGCAAGATGAAGTGTTGCTGTTTTTTCTAGATAAAGTTGTTTGGATTGGAAAACAAAACACCCTTGCGCCAAGCACACTACACTGTCAGTTCCAATGTAGAAATTAAGTGCACCTGTCATGCCTGTCATATGTTGTGATCTCAATGAAACAGATTGTGAATTTGTGGGGCTACAACTTCACTAATAAAATGCACATTGGCTTGATTGAGCTGATTTGAAGTTGCTAGAGCTGATTTGAAGTTTCTAGAGCTTATTCACTGACAGTGAAAAGAGAATGATGTTGTGGTGCCATTCTTATTTTTTTATTTTTGTGCGTTAAAGGCTTTATATGCGATTTTTTTTTTTTTTGGTCCAGCAGATGTCGCCCTTGAGCACCATCATGAAACCAAAACAACTTGCGGTGCATTGTTGTGTTAGCATGCTAATGCTAGCGATCTTTATTATGCTCGTATCTTTGCCCGAAATGAGCGTGATCTAGAAACACAGTTAAGCAGTGAGTACAGTATGTTATTCTTCTTTTCTCTAGTCCCTCAGTTAAACAACTTTTATTTGCGAGGGGAGGAGTCAGCCGGCCGTCCCGACGATGTAAACAAACTGAAGATATAACTTGGAAAACATCACAGACAGTGGGACTCGGGTGTTATACCCATTGTAGACAGTCTTTACTCAGAGTTATTTTCAGAGGATATACTTGATTTCTATTATATTTAAGTATGAAAAATCGCATATAAAGCCTTTAATAAGAATATAAGAAAAAAAACAAATTCCAGCACCATAACACCTGAATATCATCCTGGATGCTAACACTGGTCTTAAACTGATTTGTTGTACACTGTGAATGAAGCAGGCTAATGTTAAATTAAGTAAAACTGCCCTTACATGAGCAAAAAAGTAGAAATAACAAATAGCTCTTATTTTCTTTCAGTCACAACTTGAAATATAAACTGTTTGAGTGCCATTATTTGATTTTATTTCTTTACATTCTTATATAGGTTGTCTGACTAGCCTTACCAGCAGCAGCAGTCTGCTGCTTTTTAAAAATTCACTCAATGTCTAGCACTTTATGATTAACAGATGCATTTTGTTTCTCGCTCAGATTACATTTAGGAAACTTGAGACAGAGTGTGAAAGCTGCGTCTACACTTGCGAACAAAATATACCTCAGAACAGTGACTTCTCACTGCCATATAGTGGAGCGGCTAAGTGCTTATTTTTGTCAGAATCTTTCAGATACTTGAAATTTCAAGATGGCCACCACCTTAGTGGAGCAGTTAGGCTTAAGAAATCATTTAGTTGGTGATACAAGCATGAAAATTGGTCTGAGCAGTCTCTAAGGGTTGCTTGACAAGAAAACACTCCTAGCCACAATTTATATTTTCAAAAAAAAGATAATTTTTCTCATTGAAATGTATTGGGTTTTTTCATTAAGGATGATTTGGTGTCATTTTATTTTATATGTTTTAGATCATGCTAAAGAACAACTTTTTAACGCATCAAAATACAGTTGTGTTGATTTGTTGATCATAGATTAGACAAGAGTGAATATCTGCACTACCAGGGCACACTGGTGATATATCACTGCTGTTAACCTCAGAGTGGGGTTCAATGTCAGCTAATTGAAAGTTAGTATCCCAAATGCTGTCTAATTGACCCCAAAACAGTTAGATAGCCGCACCTGAATTGACAGGTTGTGCCAGCGCGGGAGAGCCGAGCCAAGGTTAATGGGGTTTTAGTCAACCGGATGGTGTACAGATCGCACGGGATATAAATGGCATTGGATGAACGATTGGGCTAAGTGTAGGGTTAAGGCATGAACTTAGTTGTATCCCATACATCAAAGTGCTTGGTAAAAGGTGGTAAACGGATAAACCCTCGGCCTCTGCCTATGCATTTGCTGCAGACATGGCAGAAGCCATCATAACAGTTGAGAAAACTAACTGGGACAGATGTTTCATTTGTCAGCAGGACACCAAGGAAAAACTCATTCAGCCGAGTTTATTCAACAGAGAGCACGAGTGTTCTGGACTCCACTTCCACGTATTGCCGAGAGTTGTTGGGAGTTGACCAAATGTGGGTGCACCAAGGCATGTGGAAGGTGCAAGTGCATCAGATATGGACTCAGTTGCACATGCCTATGTAGTTGCCCCTGCTAGAACCTATTTGCATGTTTCTTTTGCCAGAGTTATTCCCCGTTGTCCTCTGTGTTTTCAGGTGTAGGCCTATGGCTCGGCTTCCCCTCGCCACATAGGTGCATCATATTTTACTTTGACACCAGCCTATCTAACAGTGAAGCACATTTTCAGTTTAGTTCCTTAGTATTGTTTGAGATACTTTCTGTTTGTCATGGTTCCGTGGCTGTGAGGAGGAGGGCTGTGTGTTGCCTCTGGATCTGTACTTATTGTCATTCAGTGGTAGCCATTGCTCAATTATTATTTTTGGAGCACTGTCCGTTCAGCACCACAACTGTGCTAATTTATTAATCTTATTTTTTGTTTTCCCACCCCTTAGTATGTATTTGACAAATTGAATGGTTGTTAGTTTAAAAAAAAAATAGAACCTCCCTTGTGACTGTTACCTGGAAAGGGGGGGTGGGTACCGTAGTGAACCCTGAGAGCTATGCCGGTGGGAGGCAACTCCTCACAGGTTTTACCAAACTGGACAGGTCATGGGTGAGGAGTCAGACAAAACACAGTCAAACAACCTCTCTTGACAGAGCCTTTTGAGGAACCCAATACATTTCTATGAGAAAATGTATCATTTAAAGATCCACATGGCGGGCGGCAGTCATCCTCATCTTGAAAAAGTAGCTGTGGGTAGCTTATTGTCAAGTGACCCACAGAGACTGCTCATGCCAATTTTCATGCTTGTATCACCAAATAAACCATTATATCACTTAACTGCTCCACTAAGGTGTCGGCCATCTTGAAAAATGACCGCCATCATGAAATTTCAAATGTCTCGGACAATTTTCTTGTCAAGTGACCCATGGAGACTGCTCATGCGAATTTTCACGCTTGTATCACAAATTGAAAGATTGTAGCACTTATCTGCTCCACTAATAGGATAGCTTAAGATATTCAAAAGTACAAAACATATCAGCCAGAATCCGTTGTTGTTCCCCAATGGCCCATGTTGTACCAGGTGTTCCTTCCCTTTATGTCCTAAGATTTAAAAGGGTAGTTGTGTGTAATTGTTTTTGTTTTTTTTACCTTTTTCTTTTGTAAATATTTAGGTAGCAGATGAGCTCCAGTGAATGCTAGTGTCCAGATGCTTAAACTGGACTGGCTGAAATAACTACCAACATAGAAATTTTACAAAGTTATTGGTGACAAACTTGTTTGTACAGAGCTGCAACATTGAAGGGTTGTATCTGCAATTTGGTGCTAATATTTCAGGATTTGTTTAGGAATTTTAGATTTTACTCTTTATTGTTTTAACCTAGTTTTTGATAATAAAAAAAACGAGTATCTTAACCCACAAAAACATGTTGGCATGATGTTCAAATAAAAAATGAAAACTCTATTTTTGCAGTCTCTTTGGATAGAATGTTACTTTTCTTTCCTTTGAAAAGAAAGGAAAAAAAATCCAGGGATTTAAATGGCCAAGAGCTTTTCGCTTATGGGTTTCCTGTTTATTACCTCGTATACCTTTCCATAAAACTATTAACACAAAGGAATGGTACACTGGGATACATTATTTCACTTGGAATAATTAACAGCTTTGAACAAAAGCAAACCCTAAAATGTTGTCATGTTGTGACATCCATGTATGTAGGCTCATAACTCCTCTGTTAAAAGCATCTCAGGGAAGCAGCCTGGATCTCACCCCTGACCCCAAAAGACACTACATATCCTACCAAACTAGACCTGTTAAAATAAACCACCCATATCCATATAGGTAGACAAAAAGACACACAAACAACAATGAAAAAAAGGTTGTCAACTACAGTATGAGGCTATTTGGTGTATACCATGGTTCACATGCACTTTTTTTCCTTGCTTGTTTTATATTGTTCCTTGTTTTATTCCTAATTTATGGTATTTAAAAAAGAAAAAGTGGTTTGAGTGCACTAATATTGTCTCAATAAACTGAAACCGCTGTAAAGCTTGATTTTATTTCCCTTTCTTGAGGGCCAGGTATACTGGAATCTAACAGTGATCACAGTGGTTCCACCAAGAAAATAACACCATTGACACCTTTGTGAAGTTGTCTGGTATCTTAATAATGAAAGTATCCGACGAACAAACTGTGAAATCTGCTGATGTCCTCTTTCCTGACATGTAAAGGCCGGTGGGCTTGATCAAGTCAAATCCCAACATGCTCCAGTTGTTGTTGTCCCCAATGTTTTTAAGTCTTTGTCTTTGTATTGAAGCCTGTGTTATTCACCATTTTGTACATCAGTGTAAATCAAAGCTCACATATCCTTACATACATTAAATAAGCCAGCCATAGAAAAGAGGGAGGTGCTCATTCTGTTTTACAGACCCTGTTATTTCAATTTGTCTATAATGAATCACTCATACAAAGCACATTTAGCCATTGCATGGTCATTTCAATGTGCCCTAACAACTGAAAATGCCTTTTCATTGTCTGGTTTCCTTTGGGAGCAGTAATATAAAGATCACTATCAAGCTCCCAGGTCAGGTGGTGTTCCTTTGCTTGGTCTTTATTAATCAGTGGCCATGATAAAGTAGATATCAGGCATGGAAGCTACTGAAAGAAATGGCTACTAAGTACTTAGGGAAAGACAAATGTGTTGAAACAGGAAATGGTCAAATGTGTATTGGCCTATGTAATGCATAGGAAGCCTAGAACAAACTGTAGGGACCTCTGGACTAGCCACTGTGTGCAAACACAACAGCACAATGTTAATATTTAAATCCAAACTGCTGCTAATGTATATTTGGCTCAAAAAATATAAAGGGAATATGAGGAAATCCAATGTTTGTGTTTTACTGCCTCTCAACACTTTAAAATGAATCTGAAAGCCAAAAACAAACATTTTGTTGTATAGTTCCATTCTAATAACACTAGTTGTGAGAAGTTTCTAAAAGTGATTCTTTGTTTTTGATATAATGAATAAATGTTTAATAATTGTACATAAAACGTAGGATTTCACAGCAATTTTCAGGTTCGTTTTATGTCTTGTGTTTCAAAGCAAACCTGAGGTTTGTGTAAAGGTTTACAATATTCTTTGATTTTCAGGAGGAAAATGCAGTGTTTATGCTTCAGGAGAAACAAATGCAGCCCCCGGTTATGACAGAAACATTTCAAACTTTGAATTCTATCTCCATATCAAACTGAATTAAAAGGAGGTTCAGGACTGAAGGTTATAAGATAAGCAAAAACATTGCTTAAAAGGTTGATTAAGAAATGCTTTTTCCATCATTCTGTTCTGTATCATTCTGACAGTGTTACAAACTGGATCCCAAAATAATGTCACTCAAACGTGCAAAAAGATGTAAATATATATCCCTCTTTTTTTTAGATGAAAATAAAGATGAGTCATTATTCAGACCAGTAAACGTCTTATTTGTTCACTCCTATCAAACATTAAGACTTCGATATTGTTTACTATGCTTTGACATACTTGAATAAGCAAACAAGTTTTATTATCCTCTATAACTACTTAGGACCAGATCTAGATTTACACTAAATGACAGCAAAAATATTAACTTTTATTTATCTTTTACTAATTTCCATACTTCTTGTACATTGAATCACATTAATGATTATGGAGTTGAACAAAAGTCCACAAGAAGCACACTCCATGAAGAGGGAAAGCCTGGTATGCTGTCTAGTCAGAACCAGGATGCGATTATGTCTGCAACCTCTGCACCAGCTGCAGCAGGGCCTGGATGGATTCCACCAGGTCATGGTTTGGTATCAGCTGGCAGGCCTGCAGGGCCATGTTACCAAATCCCAGTGCCTGGCACAGAAAAACAAACGGAAACACAGCAGCTGCAGCTGTTAGACTCTCCTGGGAGAATAAAGCTGACTTATATAATAATATCACTGTAATTGGATGTCACCCGGTAAGATTGCTTGTCCTTCTTTACCCCTCTGACAACTTGATTTGTTTGGCTGTTATGCGGTCCTCTAGTTTATAATAAAAAAGGGGCGGGTGATGGTTTGATACTGTTGACATAACTATGCACACTTTGGTGAAACTTGTCAATGTCAATGTGGAATTCATCGAAGAAACCTGTGGTTTACATGGACTAATCACTTTCTCGAGGACTACTGGAAATAGGCATTATGTATGTGTTCCTGAAGTGTCTGTTGGTTTAACAGTGTTTAATCAATCCACCTCTCTCACAGCCATTACAAGGCTGAATGCATTCATGTAGTTAATTTACACCTATGCTTTAAAACCTAATGTTTCCTCCATTCTTGCAACAAAACCTTATATGACGATATAAGAAAGGATGCTTCTACATTGTACTGCTTAAACAGAACGAAACACACACACACTGCTCTGCTTGGTAGACAGAACCTCTTAACCTCCAGCAGGTCTTCTGTCTTCTGTCCATATGGTTACTGTCTGCTAGAGTGAAGTTACTAGTGCTATACCATAATATGTCATTCAACCCATTGAACTTAGATCCTCTGCAAGTATTTTAGTCTCTGCACTTACCTGTCTAGTACTCAACTTCCTGTACAGGTAGTTATATGAAAACATTACCTAAGCCAATGCTGTCTCTTCCTTTCATCTGGCAAGCAGCTTAACTTAACTCAAATAACTTCTCGTAGTATCATGGAGACACTGGAAACAAAGATTAAAGTCAGAATGTCGGGACAGTCAAGTCTATTCCTGCTAATTTTAAACCTCATCTTTACAGCTTTACCAATTAGAGCTAATCCCATCTTGAGACTGCCCTCTCAAAGGGGATAATGTGGAACTGTGTCACTGTGTCAAGTAGAACTGTTAATGCCTGGCTGTCTTGTCAGGTTACTCACCTTCAGGGAGTCTCCTCCTAGGAACTCGAGCATAGCAAGGCAATGGGCCACTAGTGCAATCTGACCAGAATCGTTTCTGGAGTCATTCTGCCAAAACTCTAGTATTGTTCTTAAGGTCTCACCCACTTCAACTTGCTGGGATTTCCCTGATTGAAAACCATGGATAGAGACACAATAAGTGCTAAATACATTGTTCACCTTTACAAATGTATTTGTGCATTTAACAGAAGTTAACATAACATTAAGATCCGCCTGCATCTTCTGCAGTTTGTGTAAGCACCCGCCCAAACATCCACAATGCCCTGGAAATTGCACTGCTAACAGGCTTAGCATCATATGTAGGGCAGCAGCTGCGATAGAGGCTAGTGATGCGGATACTGCAGAGCCAGAGATGTGTCAGCACTGGTCTCTGGCTCTGTGTCGGCCCCAAGCATGCATGCATGTGTAAATCTGGGGTTTAGCTTTCGGATTGCACAGCAATACAGCTCAGCTAAATATGGAAACGCTGACCTAATTTTATCAGTGATACACCAATGGAACTCTGCTGTTCACCAGAAGCAGCAAGTGATAACTTGCTGATGTCATTTCCTATTATGCACTGAAATTAGATGGTTTGTTAATGTATGTTGGTATGTTCATAAGCAAGTGCATTTTTAATTTTTAATTGTGTTTTCCTATGGTTCTACATTCAATTTAAACTTTTCATATTTAATTTATCAGGACTCACCAAATAATGGCTCTGACCACATGCCTGGATTTTGGACATTTTGGACCTTGGTGTTGATGAGTTTGTTCAGGAGGCAGTGCAAAGTATGTGCCACCTAAAATCAGAGCAACAGAAGACACAGCATGAAAGACATAGACAAAACAGGATTAAGTTATATAATCACATTGTATGTTTTATTATACCTCAGAGTACAAGGAGCGCGCAATGGGTGTCTTCCCTTGTTTAGCAAAAACATCAGCCATGAGAACGTAGCCTCTACAGGTTATTGTGCTATCCAGACCATACTCTTCACTGGAGTAGTATATCTGAAAAGCAAGACGATAATCAGGAAAAAATATTGTACATCTCGAGATGTACCTCACACTTTGTTAATCTTCGTGAAATTTAGGAATATTTATATGCAATAAGACAAGTCCGTATGGCTAACTAACTGCATAAAAGATGTGGCCCTCATTTCCCTCCTCACGATGTCAATAGAGCTTGTGAAGTTATTGGACAGCTTACAATAATTAATGTAATGCAGCTATTGGTGACTGTACTACATTTTATACAGACATCATTTGCAAAGTTAACCACGGCTGCTTCCAGGTTTCCAGTCGCAACATGGAGGCGGCCCAGGCTCCTGTGCAGCTGGTGGTAGACTTCATGACCACATTCTGGGCTCTTCAACACTGCCCACTCTGCTTGGGACAGGAGCTCTGCCACCAGTTTTAGATTACCCATACCTAGAGATATAAGTGCAAATAAATACATGCACTAAGAAATAGAAACATTAAACATCTAGGAAGGAATAAGGCGGTAAATAAGCTGACAAAACTTCCTCCTGACCCATGTTAGCATCAGCCAGCAGCAGGTATACAGGAACCAGTTGGACAGTACTTGGACCATGGATGTCTATGGAAGCACACAGACAAAACTGAGCAGCAGGCAGAGCCTCTTTGTGTTTCCCCTCAGACAGTTTGCTCTGGGCCACTGACCGGCAGATCTCCATTAGCTCTGCCTTAGTTGAGAACCAAACACACAGTTCACATCAGGTGACGTTTATCCTACATGAATTCATCACACTTAGCTTCAAGGAATATTACTTAACAATTCACATGGCCCAAAGTGCTAAGGCATTTAAAAAGAAATGCAGTCTTGCAACTACAAATCTTAGAAGAAAATTAAAAAAGATTTAATGGCCATAGCGATACGGTTTTACAACTCAAGTATCTCTTTGCACTTTCCTATCAACTCAAAACAAGCTGTCTGCACTATTTCATGAATGTCCATATAACCAGTTCAACACCTCACCTTTTTAAGCTGTATTTCACTCTGGCCAGCCCTCTGGAGAGTCAGGGTACGAATGGGAACAAGCAAAGGACAGATTCTCTGGTGGATCCCTAACCAGTCAGCCTGCTGGTGCTCTGCATCACTGAGATATAAAGAGAGTTTAAAAAAAAGAAAGAAAAAAGATCGCAATTTAAAGCGTGTGTGAAGATTTTTTTGTCGATCTAGGCGCCCCTTTTGGACAAAACCTTTTCTGTCTTTGCTTATTCTGTGCTGTACATGTGCAGGTCATTAACAATGAACTCTTAACTCTTGTCTGCCACCTTGCACACAGTTGTTTCAGGCATTAGAAATTATTATAAAGAGATAATAAATCTTGTGGCTGACTCTCTCTGTCGCATTAGGTCATATAGAGATATCGATATTATTTCAGTCTTTTTCAAAACCAGCTAAAAACTCCTTACAGCAGCTTAAAGGTCTATTTTATAATCACAAACAAATGTTGTGGCTTTCTTAATATTTCTTTAAGATTCACTGTGTATAACACAAACACTAAATCTTCCCTTTGGGAAAAATATGGCTGGTGTTGGCTCAGAAATCAACTCTTTATCGAGAACATTTTTTACTGACATGAGATGAACATCAAACTGCAACCGACCGATATGACGAGAGTATTAACTATTAAATGTGTGTTAACTACAAAGATAATTTGGTATGAATCACAGTTCTTACATTTCCAAAAAAGAGCTTCTTTCAAGTTAGAAAATATCACAGTACACAGAGGTCATACTAAATTGCATGTTGTTACATAACTGTCTGGTCTGTAATTTTGCTCATCTGGCTCTTGTCTAAACTTCTGTGGAAACTCTCTTGGATTTCCTTTTTTTTTTACAGAGGAGCATGTTAGCTCGCTCCATTATGTTTGTGTTCTCTGGACCTGCAACGGAATAAGCAGTTGGCAGGAAATCTGGCCATGTCACTTCAACAGTAGCGCTGACACACACAAATCAAGGGGTCTTCTCAGGACAGCATGGCCACTGCTCTCTCTTATCATTTTCCTAAGCTTTCTTTGCCTGAAACTTCTCTAAATTCCTGAAAATGTTCCAACAAACATTTATTTGGATATAAAAGCATGAGTATATGACTCGAATACAAGTATATGATACAATTCAATAGACAATTTGCTATCAATGTAATAGCTGTATTTTAGCCAGTGACATAATAGTCGGACACAGACATAAAAAATGATACTGCTCTGACTAAGAACAAAATCTATAGTCAGGCCTTAACTGGCAACTGCATTTAATCTACTTTATTTGTTTGTTTTATCCCTTATATTTTATGGGCTTTGAAGATTAGCTGAGTAGGGAAGGCCAAAAATATTTATTTATGTCAAGAAAAGTTCCAGACTTGAAGTTCAGGAGAGGGAAGCTAGCAATATAAGTGGCTGTAATCTCCCTTTAAGAAAGTGGGTTAAGTGGCTCATCCATCCCTTTACATAAATCCCTACAGAGAGGGATGTCACCACATGCTCCTCTTCACTCCCAATACTGTGTCAATAAGGATTTCACAGAGCTCAGTCTTATAAACTGTCATTGAGTCTGCAGACACTGCCAGTATCTGCCGAAGGATAGTTGCTTCCATGAAAATGCTGATGTTGACCGACTAAAACGATTAAACAGACAATCAGTCACATGAGCAAAAAATAATTCGTGTTAATTTCATCTCCAGCTGCAATCCGCCCACTGACGACACAGTCACATGAACGCCCTTTATGCCGACGTGTTCTGTAACTGTTACTGTGAAGAACATGGCAAACACTGCCACCTAGCGTCCTCAGTAAGACATTGTTTAACTAAGCCAACATGAATTTTAACAAAAGCCACATTTTGTTGAATTTAGGGTTGCTATGCTTTCACGAATTAATCGTCTCACAGCCAATCAAAAATGTTAAGGTTGAAGACAAAACGACTAGCTAGGCTACTAATGCTGACTCATTCTCACCAGTAAAAGGTGACCCGACATCCAGTGCATTGCAGGTTTGCTGGTCTTTGACAAAGTTCACACAGTTTCTCCGTCGCTTTGGGTAAGGCAAGAGAAATAATCTTGGATGTTTTCCCAAAAACGTGTCGTTCCCCTTCCATTATTAAAAGTAAGCCCGTTTGCGATGGTTACACGTATACCAGGTAGCCTGTTACTTTCTAACACAAAACAAGCTGATAGCAATCGCCAGTTGTTGAAAGAAAACTACAAGTTTACCATTACCATGGCAACGACTTCAGCAGCTTCCGTGTCTAAATAAACGTAGTCATTTTTGATAAACAAACCAACTCTACAGGCCGGAATAGCGTAATTTACTTGGAAAACAAGTATTAAATTGATAGCCTGATTAAATGCACAATAATAATATCCTCTTTTACAACGTGGCAGCCTATCAAATAATCAATTTATTATTATCAAATAAGATTTAGGGTTACAACAAAACTTAAACATTTTGTGTTTCTTCGTGTTATATTGATTATTAAATCCAGTAGATACATCTAGCCTGATCAAAGTGTGTTTTAGGGACGATTGAAAAACGTTCAAAAACACCTTGGTGTTCTACCGTTGTTGAGCGGCTCTGGCTCAGTTTGATAAAGTCGTCGCCTCTCAACCGGAAGGTCGAGGGTTCGATCCCCATTTGAACAACATTTCTGTTGTGTCCTTGGGCAAGACACTTAACCCTGCATTGCTCCCGCTGCTTCAGTGTGAATGGATTAGTGTTGTACATACTCTCTGATGTATGTTGCTTTGGATAAAAGCATCTGCTAAGTGAATTATAGAATCTTACAGTATGTCTCAAAACAGTTTCCCTTGTGTGTTTTTGTCTTAATGTTTCATAGTTTAGTCTTCAGCGTTTCCTGTTTTTATTTTGTAGTTTCTTTTTGGTGTGTTTCTTTGTTCTAGTGGTTATGTTACATTCTTGACACTCAAGGGAAACAAGCAACACTAGGATGAATAACCACAAGGAAACTTAAACTTTGAAATAGACAAACACAAACGAATAAGGCCGAATCAAGACAATGATATTCTGCAGATGTATATTTAGATTCATGGTTTTCTACATTGATGTTTGTTTCGAAGTAAATTGAACCCAATCAATAAAAAATCCCATGAAGAGTTAATAAAGTTCTTACCCTGATTATCGCCAGTTCCTCTGAACAAAATCTTGCAGACTCACCACTCTACAGCATTGTGCCCCTCCAGGTGGTCCTCTCCTTTCTAGTCGGCCATTGCCACACCCCCTATATTTTTGCAGTCACTCCATCCATACTTTCAAGGGTGAACGCCCATTTAGCCTATATGAGCAGATATGAAACAAAGCTGCAAAATGTTTAAAGGTGCACTAGATTTGGTAGGGAAATTTGAAAGTTGGAGAAGTGAAACAATTCTATGCTATATTTTCTGAAGTAAATACACAAATTTTATTCTAAGGAAAAAATGGGTCCCTGGAACATTGTTTGGAAGCAAAAAAGTTACCCGGAGAGTTAAGGTTTCACTGTTGTGGGCCCACCACCATAACTGCTCGTGTAGCATTTTATCTTCAAAAATGGTTACTAGGACCAAATTTTCCTCTGAGGACAGTTTGTGTATGGAATAATGAACATATACCACATAATCTGTACACTTCTCCATATTTCACATTTCGCTACAAAAACTTCATAGTGCACCTTTAACAATAACACTGGAACATAGCCTATAAAACATCTGGGCAGGACACAACTTGGCTCATACGTTTTTTCATTGCATAGCATTACAAAAACTACAATTCAATCATTTTAAAGAATCAATTCAGGTAGCCTGCTTACAGGGGTTATGCCGAGAGACGAATGCCTGCTGTCATTTCTGGTGGCAGATCTGTGATGACAGTGTATCTGAAGCTTATATTTAATAAACGTTAAGTTTCCTCATTGTTGTAGGCTATAGACTTGGTAGAAGTACTATAATACTCTGCTAACAGTCTGTTTGACTCTGAAGTGTCTACAGGAAATAAGGGTGGATCCAAAATTTGGTAGCTTAGAAGATTGCATCTGCGAGTTGCTCGATTTCTCGGCATAACACCGGTCTGTGGGCCTATGTGTTAAAAACATAGACTGTTGGTTTAAAACTAAAATCACGACGAATTCCTGCAACGTGTAGGCTGAATGTAGGCCTAGACTGTTTCATTTCACAGCCAACGGGGTAAAAGCATGACTGTAAATAATTATTTTTACAGTCTATGGGCAAAAGACGTAGGCTACATGTTGTCTTGTTTAAAGCAATGGATTGGTGAGAACCTCGTATCAAAACATTCAATAAAGAGTACATGTCTCTCGTCCAAGATATCATCAGCTTTACTTATTTGCATTAGTCTACTATTACACCATATGCACACATAGACCAGCCTACTTGCTGACTGCCAAAGTGAAAAAAAAAAACTTTCTACATTTTGTTTTTGTCAATCATACAAAGTTTGTACAAAAGAACAATACTATTAATTTGTTTCTTATTTTTTTCCAAACTGAAACGAAAACCAATAGTTGTTTGGTGGTAACTTTGCTGATGGACTGTCCCCTTCTTGAATGGTACGGTCCGTTGCCTAGGTGCTAGAAGACCTTCCTGAATGGTACGGTCCGTTGCCTAGGTGCTAGAAGAAGCCAATTTTCTCCGCCACGCCTGTTCATAGCGCTTGGCTCTCTTGACGCCCTTTCCTTGTGAAAGGTGAGTAAAACTTTACCATCGATACATGCAAATAAGTAATGGTTTAAGCAGAAGTCCTAAAATTTGAAAATGAAAACCTCACGGCCTATATACCGGTTGCTGCCAAGACGCCACTGTAGGAAGCTAACAGCTAACAATAATGCTAGCGTTAGCTGAATGTGAGTTAGTTAGCTGTGTCACGGTAACTTCGGAACTTACTTTGTTTACTATCTTGGACTGCGGTCTGTTACAGTTTACAGTGTGGGTTATTACTATGGCACAAGTGGGGCAACAATTCTGAAAACGACCTGCATTTTTCTTACTATTCAGCATGCGTGACCAAAAGGAACGCAACAACTGATGTCCCACAAAAACATTTTTGCTCCTCCTCGTCAGACATTTTGGGGATAACCAGGACCCGAAAGTAATAACACAGCAATGAATAGGTATAGATTTGGTTCTTAATGCCACGGTTTAAAACGTTTAGCAGATGATACATTAATTGGTGTCCAGGTAAATTCTTCATAACATTGTTGCAGATTAAACAAAGCACATGTTTTGCAAAGTTTTGCATAGCCTCAGATGATGCAATTTTGCTGTAGTGTGCTTGTACCTTTCTCTAAACGTTGGCTGTAGGCAGACATATCCTCACATGTCTTTACAGCATTATTTCTAATGAATTATCTTTTGCAGGGGAACTTAAAGGCCAAGAGAAATCATGGAACATGTTCAACAATGGGAGTGATGGAGTGGGAAGACCTGCAGATCTTTGCAATGTTATTGCAAAATAATGCTCTATGGGATATCATGTAGGCTGAAATGCAGTTCTGAATAAGAACTTTCACATTGTGGAAAAATACATACTGCTTGATTCAACTTGATGTACGACCATGAATCATGAAGAGGTAACATATCTTTAATGTAACAGTTAAGTTGATCTTTAAGCACAACATGCCCGTGACACATTGCTACCCAGCTAGTGAAAATATGTTGTATGTATGGTGTAGTTAAAGTGCTGCACGGGGGGCATGTTCAGGTTACAGGCCCTGGCTACAACGTACAGTATTGAATTCAGCAACAGGTGTTTACTGTTGGCATGTGTGTTACACCAATGGATCAGTTTTCAGCAAGACTCACAACCCTGATGATGAACACTTTTGATAATGCAGTAGTTTGCAGGATCATTTTCTTTATTGTTGTCTCTGTTAGTGATTTAGAAGTACAAATGTTAAGCTGTCAATGTCACAGGTGTTGTCGTGTGTATTTATTGAAGGTCATTAAGTTGCATTTTTTTGTAATTGTTTCAGCTTTTATTTGAAGTTAACTTCAGTTGAATATAAATGTTGTTGTAACGAGCAAGCTTGTATGAAGCAGTTTGCCCTGCAAACCACAGTACTTTAAGCTTTTTCAAATCTTTGAGGTTTTAGATTTACATTACAGTTCAAAACTTAACTGATGAATATACTGTCTTTTCATAAAACATTCAGCTCTTTTCGCTGGGTTCCCAGGTGCAGACACGCCTTGATGGCGGCATCCCCTTGGGGACCAGTGCTGAGGAACGGCAGGGTCACCCCTGTCAAAAACTGCTTGACAGTGAGGCAAAGCTTCAGACAGCCACCCGGGAGCTGCAGACCTTGCGTACTCAGCAGGCCAAAGAGATGCTGGAGGTGACCAACTTTTTAAAAATGATTATACATTTTATTTTTATTTTATTGTATTTTATTCAGTGAGTAAGGGTCTGACTCTGAGTAATTCTGTACATTCAGTGTTTTAACATAATTAATAATCATAGTTTTTCTTATTTAAATCTATGAACCTTACTTCCAGTCTTACACAATGTGCTACTAAAACTACAGTGCCAACGTGTTTTATCTCATGACGACAGTACATTCAGAAAAACTCAATTCGGTTTGTGTAAGTGTTACAGAACACTGCTAACTGCTAAAAATGGTATGTCAGTCACACCACAATTACTTCTGTACTTTTGCTCGTTAGGTGGAGAGCTATGTTGCACATATCCGTGGGCTACTGGAAGAGCGTGAATGTCTTACTGCAGATTATGAGAGAGACAATGAACACTTGCGACAAGAGCTTCACCAGATCAGACAACGACAAGGTGACTTCCAAATGTGGTAAAATGTTGGGATTCTCTCATTTGGGTTGTAACCTACCTATAGGCTCTCAATAATAATAATAATACATTTTTATTTGTTTATTTACTTTAAAGCATCTTAGTTTAAGCACACCTTAGCTTACAATTGATGTTTGCCGTGAACGGCCTAAAATTGCTCTGGTAATATGTTCGAGCATATGTTCCCTGAATTAAAAATTTTGTAAATTCTGCTGCCATATATCAATTCAGTATTTGGCTGTAATACTACTTACAAATAACAAAAAAAAACAACAACTGTTAACCTGTGATAACTTCGACCTCTTCCAGAGAGTCAGAGCAAGGAGCTGGCAGAGATGTTGGCTCAGGAGGACCTTGGGGAAATTGGTCTGAGCAGTCCCAGTGAGCAAGTGGCCTACCTTTTGGTGGAAAGGGCCACTTTACTGGAGAGGCTGGAGGCTGTAGAAAGGAGACTGGAAAGTCAGAGCCTCACTGAAAACTTAAGAGAAGTCCATCAACAGGTGAAGGACTGACATGCAAACTTCAAAGACATTGAACAACTATTTCCTCATAATGTCAGTTCTTTAGAGAAAGACAAAAATTAAGTCATTTTGCGATATCATTTAAACTGCTAATATAGTTTGTGCTGTAGTGTATTTTTACTATTGGCACTTTAAATGCCAATAGTATTCCAGTGTAATTGCAGGGGCACAGGTCTTATTCAATTTTTGATTTCAATGATGCCAATGTTTCATAGCTGTAGGAAAATACATTTGTTAACTCTATCCATCTTTGACACTGACAGGACTATATTCACCACACAATGGGGGTGGAGCTGAGGAATCAGAGGGAGGATATGAAGAAAACCATAGATAACATGAAGGTGAGGTGACTGTCCTCATGCTTTGGCAGAGTTTAAAGCTTCAGGCTGAGTTAAGTTTGTAGATTAAAGAACAACCTGTTTTTTTTTCCAGCCAAAGAACAGACATACCATGTGATAGTTATCTACTGTATTTTGCCATTTTGTACACACTGTTGTTTCCTCTCAGCAGTGTGCGTCCCAAAGTCCATGGAAGAAGTTGTTTGGGCTGCGCAGGTCTGGTCAAAGCAAACACAATATTACCCCTGTAGGTTTTAATTTATAAATCAAACTAACTGTTAACTAACACTGTTGTCATGATAATAGGAATCACTGGCATGTTTTGGAAGAGTACCACTTGTTGAAATACATACCATGCTGGCATCATGCATTTACATTTGCATGACCACAATGATGCAGAAGATACTTTTCTTAGTAACTCATCAGTGAATGTAATTTTCAAGCAGATGATTGCGCAAAATGGCTGAAACAGTGACAGTATGTAACAGGTAAAAGCATGTGTCCTTTGTCCTCTGTAAGCAATTGAATACTGACATATAGAAATATAACTCATTACCACTTTCCAGGCCTGCAGTAATGATGACCTTAGCCTTAGCATGTCTCTTTCAGCAGCAAGCGAGGCAATTCATCTGATTACCAATCTACCTAGTGCAACATCCCATTCTAACGATCAACGCTTAATTTTTTCACACCAGGCTCACAGCGAGGAGATTTCCCAAGAGAAAAATGAGCACCAGCGACTGGAACGAGACCTTGAAGAGGCATCCAGGAGGCTGGCAATGGCTCATCAGGATATCCGCAGACTCACCAATGAGGTGGATGCTGCCAAGAACAACCTGGACCCAAGTGGTATGTTCAAAGGACAGACAGCTTGTATCCCTTCAAAAATTATGTGTTTACTTAAGAAATTGGAATTGTGTATATTGTTTTTGGTAATTGATAAATACGTTTTTATTCGATAGAAAACTTCCACAGATGGAGGTTGATTTCAGTTGTCTCATATGTCCAGCTCAACTGGGCTACACACACTGACAAAAACGTGCTCTCTTGTTCTCCGCCTATCTCTTACACACGCATGCACACACAGACACACACACACAACCTACATCGCGAAAAAACACAAGCTAACTAGCAGCTAAATCATATACAGTGGAGGAAATAATTATTTGATCCCCTGCTGATTTTGTAAGTTTGACCTGTTACAAAGATGTGAGCGGTCTATAATTTTTATAGTACTTTTATTTTAACAGAGACAGAATATTAAAAAGAAAGTCCAGAAAAAAAACATTACATAAAGTTATAAATTAATTTGCATTTGATCAAAGGAAATAAGTATTTGATCCCCTACAAACCAGCACAAATTCTGGCTCCCACAGACCGGTTATGTGCCCGGGAAGCACTCAGATTAGTCCTGTCGCTTTAAGAAAGTAGTCCTAATCACTGCTCGTTATGGGTATAGAAGACAATGTCAACAGAATCAATCTCTTCCTTTCCAACCACTCCACCACCATGAGCAAGACCAAAGAACTTTCAAAGTACATCAGGGGCAAGATTGTAGACCTGCATAAGGCTGGAATGGGCTACAAGACCATCAGCAAGAAGCTTGGTGAGAAGGAGAAACTGTTGGTGGAATTATAAGAAAATGGAAGAAATGTAAAATAACCATCAATCACCCTCGGTCTGGAGCTCCATGCAAGATCTCTCCTCGTGGGGTAAGGATGATCATTAGAAGGGAGAGGGATCAGCCCAGAACTACACGGGAGGAGCTTTGTAATGATCTCAAGACAGCTTGGACCACAGTCAGTAACAAAACCATTAGAAACACACTGTGCCGTAACGGATTTAAATCCTGCAGTGTCCGCAGGGTCCCCCTACTCACAAAGGCACATGTACAGGCCCGTCTGAAGTTTGCCAATGAACACCTAAATGATTCAGAGAAGGCTTGGGAGAAGGTGATGTGGTCAAATGAGACCAAAATTTAACTCTTTGGCATAAACTTGAGTCATTGTGTTTGGAGGGAGAGAAATGCTGAATACCTTGTTTTTTTCTGGACTTTTTTTTAAATATTCTGTTTCTGTTTGTTAAAACAAAAGTACCATAACAATTATAGACCGCTCACTTCTTTGTAATAGGTCCAACTTTCAAATTTCCCCACCAAATCTACATAGTGCACCTTTAAAGTACATTATAGAAGTTTAGTCCAATAGTAAAGCTGCCGATGTGCTTTGACTCCCAGGAGCGAACTGGCTGACGCGCTGTACTGTCGTATGTAGGTCAATACGATACCGTTTGCTGTATGTTGTTTCAATAACATTTCTGCAGTCGTGTCTTTGGTTTGCAGCATAATACAATCCGTTTTATTGCAGCACCATGCGAAGTGAATACAGCGTCCATCAGTTTCCATTCATTGAACAAAACAAACAAACAAACAATACAGCTGCGGTTACTGGTCAAAAACCATATGCCCTTCCAGGGTCAAACACATCCCATACCTTGACAAGAGAGGCACCTATATACCTGTGCCCTAAGCAATAGGAGAGCAACACCCAGTGGCACAATAATTAATATGTTTTACCCAAAAACGTGACTATGGCTCTTACATACATCTTACAAATTATCACACAGATGCTAATGTCATAGTGTTCATAATTACACAATAGCTGACTAGATTCTATACTTTTTTTCCACAATCATTTTTTAGATTAACCAATCACAACTTCTGAAAAAAGTTGTCATACCTAGCAACGGGGTCAACCCCACCTCCTCACTAAGATAAAAGTTTCTGTCTTTTCCTTGCTCAGAGTTGCTCTAAGAATGTTCCTATATCACTCTTAAGTTAAACATCCTTGCTAAGATTTTATGAGAAGTTAGGAGCTCTCTGAGAGGATTCTCAGAATGTTTGTGAATACAGGCCCAGATCTTTGAATACATTTTAGTACCAAAGCAAGAGGATTAGCAGGTTTTTTTTTTTTGAAGATTTATTTTTGGGCTTTTTGGGCCTTTAACGGAGAGATAGGACAGTGGATAGAGTTGGAAATCAGGGAGAGAGAGTAGGGAATGACATGCGGGAAAGGAGCCACAGGTCAGATTTGAACCCGGGCCGCCCGCTTGGAGCACTATAGCCTCTAGAAATGTCATCATTCAGTACAATCTTGCTCCTCCAAATAGAAATTAAAATATTGAGTAAGGTTCTGTCAAACATGTGGTGGAATTTCTGTAGTTATTTAGATAATAATGTACAGATGTCATTAGGTTTATTCACTGTTCTCTAATGTCAGTCAGACCTGACAGAGTTCAGCTGTTGTTAGAACCCCAAGTACAGCTTAGAGAGTGTCAACTATTTTTCCTGATATCTGCAAGGATGTTTGGTAGACTTATTGTCTGCTCCAGATGTCACAGTTTATTCTATATGGGTCAATGTGACACAACCCTGATAATGGTAATGTCTTTTGGGATATATGCGATGCCTTTCGAAAAGTTCTGCAGACGTGATTGAGCAAGACACGAGTACAGAAGTGTGATGTTGAATCATGTCTCCTCATGAGTATTCTTCTTATGTATAAACGTTCATCAACGTAAGCCATCTGAGTCAACTGAGTCTTATTGTGTGGAGTCAAGTCTTAGTAATTTCCTCAACAAAACAGACTGCAAATATATAGCTAGTGTAATACATCCCGTCGACCCAGGCTGATAAATATACTTTACATATACACTACAGTACTATGTCTACATTTTAATATCATGTATCATAACCACACAGAAGAGTCTGTTGTTATTGCACACCCCAATCATCCATTGTTCACACAAGGAGGTATCGCAAGTTTTTTATATTCGGAGAGGCCTTTGCAAGGGATGTGTTCAGCTATTGAGGTCTTAGCCACCCAAATTAGAGTGAGCAATGAGATCACCTCGATAGGTTTCACAACACAGCTAGCAATTTATCCCTTTTTGAAGAGGATATAAAACTATTTTTGTCAGGCCCCAACTGTCTATTTCCTCACGACTGTGATTATATATAGAATTATATACATTTGGTAGCTTTTTAGGTCATAAGGCTATTTGGATAAGAGCGAACTGATGCCCATATCAACCAAAGTCGACCTACACACCACACCCTTTAAGATTGCAAGGGACAAATTAAGGACAGTGTTTAATTACAGCGCGTGAACATTGCAAACTCTTGAAGAGTACTGAGCTACTTATTGAAAGAGGGATTCAAATAATATCATAGCATATACAGGAACATTAGCTCTTTACTGTGGATATTTTCAATATCTAATCAATAAGTAAATTCTGTCACACCATGGGCTTTTGTCACGCCAGGGGCTTGTGATCCGGGGCTGCAGCTGGATAGAATTGGGTTACACAGCAAAGCAGTTACACATATATGGCTATCAAGTGTGTTGACATGACAGTTATCAGTGTAAACTTTGGATTAGCAACAGGATAGTAGTGAATATTAATACAGAGACAGTGTTTGATTTCTGCCTTCTTTTTTTTTGCAGACCACACACACTTGCAGCTCACACAGATACACATACCCACTCTACTGTATTTTGAGTATACTTGAATTAAAGTAGGAAAAGCAAAGACAGAGAACTGCTTCACTGGTGTTCCTAACCAAACACCTGAACAACTCTCACCATTCAAACCCAGCATTACACTTTAGCTGCTTCTCACCAACAGAATCGTAACATTTAAATTTAGTACTTGTTGGATTATATAAGTTAACTTTAGAAAGTGGTAACAGGCTACCAAACTAAATGTTTTTGCAGTTATAAATGAGCATAAAGCATATATTTGGCTTTGTAGAATTAAGAATTTGCTTATAACATCTCAGGATCTGAGCTACAGGGAACAGTCCAAGAAGTAGAGAACCTGAGGAAGGAAGTGGACAAACTGAAACACTGTGGTGAGACAGACTTCAAAATGTACTTGGTAAACTGCTGTACAGTATGTTTGACATATTTTGGAAATATTTGACTTTTTATTTATTAAATGTTTGTCATTATTTTGTAAGCTGAGGAAAAGTTCTATTTTGATTAAACCATCCATCCATCCATCCATCCATTTTCTTCCGCTTATCCGAGGTCGTGTCACGGTGGTAGCAGGCGCAGTAAGTCAACCCAGACTTCCCTCTCCCCAGCAACGTTTTCCAGCTCCTCCTGGAGGACTCCGAGGAGTTCCCAGGCTAGACGTGATATATAATCCCTCCAGCGCGTTCTGGGTCTGCCCCGGGGTCTCCTCCCAGTTGGTCGTGCCTGGAAAACCTCTAAAGGGAGGCATCCTTAACAGATGCCCAAACCACCTCAACTGGCTCCTTTCAATGCGGAGGAGCAGCGGCTCTACTCTGAGCTCCCCCCGAATGTCATAGCTCCTCACCCTATCTCTAAGACTAAGCCCAGCCACCCTCCAGAGGAAGCTAATTTCGGCCGCTTGTATCCGCAATCTCATTCTTTCGATCACTACCCATAGCTCATGACCATAGGTGAGGGTTGGAACGTAGATCGACCGGTAAATCGAGAGCTTTGCCTTCAGGCTCAGCTCCCTCTTTGCCACAACGGTCCGGCACAATGCCTGCATTACTGCTGACACCGAGCCAATCCGTCTGTTAATCTCACGCTTCATCCTACCCTCACTTGTAAACAAGACCCAGAGATGCTTGAACTCCTCCACTTGGGGCAAGGACTCACTCCCCACCCGGAGAGAGCAATCCACCTTTTTCCGGCAGAGAACCATGGCCTGGGACTTGGAGGTGCTTACCCTCATCCCAGCTGCTTCACACTCTTCGCTGCAAACTGCCCCAATGCCTGCTGGAGGTCCCAGCTTGAGGAAGCCAACAAAACCACGTCATTTGCAAAAAGCAGAGACGAGATTTTGAGGTCCCCAAACTGGAAACCCTCCTCCCCCCGGCTGCTCCTTGAGATCCTGACCATGAAGATCACAAACAGGACTGGTGACAAGGGGCAACCCTGGCGGAGGCCGACACGCACTGGGAACGTGTCTGAGTTTGTGCTGAGGATGCGGGCACAGCTCCCACTTTGGTCATACAGGGACTGGATGGCTCGTACTAACGGCCCCGGGGCCCCATATTCCCGCAGTACCCCCCCACATGATCACCCAAGGGACACAGTCAAAAGCCTTCTCCAAATCCTCAAAACACATGAGCAAATTCCCATGCTCCCCCAAGAAGCCCTGCGAGGGTACAGAGCTGGTCCACTGTCCCACGGCCGGGACGGAATCCACATTGTTCCTCCTGTATCCGAGGTTCGACAATCGGCCGGAGCCTCCTTTCTAGAACCCTAGAGTTAGCTTTCCCCGGAAGGCTGAGAAGTGTGATACCCCCATAATTGGAGCACACCCTCCAGTCCCCCTTTTTGAAAATGAGAACCACCACACCGGTCTGCCACTCCACAGGCACTCACTGTCCCAGATTTCCACGTGACATTGAAAAGGCGTGTCAGCCAAGACAGCCCCACAAAGTCCAGAGCCTTTAGTATCTCAGCCCTTGATAAAACCTAGAATGTTAATAAGTATTCTTTTCTCTCATTTTAACAGATTGAGACATCAGTCACTGCTTTAGACTACCTGGCAAGGGAGTTGATTACTTTCAGATATACCTCTCATATTTTTCTCATATTTCTTGTAGGTTTGAAAATTGGACATTATTTTATTCATTGTTTATAATTTATATTTCTGTTTATTTCCATGTATTCGTATTGTGTTTTAGCAAAATGTTAATTTTATTCTTGTCAGAAATGTTCTGCTTGGTCTTTTAATTGGATGTGTAGGCTCGGGCGGGTCTCGGAGCAGCTGCCACATGGTCTAACAAGACAATTTAGCCTATAAGCAATCTAACACAACAAGAAGCATCCCATTACCTTGACAAGAGAGGCACCTATATACCTGTGCCCTAAGCAATAGGACAGCAACACCCAGTGGCACAATAATTAATATGTTTTACCCAAAAACGTGACTATGGCTCTTACATACATCTTACAAATTATCACACAAAGCTACGAATGCAACACCAGTCCTAACAGAATTTGTCATGAATCATTCATCAATATAGTTGTTGCTTTTAATAACTTAATTTGCAAAGGGTCCAAAAGGGCAAAAATTGACTACATTTGTAAAAAAGTAAAATTGAGAATTTTGTGTATACAATCATAATTCTTTGTTTGTCTATTCACAGATATGATGAAGCTGCAGCGAGCCAAAGAGCAAAATGACAAACTAGATGCTGAGAACAGAGCTCTGAGAGAGAGAGTCCTCACTTTAGACTCTGAAAAGAAATGTCTCTTGGATCAGGTTAGTGTTTTACAGTTTGTGTATGTGTATTGAACAGAAAAAAACGTAACTTCAAATTCGATGGCTATCTATGGCAGTTTGGTATTGTCTTTGTCCAGTTGAAAGTAAATGATGGGAAACATGACGATCCAAAGGACAAGAGCATTAGCAGTAAACCCCATCAGTCTGGTTTGTTGGATCAAGACGAGGACGGTATTCACAAACGGTACAACATACAGTACTACAAACAACTGCATCCGTTTACCTATCTTTGGAAACTTTGCCAGCCTATTTTTCTAACTGTAAACATCCTTTTTCTGTCAGATGTCGTGAAGCGATGGAAGACGGGGTTGTACAGTTGAAAGAGATGCAAAGACAACTCCAGAGGCTCCACAAGCAACAAGAAGAGCTTGAGGAGAGGAACGAGGAACTGGAGGCTCTGCTGGGGGAGGCCCAGAACTCCAGCAAGGAGGAGAGACATCGCCACGAGGGAGAACTTGAAGGACTCCACAGAAGGGTAAAGAGCAGCTCTAAATTCTGGCTAAAAATTTACACAGACTTATCAATAGGTTGTTTGCCGATCAGGTCAAGTCACGGGAAGAACTCCAGATGGGGGTCAGGAAGTGATTTTTGCTTAGAGAAGAGCTATCAAATTAGCCTAAGTTTTGTGTTTTTTATGGTTCTGTCAACCTGTCAATTTAGGAGAAAAAAAAGCCAAGAGCTTCTTTCCAGGCCCGAAGGTAGTGACACATAAAGGTGAAAGTTTAAAAACCTCACGGAAAAAACAATATAAATTATTTTCTTGGAAACAGTCCAGTCTGTAATGACTGAATAATAATCTTAACTGTCAATGCAGATCAGAGGCCTGGAGGCAGAGCTCAAGATGCCAGGTGACCCAGGAAAAATGATGAGGAATGGAGAAAATGTAAAAGCCACTGAGTCCTTCTTACAACTGCATCTAAGGGACAGCAGCCAGGAGAGACTAGCTCTGCTAGAGGCTCGTCTGACAGAGGAGAAGGACTGGAGGAAACAGCTGGAGGTAGACCTCAGTGCTGCCCAGGCTGCCCTCAAGAAAGACAAGGAGGTGAAAAAAAGCACATCAATTGCTTTAGCTGAAAAAGCATTGAAACCAAAGCCTTTTCTTTGTTACTGTTGAAACCAAAAGCGTTAATGTTTTGTATGTGAACTTCAGTTTACTTGTTAAGAAGTTAATCCCAATGAAAGTTTGTTTTAAATTTTTCAGAAAAGTATAATATAAAAACTACAGTTACAAGCCACTTGGAACCTGATGTTATGCCCTCATTCTTTTCACTAAAGGCTCTGCAGATAAGTGAGCGAGAGCTGAAGAAGCTAAGACTAGAGGTCAACAGCCTTCAGAGAGAATGCCAACAAGGGAAAACACTCATCAAGAGCCTCACTCAAGTCAAAGGGGAGAAAGCCGTTCTGGAGGAAAAGGTTTGTTCATGTTAAATCTGTTTGCTTTCAATGACATCTCGGATAGGTCTGTTTTTAAACATGATGACATTGGAGAAAATAGGAAAAAATTGGGGTTGATGGTTAATATTTACAAATAACATTAATTAACATTTTTAAACACAAAGTTGTCATGACTGCAAGAGTGCATTGTTGGAAATTGGTTAAATACAATGTGATTTTGCAAACATTGCGATAGTAATAATGATTCAGTGTCGAGATGAACCAATTTCTCTGGCCGATTCCGATTTCCAAATTTTACCTGGTCTGACCTGCATGTAGTGACCCCTATGCCTATCGAAAAAAAAAGGCCAGGGTGCAAAAATAAAGAAATGTCCAATTTCCAATAAAACCAATTTATTACTTACAGTTTGTAGATTGTTTAATATATAGTGTATCCACTTTCTCTGTAGACAAATACGTCTTTTTCCCACTTATAAAATACACCTGTGTCAAGTAACCCCTGGATTGACCTCTCCCTTCCTGACGGCGGCGCTACTCCCCCAAGTGGTGAAAAGTTTACAAAACATTAACAAGTATGGATCTTGCAATATGTTACCGATATTTAGCCGATACCAATTTTCTATCTTTAAAGCACTATAACTGACAGCAAAAGCAAACTGTTTTCTTAGATTAAAAATTATTTTATGTTTACAGTCAAACACTGACTGTTAAGTAACTGTTTGTTACAAAAGATCTTGAAAACCTACAGCAAGTTACATGACCATCTCTCATTCTAACATTGTAAGTGTTGAACGCTTTGTTACCTGTATTCTCCTCTATTTTTAAAGGAGACCAGACAGGTCTTTAAATATCTAGAAAAGCGCTATATAAAACCAATCTATTATAATTATTATTTCATAGTTATGAATAAGTGGTGATAATAAAACACACTTTTCAAAAATCTGGTATATTTTCTCTTCAGAGCAGTACAGAAACCTCAGCATAGTTTTTCAGGTGAGCCCAAACGTTTTCCTTGCAAAGAGACCTACACCATACACTAATATCTATTCAGTAAGGACTTCTTGTACCAAATGCATTCATGCTCTTAAGGCCCTGACATACCAAGGAGATTGTCAGCCGTCGGTCCTAGTTGGACCATCGTGAGTGGTTGTTGCGTGGAAGGCTGGCGCCCCTCACATTTGCCTATACTGCCTATGTCACGGAGAAGGTGTCTGTTGCAGACACTGAACGATCTGAGTCTCCTCAGGAAGAACAGCCTGCTCTGTCCTTTCCTGAAGAGGGCGTCAGTGTTGTGAGAACAGTCCAGTTTATGGTTGATGTGGACCTCAAGGTATCGTACTTGTATGAGTCTGAGCTGCTGCAACAGGCTGCTGGCTCTCAGCGCCTAGAAGTAAAGATAAATAATAAATCAAATTATGTTACAGCAGTAAAAGACAAGAAGAAGAGTATAGAGAGCGTATGAGTACAAATAAAATAAGAATATATAAGTATAAGTATATTATTATATAAATAATAATAATAATAAAAATAATGTATTTACAACTATTATTAGCAAGTATTAAGTAAACTATACACAAAACACTATACAGGACATTGAGACATATTAAGTGGCAAGTTTAAGTTAAAGTGAACAGTTATGAGATAAGGTAACAGTTATCAGATAAAGTGACGGAGTTGAAAAAGGTGACAAAAGTAAGCAATGAATATCAAAATAAGCATCTATAAGTAATATGACATACATGACAGAGTCCAGGGTATGGCAGCGGGACAGCCACTGTCGGGAATATAAGTCTGCATGATGAAGACAGACTATAGGACCCACTGCTGTTGTACAGTCTGATGGAGGTAGGCACAATGGAGCTCCTGAAGCACTCAGTTTTGCACCTCGGGGGGTTGAGACGATGGCTAAAGGAACAGAGAAGTTCACTGATTCACTCTCCTCAGCTGAATTCTCCCTTGATCACTTACAGTATCCTACCTGCCTGCCTCTGTTTTTTCTCACTGCCTCGGTGAATGGTATTTGTGTTAGCAACAAATCTTAATCATGTTTATATCTCTTAAGTATCAATATGAATTTGTAACATGCAAAGTGTTACCTCTCCCATTCAAACTTTTTGATAACGTGCTTATACTATATTATATATAGGTTTTCATACAAATTACCCTCTATAACCAAACAATATTATGGGAATATTTAAATCTTTTAATGTGCTGTGCTCCCCAAGTGGGAGAGAGAGAGAGAGAGAGAGAAAGCAGGAGCACTCACATACGTACGGGCAACACAGTCACGAATCTGCCATAAGCAGAGAGGCAAAAGGGGAGCAAGTGCAGGGAAACGGTTTGTTTGTCCTAAATGTATGTCAAACCTTTTTCTCCTCTGCTGATGGGCACCTCAAGTCTACACCTCTGACATGTTAGCTTATTGTGTTTGTGGCCGTCCATTAGAGATTTGTGTCACTGTACACACATCATGAAAGGCTTGTGCGTGCGTGTGAAATGCCAATATATCAGTGCACCTTTAATTCAGTATAGTGTGTATTTAAAGTCATGACTCGCCTGGCTTAAGTCTGGGATGATTAAAAGAAGTGCTCTCTGGCGCCGACTTGTCAAATCAGCAGCTAAAAATAATAAAACTGCCAATACAATCCAATACACTTTTGCAACTTTAAAATGTGTCAACATAAATTAACAGCATGTGTTCTGCCACTTAAACAAGATTATCTCCATCTTTCTGTCTTTGCCTCTCTTCCTGATAGGTTGCTCAGATGGAGCGTTCCCAGAGCCGACTGCAGAGCAAGCTGGAATACTGCAAGGACAGTAACCGAACCCAGGAGGACAAGTTGCAGGAGCAGGCTGACGGGCTTATTGCTGAACTCATCAGCCTCCAGACAGCACACAATGCCTTGAGGTTGTTATCAGTGTTGAGCTCAAAGTTTTAAACTTAGGCCACTGCATTGGCCAATGTATATTTGACTCATTGGAATGGAAATAGTGCAGTGTTGGAGGATAAGTGAGATCCCTGCTACAACTGGTCCATACATCTTTTATCTTGTCAAGTGAAAAAAATAGTACTGGAGCTTACTTGTTTTTTTATGAATGTGCATATTTTTCAGGGAAGAGATGGTTGCTGAGCGGCTGCAGTCGGCTGAGCTCCAGGCAAAGCTGAGCTCAGGTGTCCAGGAAAAGCTGACAGCCGAGGGAGAAAGGCTAGGCTGAAGGTAGAGATCCAGCGCCTTAAAGAGCAGCTGAAGTGGCACGATGAGCAGCTCTCGTCTTCAAAGGAAGCACTTATTAGCAAAAAGGAGCCTGAACTGCAAACAGCTGATAAAGAATCCATTATGAGTCCAGTGGAGAGGACGCAGGATGAGTACTCATATCAGGTAACTGGGATACATCTCCATTGGTCGAGTCATTTAATATTTGACATGTGCAGTCATATTGTAAAACTGTTGAAATCAGATGTTCAGAAATGAAATAACAATAGAGCAAAACATCCTGCAACACAAACTCTGATCAAAGTACAGCGTTTCTGTCATTAGTAAGGCACATGGTCTGACTCTAACTTATGAGCTATGAGGCCAGCATTAAGGGGATGTCCTCTGCCAGGATCATGTTTGTATTTATGTGGTGTTCATAGTTTTCACGTCTTAAGCAGGAGCTGAATCTTCTCCAGACCAAGCTGGAAAAGGAGTGTCAGCTGGCCTCACAGCACCAACTGGCCCTGCAGGCTCAGGTCAATGAAGCCCAGGCACATATAAAGGTATGATTATTAAAGCAGCCATGGTAATCACAGTCACATTTAATATTCAATGTATTGCATATCTACTTATATTGCATAATTGGCTTTAATTTCTTTTCACATTGCAGCCGCTTCATTATGCCTTAAACCATCAGCATTTTGCAATTTGATATATTTTTTTATCCAGTAGCCTAACTGTGAGTTTACAATACAAAAGAAATATTTTAAACATTTGTATTCGTTAGCATGTATATCATCTGACAACCCTCATTTCCTTTAAATTCATAATAAATATGGATGATTGGCACTAATGCTTCAGGTATCCCAGTAGCCATGTGTCATGTTTATGGAGCTTTAAGGAGAATGTGTGGTTTGGTAATTTGCTTATTGAGTCATAACAGCCAAAAATGATGTTAGCTAGCTAACTGATCCAGGGACACTTGACTAAATGTGTTAATCTATACTCTTCTTCATCAAAAAATTTAACCCAGCTTTGTCTATTATCTTCAGTCCCAGGACTTAGTGCTGAACCAGAAGGCAGAGGAGGCTAAACAGATGAAGCAGGACCTGCAGAGGGCCCAGAGCCTTTTCTCCTCAGCAGAGCGAGAGCTGCGCTACGAGAAAGAGAAGAACCTGGATCTGAAGAGACATAATACCCTGCTGGATCAGGAAAAACTCAAGGTTGGTGTAAGGTTACAGAATAGCGTATTCAGGTTTTTCCTCCAGATTCATATGACTATATTACTCTTACACCTTCATCATGTTAACTCGTTTAGTCAACTTACAGTTAATGACAATTAGACAGAGCAAAACTTAAAGTGTGAAACTCTTACCTAAAGTCTCAAAGGGAAGAGGTTAAAGAACCGTCAGAATAGTGGAAATGCAGGTGTTAAGCAATGTTTATTTGTGTTCATATTTTCTCATTTGCATCTTTTAGCTTTGTGCAGAGCTGAAGCAGGTCCAGAAAAAGCTGGTCCAGATGGAGCATAGTGTCCAAGCTCAGGCGGCTGAGTGTGAATGTCAGCAGCAGAAAATTCGAAAGCTGGAATTGGAACTTGCACGTAACTCAACAAATCGCAGCACCACCACTAGTTTGCAGGAAGAGCTACAGGCAGAGAGGGTGCGGCTGATGGCTGCTGACAAAAAGGTCAGTGCTGACAGGACATCTTCACATAAGCACTTTCATTTAGTATGGTCTTTATTTGGTTCTCTTCTTAATGTTGGATGCTATCGTCTTGTAATTACAAATTTCCCAATTTTTATATGAATGCACATGGAAAGGTTGGAAAACCCAGAGTTTAGCTGGGAATTTTGCTAACCAGTGAAGTTGTATGACTTAAGTTGTACGACTGAACTGGGTGAAAGTTGCGTCCCTGTCCCTCACTAGTTGACCCCTCTGTCCCATTTACATAGCCCTCTTTCCTGCTGCTTGTCAAAGTAATATGACATACTTGCAAACATGCAAGTTTAGAAAGCAGGGGGCGAATCGAGCCTTTTTTGACTGGGATGGCTCAACTGGGGCCATGACTTATGCAGGGGTGGTATGAGGTTTGCGTGCATCCACACTTGGGATGGGTCATGATATTTGAATATTCAAATAGTCATCAATTTATAATAAAGTTTAAGTGTTCAGTTTTCATCTTACTTTTATCTTAGCTTAATAATTTTATTTTTTCATTATTTTTAATGGCGACCAGTTGTAATGCATTTTGAACCTGGAACCTTCTCGCTGTGAGGCAACAGCCCCTCCCCCTCATTCTAGTACCTGTAAATTGGTTCTACCTAACCTGAAGGTTAGGCAGGTCTATTCACCAAAATTAAAGACTTTCTGTTGGACACCTTAAGCCTTGTACTCTCTGGAAATGAATTGCTGTGTTATCTGAATGATTGCAACGTGACTTTGTTGCAATGGTAGGTGTTAGAGCTGCAGCAGCAGCTTAAGAATGCCCAGCACCAGCTGCGAGTGGAGGAAGCTCGGGCAGGTGAGAGCAGTCGTCTGGAGAGGGACAGCAGGGATCTGGCCGATACCATATCAGCCCTGAGAACCAAGCAGCAGGAGGAGCACATTACCAGGTAACATAAATGGCAGTGCTGCTCTCCCCATTGGTAGTGGTATAGCTTTTGCCAACATTGCAAGTTTTAATGTCCGTTTATGAACAAAACTTCTATCCATCATTTCCTCTTTTTATATCTCAGGAAGCTGTTGGAGCAGCGTGAGGAGGAGCTGCAACAGCAGTTACGGTCACTCAGGCTGAAGGAGGCCTCCATGACCAAGACAAATGCAGAGCTCAGCCACCGGGCTCAACAGCTGGAATCACATCTAACCATCCTGGAGGCTGAGCTACGCAAGGCCAGAGAGGAGGTAAGGATCAGTGTAACACAGTTCATCCAATGTCAATGATGTGGCTGGGTTTTGGCCATCTAATGCAATTTCTATACTCCTAATATTTCTGTCTCTGTGTTCAGATGCTTCTCCTTTTATCACATAGTACTGTGTGACCTTTGGCTGGCATTTTTAAAAAGTCAATATACAGAGCATCTCTTCAAACTGATTTATGTATTATTGTTGATGTTTGTTTGAATTTAGATTAACATTTATGTGTTAAATATATCCTATAAGGTAAGAGACAACCAGAGGTCATACAACAAACTACAGGAGGACTTGGGATCCAAGCAGCAGGAGGTTGACAGACTGCAGGGGGAGCTGCAGCAAGTTCTACTCCAACTGGACACACATGTCAGGTGAGACGATCACATTTTCACTGATATGCATTTTTTGCATTGTAAGCAATGTAATACAATTAACTCTGATGTACCTGGGAAACAACATTGCACGCGGATGAAGCAAGCGAGTCCGCTATACAATACTAAAATGGGAATATTTGCCTTTATAGCAATGCTGCGTATAGATCAACGGAATCACAATATCAACAAAAGAGCAGAGAAGAACATACTGATGAACAGAAAACGTAATGCGGTAGCAGTCACACACACATCTTTATGCACCGTGCATCAGTCACAGTATATAAACATCACTCCCCCCCTCTGATTGGCTTGAGGTGAATTCTCCAGATAATTTCCTGCTGCGTTCTCAGATCAGCTTACTCGGACTTGCTGCGGAAAAAAAAACTAGGGGTTTGGCAGGAGAAACTCAGAGTGAAGTCAGAGTTTAAAATTTGGCGGTTTGGGTTCACACATAAAGCTCCTCCTCCAAATATCAGGAGTTTTTCAGGAGTTTTTTTCAAGTTTGAAAGCCCTATTAGAGTTGCTCAACTTCCCTATTGCTTCATCATTACAGTTGCCTAGTTAATATTAGACTAAATGATCACACATTAACAATATCACTGAAATTGTGCCTATATATATATCTTATTCATTGTTGTTGTTCTGCTGCTCTGTTTGTCTCTATCCTTCTCTTTCTTTCTGCATTTCCCTCTATCCCACTTTCCAAGGCAAGCCAATACAGTTTTGGCAGATGGCTGTTTAACATGAGTCTGGTTTTGCTTAAGATTTCTGCCCCTTAAAGAAAGTTTTTCATTGTAACTGTAACGTAGCTAAATGTTGCTTAGTGCTGTGCTCATGATGGATTAATGATGGGTATTTGTAGAAAATATCTCAGAGAGTAAGGTCTTTTACCTGCTCTTTTGTAAAGTGTCTTCAGATAACATTTGTTATGAATTGGAGCTATACAAATTAGAATTGGTTGATTAATTGAACCTATTAGCAGACATACCTTGAACCCATTAACAGGAATAAAGAATATATTACTGTTTTGTGTTTAATTAACTTTTTAACTGACAGTTAATCTAACTTTTGTTATGAATGTGTACCACACATACAATCCATGATTCATTTTATATATATATATTTATTATTATTTATTTTTTCTAAATAATCATTGTATACTTGTTTTATGTAAAGCACTTTGTAAACTATGTTATATAAAATAATTATTATTATTGTTTTTTTTTTTTATCAACCAGAAAGTACAATGAGAAGCAGAGTCAGCACAAGACCAAGCTCCGTCAGGCCAAGCAGGTCTTCCTCAAGGCTACTGCACAGAAGGACCGCATCATACAGAAACTGGAGAACGACTTGGTGCTGGCCTCCAGCCTCTCACACAAGGTCACACACTTAATGCAGAAGGCTAGCAAAGCCCCTTTATTTCCAAATAAGAGATGTTTGTGCCAGAATACCATTTGAATAATTTTAACATCTAAATTGTCTGTACTTTCTTCCTATCTCCTCCTTGGTGGCTTTCAGGAGAAGGAAAGGATCAATACAGTGATGGAGGAAAATGAGAAACTTCTGGAAGAGAAGAGGGAACTTTTGCGAAATATAAGCGAGGCAGAGGAAATGGGCAGCAAAGGCATGAGGACTGCCTCAACTGTACAATACAGGTATCTTTTGAAGCAGACTAATGATTTACCGGTACATGGAACTCGAGCATATGTTGCTGGTTCTTTTAAAAGTTGGCAATTGGATCTTTTTTTTTCTGTGTAAATCAAGAATTAAGATTTTGAATTCATGCTAGATTCACTTAGTTTTCCCATTGCTGCTGATAGGGAATCTATTTTGATAAAGAATTGAAACATAAATAAAATAGAATAAACAGAAAAAAGGGAGGAAAAAATTTAATTAGATTTCAAAATAATAATAATGAAAATAAATTAATTAAAAAAGGGGGAGGGCTACCTCAGTTCCGCCTCAACATTGTTAATCGTCCTTTTTCCAGTGGTATCTGTAAGCTCTCATAATACTGTTAAAAAAAAAAAAAAAAAGGTTTTCCGGGCGGGGATAATGACAGTATATCATCTGTTGTATTTTTTGCAGGAAGATCTGTAAAAGAAGAAATACTTTTCTGGACAAAATATCTTATTGGGAGATATTTAAAAAAAAATGGTTTTGAAGAGGGGCAGTTGGAGCAAACAGCGTAGACCTTAAGTCAGCTGTGTCAAAACACATGGCTATATAGGCTGCTGTATTATTTTAAAAAAATCAAATTAAGCTACTTGTACAGAGAACTGTATGTTAACATGAACAAAACAGGTCAGGCATTAATCATTAAGCTATCCTTGCATAATATGAAAAATATCTATTTCAGAGAGAGAGAGAGAGAGATTTTTGATTTTACAAAACAAATGTATTTACAATAATTAACAACAATTAACAACATACTTTTATACAGCATAAAGAAACTGAATATCACACGATTGACTTTTTAGATGCTAAAAAAAGAATTGAAGATGAGTTTCTCGTCTTCTACAGAGTAGATTATCGCTCCATCACACCATGTTTCAATGAAATCTGTAAAATTAGTCATAGCTTTAAAGAAATTAAAGTCCACCCAGACTCTGGCTCTTACTAAAGAAAGGAAGAGGTCAATCACTTCCTTTCCTTGCCTGTTCGCCAACTGTTTTTTCCTGCTGAGATAAATTGCCAGTTTTGCCTGTCCTGATAAAACATTTAAAAGTTTCCATTTAACCCGTTTGTTTTGCTGTTCCCTGCTCCAAAGATAAACAGTTTTTGACCATGTCTCTTTAAAACCCATAAAAACCTTCTTTAAAACCCCAAACAGATCGCTGAGTCTGACACACACTGAAAAGCAGTGAAAAATGGTTTCCACAGACCCACAAAGAAACATTCATTAGACACAGAAGGATTATTATTGCTCCATTTAAAATCCTCCATTGCAGATCACCAGATCTCTTGTTCAGAGGGCTTTTATAAAAAACCCTCCACACTGGCTTGATTTAGTCAGCCACTTTCAACCATTGTCTCCACTTGGTGTCCACTCTGTTTTTCAATATACTCTCAATTAATACTTTAACACACACACAAAACAATTCCTTACCTCTAATATTATACAAGTTCAAACATTTGTCATCAGTCCCTCTCACTTGAAACACAAGATTTTATTGTGAGGCCTATTTCAGGAAACAGGTCACTGTCAATGGGCACTTCCATCCTGCTACAGTAATCCTGCAGCATCTCCTTCTCTTCCCCTGTCAGTCTGAGACGCGACAGTCTGAGCACTCCGTCCACAAAACGTGCAGACCGGAGACCAAGAGCAGAGGTCACTGCTGCTGTATTGTTCAGTTCAGGTCCAGCTACGTCCACGATCTGTCTCAGTGTGGTGTTGTCAGTGCAGATGAGAGCATGCGTGAGGCCCATTAAGGATGTGTCCTGAACATCCAGCCGGGCCCCATAGATCAGAGGCTCCTCCAGCAGCCAGTGTAGGGACAGTGTGGGCTCTAGTCTTTTCCATAAAAACAGTTTCCGGGTTTTGAAAAGGCTCTGATAAAAAAGCAGACAGGTTGCACAGATTAAAACAGTCAGTATTCATTAAAAACAGTGAGGAGTCTAGTCCTAGTCTGTTCACTTTTTTAAAAATGCTGCTGGCCACTGGTCTCCAGACCACATCAGCTGGGCCAGTGAGGAATTTCTGGAGAAACAGGATTCTGAAGGCGGCTACTCTGCTGGCCAGGTGGAAAACAGGTAGAAACAGCACAGCCTGTGGAACCCAATGCAGCTTTTCCCAGAAAAAGTCCAACATCACTGATTGCAGTTGTTTAAGAAGTCCAGCAGGGGGATCTATTGATGCCATCTTGTGCCAGAGTCCACAGGAGACCAAGTTGTTAATGATGAGCACTCTTCCTCTGTACGACATTTGTGGCAGCAGCCACCTCCACTTCTCCAGCCTCCCCTTCACTTTCTCCACCACCTCCTCCCAGTTTTTCTGTACAGTTAGCTCATCCCTTAAAAAAACACCAAGATACTTAAAACCATTTCTTCCCCATGTTAGTCCTGATGGTAGGTTGGGCAGCGAATGTGATTTAAAACCAACTGCTAACCCTTCACTCTTCCCCCAGTTCACTTTTGCAGATGATACTATACCAAATTCCTTTTCTATTGAAAACACTTCTTTTTGATTTTTTATCATGACAATAACATCATCTGCATAGGCTGACACAATAAAATGTTTTGAACAGTGAGGTAAAATGAACCCTTCAATGGAAGACCGTATTTTACAAAACATGGGTTCTATAGAGATGGAATATAACATCCCTGAAAGAGCACAACCTTGTCTTATTCCTCTCTTAATTTTAAAAGGTGCACTTTCAGTACACTCTCAATGTCCTGGTACAAAACCTTGATCATAGCAATGAAACCAGGGCTGAAACCAAAACTCTCCAGAACTTTCCAGAGGTAGAGGTGCTCAACTCGGTCAAAAGCTTTTTCTTGATCTAATGAAATGAGACCAAGGTCTATATCCAATGAACTAGAGGCGTCCAAAACATCAGGAATTAAAGACACATTGTCATTAAAGAGCTTTTTTGTAAGAGAATATTCCGGTCCATAATAGTCCATAGATTCCGGGAGCTTTTCCTCCCTCCATGCTCTGCAGAGCTGTGGACAGCTCCTGTAGCTGTAGAGATTCTCTGATCAGCTGGTTGTAGTCCTCAGAGACATGAGGTAAACAATCACAAAAAGACTCAAACAGCTGTTCATTGTCAGTGTACTCACTGTTGTAGAGCGCTGAATAAAACTCCACAGCATGTCTTCGGATGTCTCCAGCTTCTTTCAGCTCCTGTCCTGCTGCTGTTCGAAGGCCATGCATACATTTACTTTGTCCATTCTTTTTTTCCATTCCAAAGAAAAACTTGGACAGGGCGTCCATCTGAGCCACACTTTGGAATCTCAATCTGACGAGGGCTCCCTGGGCTCTGGTGCCCAGCAGGTCTGCCAGGGCTTTCTTTTTAGCTTTGAGAACTTCAATATGTCCTTGATTTCCTATGGAATCTATCAAGGACTGAAGTTCCACAATATCAATCTCTAGAGCTTTTACAGATCTGGTAATGTCCCGTGTGACATTGAGAGTGTACTGCTGACAGAAAACCCTGATTTCAGCCTTCCCACAATCCCACCACTGTACTGTACACAATGCTAATCAGTGCGATGTCCGATTTTTTTTCCCTTGGGCAAGACACTTAATCTTGAAGTGCTGCCGCTGCTTCGTCGGCAGCGTATGAATGGGATTAGTTACTTCTGATGGTCTCACTACATAACAACCACTGCCTCTAAAAGCGCTTTGAGTAGTCAGAAGTAGTCAGAAGACTAGAAAAGCTCTATACAAGGTCAAGTCCATTTACCATTTACGCACACCGGCCCTCTTGTCTTCAGTACCAGAAAAAATACCTTGTATGTACAACCGAGTACAACTATGCATGTGCGCACTGATAGACCCAGGACAACCGGGGAGAGCTGCCTTGCCCCCAGGAGGGTTGTAACCCTGCCCGGCGGCATTGCAGTGACAAGAACATTTTTGACATTACTTCTTCTGACAAATGTAAACACTGCACGGCTGTGAGCCTGGATGCATCAGTCGGTGCATCTTTATTTTTAAAGTGTGCGTGCGAGTGCTTGTGATGCTGAAATGTGTAAGTAGAACATCTAACACTGGAACAGAGTCTCTTCTCCTCTTCTGGGCCAGAACGGACACAAACAGGGCTCAGGCGCCGAACAGGGGGCCTGAGCAGAGCCACATGGCTCCCTTTGGTCTTTGTCCACCATCTTGTGGCGTCACCATCTTATTTTCCATCTCCTTCCCTGCACCCCAAAGCTCTTGCTCTCTCTAACACACACCGCAGAGGGAGAACTTCCATGATTATTGTAGTATTGATTGAGAGCCCTGGCAGTGGAATCTACATATCTTTAAAGAGCAGTAGTCTGTGATTACTAGTGCATGTGCATTGTGATAACAGCTGGGTGCTGATTGTGATATCAAACACAGTTTGGTGTTTTGTATTCATTCTGTTTTTGGAGTTTGGCTCAGAGAGGAGAGAGGAGGAGCAGGGTGAAGAGTGACAGAGTAGGTGAACTGGCAGCTTCTACAGAAGACACATATTATTTTTAATGCAAAACATAAACTACGGTATATCAATATTAGCGACATTGTTCTACACTATATCTGAAAATATATATTGATATATTTTAAAAAGTCAATATATAGCCCAGCCCTAGTATGGGGCTGATTTAAGTCACCTGTTCACCTTTTGTGCTAAGTGGAGAGAGATGATGAGCTGGGTAATTTTATTAATAAAGAGTCAAACGTAATTTTTCTGATGTCTTTTTGGTTTAAAGTACGTACATTGTACTACACCCTACACCAACCTCTCAGCAGCTTTTTGTTGTTGTTCCGTGTCGCTACAATTAGTTTTATTCAGAGGTTGAGTCTGATTTTGTCCAAAATTGCTGCACTTTTAAAAAGCAATACGGTCTAATTTGTGTCAATCATGTTCGCACACTGACTCTGAAATCCATCGACTGTTTTGTCACAACCGTGTGTGTGTGTGTGTGTGTGTGTGTGTGGTGTGTGTGTGTGTGTGGTGTGTGTGTGTGTGTGTGTGTGTGTGTGTGTGTGTGTGTGTGTGTGTGTGTGTGTGTGTGTGTGGTGTGTGTGTGTGTGTGTGTGTGTGTGTGTGTTGTGTGTGTGTGTGTGTGTGTGTGTGTGTGTGTGTGTGTGCGCACGTCTCTATCTCAAACATACTGACAGCCGCTGTTCAGATTAACTGGTTCACAGAAATTGGTGGTTTTCTTCTGATGCATTGTTCCAGTAAAGCTAGCTTTGTATCAAACTGGACCACTGACATCCTGATCACCTGGAAGTTAGAAGGATAATTCCAAAACTCCTTTATCAATACGTTGTATAAATAGTGTTTTATTTTTTCAAGGAGTGAAAGAACCACCAAATCATCTTCACTGCTTGATAACTACATTTAGTCTCTTACTGTAAACTTTTGTAATTCATAGAAAAAATTTACACATCAGAGCAAGTATTCTGTGCGCAAGGTTTTGTATCGGGATTCAGATAAAAAAAACGAATCCACACATAATGACTCATTGTGCAAATTCTGAACTATGAATTACAAGAAAGAAAATGTCACTGTTTTTGAGATTGTGAACTTGAATCTGTCTTTTAGGGTCAACGTTTTAGAGATGGAAAACAGACAACTTCAGGATCGAACTCTGAAGCTCTCCAATCAAGTCAGTTCTTTGGAGCGTGCCCTAAGGAATGTCCAGTCACACTACAGCGTGGAGGTAACACCATGCAGATCTTTATGGTGTAATAGGACATGCCACCCAAAGTTCTCAGGTTTTATTTTATTTCAAAACAGCTCATAAAGCATTGAAGATATGAGATAAAGAATTTCAAATGTTTATGCTGTTGAAAAATCATGAAAGGTGGAGTATATCACGACTGAGGCTAAATAAAGATAAAGATAAACTTTATTGATCCTCCATGGGGGACATTTTTTTGTCACAACAGCTCAAAAACAGGAATATAATTATCAAAAATAACAAGAAGTTAAAAATCAAACATATGTACATCAGTTAAATAAAGACAATAATAGAATAATACAAGGTATGTACACTTCCACTTGTGGCAAGAGTTATTATTATTGAAAACACACACAGTGTGAAGCATTGATATGCGTCATGAGGTGGTGATGCTGTTAAAGAGTCTGATTAAACAATCTGACTACAGATGGAATGAAAGACCTGCGTCTGTGTATGTATCAAATGTAAGAGAATGTTCTTGACCATACTTTAAGTAAATGGGGGACATGTCCTGTATTTCACTGTACTCAAAAAAGTTGGTGTGTTTTGGTCTCAAATGGTTAAAATTTCTCAACAGAATGCAAAGAAAGTGCCCCCCTCTGATAGCCTTTGTGATGGCATCCTGCGTACGTCTTCGCTAAGGTAAAATTGAGTAATTGGTGTGTTTTCATATCATTGCATACAGATGGATGCTGGCACTTGTATTTTCCAATATTTCACACTAATTCTATGTCAACAGTCTGACATCAGGTTCATGTGACCCGCTGCACATCCTTGATGCGATCTGTCATGTGAAGGTGGGTGAGTGTGTGGTGGCGGATTCGACTGCTGCTGTGTCCATGCAGCAACCATCGGAGCAGGGCTACCTGAATCTCATCTCCCCCCTGGTTCCTCCAGACTCTAAAGGAACAGAGGAGAGCAATAATGACACCAACCAGGTATGAGAGGTTTTGGTGAGGCACCACAGCATCCAATATCCTACAAATATAGAATGCAAATCCAGCTTGTTAAAAGCCAGTAACAATGAACAGGCGCTTCCACCGTAGTTGTTCTCAGGGTGATATAACTTTTGTAAATGCAAAGCAGATTCTTGTTTGGCTTGCAATTTCTGTTTCTGATCCGGGTCCAGATAAAGAAAATGAGTGATTTATTTAAAAAAAATGAACTGCAAGTGTCAATCAATTACTGTAAAGGCATATTAAAAAAATCATCTTACAGGAGAGTGAAACTAAACACGTGGCTTGATAGTGTTTGTATGCAAAGTTATGTTGCATAAGCCGGGGAAGCACCAAAGCAAATCAGAACGTTTGTAAGCCTTATATTGGCTCGTGGAAATGATAATCTTTGTTGTACCATTACATTATTCAAAAAAAACATGTAATGGTGCAACATATGGAAATGTTCAGCAAAGTAAATGTCTTAAAGACATTTCATGAGGGAAACTGACTGACAAATGTTTAGCTTGAGCACTTTACGAAATGTTTTACTCGTTTTAACATTTTTGAAAATTGTAGCACTGGTTACGGGTACGTCTCAGTTCCCTTAATTGCATCCACGCGTCCTACATTTGGCTCCTCCACTTGCCTCTTAGTCCCTCCCACCAGAGATACATGGGAAGTAGCAAGGAACTGAAGCAGAGGAGAGAGGAAATGAGGAGATATGTTTTAAGAGACACGAGACGTCCTTTCCTTTACAGCGTCACCTGAAGCGACGTCCGTTTGTGATGATATCAGCTGATCACGTTCAGCTGTCAGTCGGCTTTAACAGCTGTTTATGTCGGCACAAATACGCATTGTATTATTTCTAATAAAATACACAGTAAATCAAATATAAAGTCGGGAGTGAGCGGCCTACACTGTAGTATTGATTTTATAGAACTTATGCTTAATATTTCATTGTTAATCTTCATGTCAGACACTTTATTTATTCCCAGCTCATAACAGACCGACTCTTCACAAACTGACAGATGTTTATAATCTGTTTAAATGTCCGATGTGTCCGTTTAGTCTTTTTAATGTCAGTCAATGAGAGGTATTTGATAAAGGGGCGTGCCTGTCAGTAAAAAGACTTCCATAAAGTGTGCTCTTGTGTATCCTCGCTCATCGCTCCTCAGATCTCCCTCCTCTCTCTTCCATCCTCTCTCCTCCTTTCAGTTATAAAGAGCTTTGGGACGCTCCTTAACTTGGCGGTTCTAGAACTACTTCCGGTTTGGCCGAGGAGACAGTATTTAAGAGAACTGAGATGCAGGATATATCAGTGTCTCATGCAGTGTACTGATGGCGTGTATTATACACATGTAAATTATTCTTTGCAGTTTTCGATGGAAAAAAAGCCTCCTATGGTGTTGTATGTTTATGGTTTTACTGTATCTAAAAAAACTTGGAACACAGATCAGCATTTTTTTTTACGAGTTTACAAAACAGGAATATAGGAAAAGGACTTACCATATATGGCAGTTAATATCGCGATCCTTAAGAAACGGGACCATTCTGATATCTGTTATTGGTTCTGTTTGAAAGCTTAAGCTGCTCCAGTATTTACATTCTGAGCTCCACAATTAGTTTTTACAAAAAAGCCAAAATGTCAGTAAGCCAGTAAATTAAAGTAAAGGTTTTTTTTTGTTGCTTGTTTGAAGTAACTGAAGCTGTTTTTTGTGTTGGTCAGAAATTACCTTTACCCTTCTACAAGGAGATGTGTGTGACATGGCAATAAACTACAATTTAAAGTAGAGGCGTATACAACTGGAGAAAGATTGTTGATACCATATTTGAAAAATAAATGTCTTCAAATCCCTTCATAAAAGCAAAGGATTAGATATATATATTAAAAATAAGTTATAGAGGACATGGGCACATTAAGTTTTTTTTAACTCACAACAGCTAGGTTGTGAGTTATAAAACTTTTTTTTGTGCAGTAATTATTGTGTATGCACACAATTGCACATCCCACATTTAACTTATTCTTACCACTACATTATTTTGTGCCGATAACAGAGTTGTACACTGTTTTGTCTTAAATGTGCCTGAAATGATGAGCCTATTTATGTCAGATGTAACCTGAAACCTTATGGACATGAAAAATATCATGTCAATGTTGTATTCATGTAAATGCTTTTTTTACATTTATATTTTCATGAATAAAAGTGAATACATATATAGTGCTTGACTTTTCTCTTCATCTTTTAGGTTTTTTTTAAGATAAATATGTTTTGTATGAACCAAGAAATCAGTGATGAATTTATAACAGTCTGTTTATTAAACAAGGTAAAGATACAAAGCTTTTTTTCTTTTTTAAAACATTGATAACCTTAGTTTAACTTCTCAGTCTTGGCTGTGCATATTTAGTTGTCTAGAAACTGTATATGAAACCACAATGCAAGACAGGAAAAAGTGTAGTAAATCTACGCAATATCTTTTCATAGAGAACATGGGTTAAACAGTTATACAGATTACAGCTCAGAAACTCCATGCTGAAGGATAAAAATAATAAAAATGTTTACACAACCGAATACTGCAGAACACAATACAGAGTAATGGAAATGTGATGATAAAACAGTTAAGGCTTACATGTAAATAACTGATAGAAAACATGAATATTAATAACATATGAGTAGACTAAAATAATAACAGAAAGTTCATACATAAACCTTTACAAAACCCAAACCGAACATGTTTATTAAACGTAAAAATAGGAACTTTAAATGAGTAACATGTTTTACAGTACAGCAACATGTACATTTTCCGGTTATCTCGAAAGAGGGAGTAGGTTGAGGAGGCAGGGTCTGTTGTTGGCGTAAATGTTTTTCAGGCCAGTGGCTTGAGTAATACGTTTTTATTTTTTGAAAACATACTATATACTGTATATGTATTTTACATTATTCTCTGTTCATCTCCAGCGTGATATCTAGCTGTAGCACCTTTTCAGAAGTGCCCTGAAGAATAGTACCATCCAGAGGTTAAAGTTTCCGTTAAAATACAACAAACAATACCATGTACAATAAAAAGAAAACTAATGAGAAAAAAAAATGAAAAGGAGAGAGGCATCACCTCTACAAAAACTACAAATTTCTTTAACTAAAAATATAGACTAATTGAATATGACTTATACTGCAGTTTATACCAAATGGGTAAAGCTTATTTAAATGAAAAAAAAAAAAAACTTAACTGGGTCAAAGTAGGTATACAGTGACTTCACATTTTGGTCCAATATTTTTCTAATGATAAAATTACTGCTCCCGTAAAATGTAACTTCAAGTTTTTTTCAAAATTTGGGCTTGTTGGAGCACAGCTGGCACTGATATATGTGCAAGATTTCCGAACCGCTAACACTAGTCAAAGCTTAACTGGGTAAAGAAAGCAAACACACACTATGACAAGATAAGCTTCCTCTCAACACCTCAGCAAGGTTCTTTATGGCACTAGAAAATGAGACGTGAGGAAAACATGTCTAAAGCAGTGTTACTCTGATCATACCTTGTGATCAAAAAGGTGCCATAAAAGTGAATATCAAATATGGAGTAAATTTTGGAAGTAAAAAAAAAACATTCATCTTTCTTCCCTCTTTTTTGCCTCCCAAAGTCAATAATACAACTTCTTGATACAATCATTAAATGTTTGAATTGTAATCTACCGATTGCCTTGCTTAAATTTTAGATGACCCTGTAGATTTGTGTAAAAAAAAAAAAGTAACAGAAAGACTGTTATCTACACACAGTCTGTACTCTTAGCTGCCACAAGTAATGCCCTTTGGCATTTTCCATCCAACAAGATTTGAACAATTTGAGCAAAAAACCACAAGGCCTAAAAGTGCTTTAAGATTATCTTTGGATGTCTCCAGAATACACCCATCCAACATTGTTGTTTTTTTTTCACTTTCTCAATTCTTTTTAAAGATCCCATATTATGCCCTTTTTGGGGTTCGTATATTTCATCTATGTACCTACTTTTGTACGTTCACAATAGCTAAAGTTTGAAAAAAGTGTCTGTTTTCATGTACTGCTCCCTCTACGCTCTGAGTCCGTCAGCTACGCTCTGTGGAGCCCACACTGTTAGACCCCACGTGGGCCAAGTCTGCTCTGATTGGTCTGCCGATCCGCTCTGTCGTTAATGAGCTACAGGGCTTGCCACAACGAGCCAATGGGCTTAGATCAGTGATCTCACACTGACAAATTTTTATCGAGGGGGGCTAGAACCGAGCATTACATGCAGCTAATGCTACAGCTAACAGGAGGACGTAGGAGAAGCCGCATTTCCGCGGACTTTGAATTTTTGCACATAGATGTGCCTAAACATGCACAGGACACTTGGAAAACACACTAAAGGGCATATAAAACCAGAAAAAGCATAATATGGGACCTTTAAGGGCAAATATCATCTGGCACATTTTTGGGAAACCATTTCATGGAAGAGGGGAAGAAAAAAAAAACTAACTTAAATATTTCTAATGGCCAATGCATCCAGCAGTTTATATGATGCTTACGAAAAAGTGCTTATTAAATCTGACGCAAGACATTCTTTGCCACTTGATCCTCCAGAAACATCTAGCTGTATTTTTTACATTCACAAAATAACGCTGTGCTCATTTTTGACAGACGGCCTGTGTGGGGATGGATGGAGGCAGCCTATATACTGAATGCTTATGTCAGCGGTTATAATGCTAATGTAAGCCTTATGTAGATGGCTCTGGGTGCAGTCCTCATACACCGGCCTTACATAGATACTGAATCCAACCTGCTGCTGAGTGGCTGGGGAGCTCAGATGAGGGAGATGCGAATGGGGATGCTGGGAGACTCTGTCCTTTGAGGCGACTGGTGGCTTACTAGGTGCTCCACCACCGTGTGTTTGGACATGTGCTTCATAAGGTAGGTCTCCTACAAACACATGAACACACTGATGTTTACTATAAGGAAATGTAACCCTAAACTCACATGTAAATTAAGATATACCTAGATTACAACAAAATGAGAAATATTTCAACTTTTGAAGGAAACTGGAGACTACACATTTGATCAGAAGCTTTTGAAAGGTATAAATCAAAAGAAGACACTGGCTGGTCTTTTTTCCTTTTTCATTCATGTCCTGCAACGAAAGAATATTGCAAAAACAAAACTTTGTACAGTCAAACATCACTTTTCTTAGCTGCTCTTATATGAAGTTAATGAAAATGTCTTGATTAATTATTTAGTGTAAAGAAATATCTGATAACAATTCCACAAGCACTGATCCTAGCTGACAGAACTTAACTAACAAAGATTCATTATACATTTGCTATTTTAGAAGCTGGCATCAATAAACTTTGGGCATTTTCGCTAAACGTTTCTGATTGTATTCTATGATCTTTTTGTTGAGTAATTAATCATTTCAGCTCTGGCGTTATCTTGTAGCAGAGAAATTTGAAGATGAGAGGTGCTGTATAAATATTGTGATCTTTGATCTCCATGAGTCACATGTGGCTAGCAAAAAGTACTTTGTTTAAACTACTGTGTACTTGGTAGAACCTTGTATGCCAAAATGGGGTGTGAACTCTAAATAGCAAAAAGAAAAAGGCTTAGCATTTTTTTTGGCTTGATTCAATATGAGCAAGAGAAACATAGAGAAAATCTGACACACAAAATGATAAAAGATAACCTGTTGTTTACTCACTGAGGTGTATGCCCTTCCACACATGCTACAGCAGTAGGCCTTAGCGTTTTTGATGGCGTGCGCTGACAAGTGGATCTGCAATGATGCGGAGTCTGAGTAGGCACGGTAGCAGTTAGGACATTTATACGGCTTGTCTTTATTGTGCTGCCTCTGGTGAGACTGTTCAGGAAGAGAAAGAAGTTTTTATTTGAGATATTTTTGATAACATTCAATTAAAGCAAAGAACATGTTTATGTGTAAACCAAATTCTTTTTTTGCTGTGTTGACTAGTTCATTGAAAAGGGACAGTTCCTTTTATGGCAGATATATCAGTTGTGACAGAAATACTGACCTGGAGGTTAGACAGCTGGGTAAAAGCCTTTTCACATCCAGGGTGAGCACATTTATAAGGCCTATCACCAGTGTGGATTCTGTTTCAAAATTAGAAATCAAAAATTACTTTAAATTTTCTTTTTAAATCATTCATGAAGAAGAAGAATGAAGGGTTGAAAATAAAGTTAGACTCCACAACAAATTCTATTACTACCCCCCCCTCCCTCTAAAATACAAAGGAGAAATACCTAGCTGTAAAATGGAAAATAATTGGAAGATGTTTGCTCAATTCCCCAAATTAAAAGTCAGAAATATAACATTTGTGACTGACACGCGTCACATTTGTTCTCCTAAAGCTAACCTGATTTCCCAGATTTAGGGTTCACAGCTGGACTGACCTGGTGTGCTGCTGAAGGTGTGACAGCTGACGGAACGAGTTCTCGCAGTATGAGCAGTGGTAGGGTTTGATCCCCAGGTGGATGCGCAGGTGCTGGGACAGGTAGGAGGCGTTGGCGAATGTCTTGGAGCAGTGGGGACACTTGTGTGCTTTGGCCTCCGTGTGGGACTTGGAGTGAATCTGCATCTCAGACTTGGTTAAGAAGGTGAGCGGGCACACTTTGCATCTTGATGGAAATAAAGGAAACAAAAAAAATGAACAAGCATATAAAGACAAGCAATAAAGTGAATTATTTATCAAACTATCAAAATGACTGTCCCAATTCATTGTCTTTTAGATTGACAAAATCAGGACACCAAAAACTTAACCATTTATGCAAACTATTGAAGCACCCTCAAAACCAAAATCATTGTAGTTTGATTCTGGATTAATTACAAAAATAGGAAATCATTTAGTCCATTCATTTATATTTTTCCGATTATATTATATTTTTCTGTGTTTTGCCGATCTGATCTGTCATTGGGCGAGAGGAGGGTGTACACCCTGGACTGGTCACCAGTCAATCACAGGGCTTCATTTATCTTCTAAAGCTTAGATTTCTTTTATTTTTTTCATGGATCACCATTGTTTTTACATCACAAAATTAAGTTTAAGTCACATTTATTTTGCCATTATCTTCATGAAAAAACTAAAGTAGAAAAGCAGTTTGAAGAAATTTGATTATAGGAGTGAAATATCACTTGACATCCAATAAGTGAGTCAGGTGAGGTTACTCACATCTCAATAATCTGCAGTGTACTTTAAACCAAACCAATGTCGGTGCCTATTGATCTTTAGACCACAATTATATATTTAAAATGTATTTTCAGAAATGGCCTCCAATCTGTGACTCCATTAAAACTGAAGAGTAATAGTAGCTGGTTCTTGTGTACAACCTGTAGGTTTTGCCCTCTTTGGGTGCAATAGTGACACAGCCTTGGTCAGCTAGGATGGGATAGGGCACCACAAGCAGAGGACCAGATGAGTTTTCTGCTTTGATCTTCTTTCGTCCCCGGGGTGCTTTTGGTGGGGGGCCCAATAGTCCAGCCAACCTCCAACTTTCATGTGGTCCATGCCAGGACCGCTAGCTAGCCCAGAGATGATGTTCACAGAGGGGGTGCCACCCAGACGGTTGTGGCTGCTGGAGGTTGGGGTTGTGGGGGTTAGTGCCTCAGAGGTGCCATGGCTTTCAGGTCGGGAAGAGGGAGCCAGGCCTTCGGAGAAGAAAACAAGAACTCTCAACACAAGAACAAGAACCTTCAGAATTTTGACTTGACCGGGTTTTGATTACTTTAATCACAAAATGATTGTTATTGTAAGTGAAGCTCTTGACTACTGATCAACATGTTTGGTACATGTGTTATGGGATATATTACAATGAACATCAAGTCTGTTTTTTACATTTTCTAGGTCTACTTACAATTCACGCCTCAAAAGGTTTTCACAAGTCTGTTCAAGGATTTTTCTATTTTACAGAAATAACAACCAATGGTTTCCCGTAACAAGAAAAAAAACATCTTCCTGATTCCTAAAGCTGAAGCACAGTTTACAAAATGGTTAGCTATGAAATAAAGAAAATGGGACTTGTGTTAAATAGGCTTAAACTTACAACACCACTGGTATGGTTGTTCAACAGCTCAACAAGACTGGTGTCTCTTCAATGCATAACACTGACCAATATGTTGTTTTATATCCTGTTTATGTACCATAAGTCAGGTTATCTGGAAGTGTTGAGAGCATTATAGTAGAATGCACTCGCTTCACAATATAGTCTATTTGTTCATAACCTAACTTTAAGACTGGGAACTGTTTTATAAATGTCATGTAATCATTTTAACCAAGTTATTACTAAGTTATTATTCTGATATTTCTCCATGTCAACAGACCAGAGATCAGCTGACTTCAGCACCTGATCGATGGTTGAGCCGTCCATGTTGCTCGCTGAGCTGTCTCATGTGCCAGTCCTCCCACAGTCCTTTGGCCTTAACTGCTGACTTGTCATCCATGTTTCCATCTGGAAGTTTTCAGGTGATGGCATTAGAAAATATTTTAACAAAAATAATAAAGACTGACCTTATTTCGTTGTCAAATAACACACAGTTCATATAAACTTTCACCGCCTTGTTGGCATTTTTTCCAAAAGTTCCCTGATTTAAACAGGTATCTGATCAAAGTAAACAAGACTAAAATTGTACACATAATGGACTCAATGACAAAATGTTGTGCTAAAACTCATTGTTTAGGATACTTCATGCTGCTGACACACGATTAACAGTGTTTCAAATGTGGTGCAGCACAATAAACACAAAGACTGTACCTTGTCCAGAGCTGGAGGCAGGGCGAGCATGCAGAGCGATGTCCGGCTGTCCGGAGCCCTGCTGCTGAATGTGGTGGCCCGACAGCTGCTGCGGCTTCAGCACCGGCATGCTGTGCTGAGCACTTCCATCGGGGGAAGAGGTTGGCACCAGCAACGTCTGCTGGGAAGGTGTGGAGGTAGGTGGCAGGTGTAGGGGCTAATCTTCTCAGCCATCAGCTGCTCCTTGATCTTGTTAATGAGCACCAGGTTATCCAGCTGCAAGGGTTAACGGGTCATGCTCAACAGAAAACAGCCACCGTGTGTGAATGTCAATCATGACCCAATAAAAATGTCCCAGGACACAAGACAAGCTCAACTTTGTAACTCTACAAGACAAACTGGGACAGCTTCTCACTGTGAGATTTATTTCACTGACTGGTGCTGAATGGCTGAAAAGACATTCACACATGGAATTAAAAGGCAATCAAATGTGAAATGTCACAATAGCTACATGTTACTTGGGTGGGACTTACCTGGCCTGGCATTGATGGAGGTGGCGGCCAGAAATACGGGTTGTTAAATCGAGGCTCTGCCATCCTAAAATGAGTAACATATATCTCATCACTTTTGAAGTCAAGTTATTCTAAAAGATATGCTATTTAAAAAACACATTTCTTAAAGCCAGTTAGAATCAGAGAGGTCTTTGTGATACAATTTTTTTTCATTGTACGAAGAACTGATAGATATAGATAGAAGATAGATACTGTAAATAGATAGAATTGCAAAATCAGTATTCATTTAAGTATGAAGAACATAATTTGGTGCTCAAACACATTTTCTCTAAAAAAAAAAAAAAAAAAAAAAAAAATGTCAGCAGAAAATAGAGTTTTAAAATTCTATCTTTATTAATCATGAAAAAATATTCAAGGATATATTTTGGGACATATCGTGCTAGCTAGGCTAAAACAACATTGCAAGAAATGCACAATTAAGGCCACTTAGAGGATCATAATAGACGGGCCAAAAGATGTTTGTTATAAGGGTGCAGATGGTTGAGATGTTTTCAAATATCTGAATCAAATGGACGGAGAGGAAAATAAATGACAAATAAAGACAACAATATAATGAAGATGAAAAGAAAAAGGAAAAGGAACTGAATAAAAAGAGAAAACAAGTAAATCAAATTGATTTATACAAACACACACGCACACACAAACAATAGGCCTACTGCAAAAAAAAGGATTCCCTTCTTCTGGCAATTTGATACACTTGCTTCAATTTTCTCTTTGAAAAATTAAATTATTTGTTTGGCTTTTTTTTTTTTTTACAAATAAAAAGTGAAAATAAGTAGGATGGATCGATTAGGCTAGGATCCGTTTTTTTAGACATGAGTTTGCTTAGTTGTCATGGAGATTACTTGAGCAAATGGCACATGCAAACTCCATTTACTTAAGAAACCTTGATATGTGATTGAAAGATGGGACACAAAAGTGCACAGGATGTAAGGCTGTTTTTGAACAGTGTAACACTTTAATATATTTCATCGTGTAAATTAGGCCTGCAGTGTCGCCTTTAAATTAACTCTGATAAGTCTCAAAATAGCGTCTCACTTAAAAAACAAAAATCGAGACCGACAGTGCCATAGCAGTTTAGCTTGGACATTTAGCTCTATTCCTTTTGTCTGAGAGTGAATTCCTGAAAATAAGTGGACGAAGCTTTAAATTGTCACATATAGGCTTGAAAACAAAACTCTCCATTCTTTGACGTTTCGGACATGTTGGCCGTCTGAGGACATCGACGGACGAACTGATGAATATTGTTCCTCCCGGTGCGGCTCAGACATTCTCAGACAGTTTTCTTTAAACATTTCCAGACAAAAGAGAAACAAAAATGGCAGCCTTATTTTTATAAGGCGGGACGCCATATTCTGCAGACCCCAAAATTTTAGGAGGATGAACATGTTGTGAGAATGTTGATGGCGACAAAAGCGACCAACGCGGACACAAAGGTGTGTTTATCATGTCAAAGGCATGAATGATTGTTTACGGCGAATTGCAGGTTTGAATAGCCCGGCCTCCCAACCTCTTAAAAAAACTGACACTTCCTACAACAACCATGCCCTGCAAAAAACAGAAACGGACAAGATGCAGGCTCGATCAGAACAGCAGAGCGATTAAAACAAATGTAGCGATGCGTTAATGTCAAAACAGAACTAACGCAAAGTGCTCTGTCTCTGTACAAACGCCGTGCCATCTTAAACAAATTCACTTTGAGGGCTGTTTTTTTTTTTACATTCTGCAACTTTTGGACGAATCAAAGGACAGCTATTACATGTTGTGCACAATGCACGGATTTAGGAAGCTATCGCTCATCGGAGAATTGCATAGCAGTGAAAACACGAAAAGACATGCACAAATACCTTGTGTCCTGATTGCAGATATTGTCTTGCGAGTACAGCTATAATATAAAAGCTTGATGTTCTTTCTGTCTGCCTCCAGTCGGACCACCGCTTCCGGGTCGCTTTGTTCACTTCTGGGTGCTGCTGCAGCCTTACCATCCATGCAGAACAGACATTGAGGAAATATTGTGCTTATGTTGCTTTGAATTTTTACACGATGACCTAGGCCTACTCAATTCACGTTGAAGGGACAGCCTGTGAACACTTTAATGGCGCTGTTTCGGCGCTTGTTTGGGTCTGATTTTGCGCACAGATCCGCATGGGTGGAAAAGTCACCTATTCAATTTCGTTTCCTCAAATAACGGCGCAGTGTAAATAAAGGTTGTCCTTTATAAAGAAGCACTGCGTTCACAGTTACACTCCTGCAAAATATGTCTACTCGACGTACCCGAAAATCACAGAATAGGTGGTTAAATAAGAAATATGGCTACTTGAATTGTTAAATAGTCTACCAAGGCTGCTTAAAGGGAACATCGTATTTGATGAGATCAACTCGTGTTTTACACGTCACTTAAATTGCCCAGTGTTATTAATAAATTAAAGGTAAAACTAAAATATTTTCTAATTAAAGTAGATAAAGTTGCTCTAAAATGGAGCTTAAGGCAATAGCATGGGTAAATGTGTTGTCCCATCATCTTAGTTTAATGATACGTAGGATTTCACATTTTTTCTTTAACCCAAATATAAACTTATCATTTTGACAAGTATCTCTCTAACAATTTATACACAGACATAAGTCTGAGTGCAAAGGATACTGGGATACATACGCTTTCCCACGTTCATATTCTATTCGAGGGCAGCACCATTGCATCACTGGTATGCACTCCTGTCTTTTGTAGAATGTTTGTGAAAAAAAAAAAACATTTTAGCATTCACTGTTGTAATTGTCCTATTAAACTCTGCTCCTAATATTTGGGTTTCAAATAAAAACCCTCAGGATGTTTCAAAGTTAAAGGGATACTTCACCCATCTGCATTAATCTTTGTATCATTAGAAACCTGGTAGTATTTTTGAATGGTCGTGCATCCTGCCCTCATTTTCCCCTGAGATGGGAAATCTTTGTATTTATAAGTCTGAAAAGGAGCTTCCAGTGACGTAAAATGACGATTTGGCCACTGAAGCTACAGACCAATCACAGATCAGTGGGTGGGAACTCACGCCCAGAATCTAAACTTAATGTCCGCCATATTGCTTGGAAGCTATGCTAACAGGCTCATCAGAAAGCTGATAATGGCGAAAAAATATAAATATAGTGGCGAGACGGCTGCTGCTGCCGAGCCCGGCTGCCGGGAGCTCAGCAGCCGAGACATAAGGCCTGCCTGTCCGCTGTGAGGACGAGGAGTTTGAGCCAGCTCGAGCTGGGGCGGACTGGTAGTGTCGGTGCTCTCACTGTTTGCCTATGGACTCAGACATAGAGTCTGTTTTCTGACAGGAATTTCCAAGATCAATTCTGGAAGAAATCTCTGAATCAGTTGAGAAAACGGTCTTATGTGTTGAAGTAAATATGTCTGTAAATGTTTTTATTACTATATTTCTACTGCTATATTGTATATTTTGGAGAAACTGTAACGATCGAATTTCCCTCTGGGATTAATAAAGTATTTCTGATTCTGAACTAGAGAGCCTTAGTGGGAGTGGCCTGCGGTGCTGTGCATTCTGGGATTTGGTGTCTTTCATCCACATGATTCAAAAATAAACTTTCTGCCTTTTCATGGCCAAGAAGGCACCAACTTCAAAATGTATTTCACATTTCTAATACATATATGAACCAATGTCAATACAGATTCATGCTTCAACGGGTGAAGTATCCCTTTAATATTGTACATAATACCTTTACTACTACTTGTAATTTTAATCATACATATAAATTGTATATCGCTTTTGTATGTTTTAAATGCACAAATAGGTTGGTTAATCCACTTTCAAGGTAGGATTTTCTTGTAGTTCATGAATTAAATACAATTTAAATGTGCTTTATATGCTGCACTCTGACAACAAACTCCACTCAAATCTTACTCCTTTTTCGGCTCCTGTCTGTCCCTATCTCTTGTGTCTTAACCACATCATCATCATCGTCATCATCGCAGAGGTGAAATGGAATTATTGGAACAGAGGAACCCATGTGGTGACGCTGTCATCATGTGTGTGTTTGTGTGTGTGTGATGGGGGTTGATTTTGGTGATCTCAGTGTGTTTCCTGTTTCTGTGAAGACTCAAACACATACACACAGACTGGTAGTCTCACAGGCTTCCGTGAATGCTTTTTTTTGAGTCAGCTTTGTACGGAAATCTAAAGATGACCTAAAGTCAGAGAGTTTCCTCTTATTTTTTAATGCAGTGATGTTTTCATCTGGGGACATATTTTCGTGATCTGTTGTCTGTGCAACTAACACGTGTCCAGTTTCCACACAGTCTAATCTGCCAGCATGGACGAGGTAAGTCATTTAATTGAGGTATTGTTTATGGATCAGCTTAACAGTTTTACTTAAATTTAGTTTATTGTGAGTACATTTTATATCGACACCTGTAACAGAACATCTATTGATGTTACAATGACATAATAAGTGACACATTTTTTTTATATCTTATCATTTTCTGAATGCTGTGTGAGAGATAAACACGATATAAGAACAATGGCTAAACATGTTGCTTTACATCAATTCTTCAAAAAAGAATACAACCCTGGTTATAATAGGAGGCCTTTTCATGGTTAATCATTTGGGCTGTAAAATGTTTAGTGTATGGAAGAAGGGGCCCACAAAGTCTGTGATTATCAAAACAGTTGTGGATCATTTGTTATGTTAAATGCATTAATGTTTGATGTTGTTTAACATTTACAAAATTAGGTTTATCAATGACCAGAATATGTGATGACCCATTGCCGAAACATGTATGTAGTTGAAAAGAAAGAATCCATGCAGTTGCTGGTGGGTCGGGACCCAAAAGTGGGTCGCGAACATGTGGCTGGAAAAAAAAAGTGTATAAAGTCTATGAAACACTCTTCAAGCATGTTGGTTTTGTTCTTTCTCTTTGTTCCGTCATGTGTTTTGTACCATTTGATGTCCAAATTGCGCTATTTTTCATTCAATAAATCTGATATCAGAAATTTCGGTCATGATTTTCATGAAGGAGTTAGTGGTGGGTCCTTAGACTTGACCAGTTGAAAACAACTGTCCCAGACCATACAAATATCAAAGATCTGTTAGCAATGGGTCTTGTTCACTCCTAATTAAAATGAATCAGGAATGCTTTTTCGGTTCAGACTGCTTTACAACAAACTCCAGCTGTCAGTCAAGTCAGCTACGCATCTAACTATGGATAATATGTATAGTTTTCAAAATAAAAACGGAGCAGTTTAAAAAAATGAACCCCACCGTACAGTATGTGGCAGTGATGACAATAACCAATCAGACCATTTCGTGTTTTTTTTTGTACCAGGCTGTGTACATGTTAATTTATGCTGTAAAAAAGGCTTTTTTGACATTTATGTGTATGTGACTTCTGGTGTTCCTGGAGCCAGCCTCAAGCAGACACTAGACAAACTGCAGGATTGTGCACTTCCACATTGGCTTAACTTTTTAAGACTAAAAGTTGCCACTTGATTATAAACCCATGAAATGCCTTGATAAGTAGCACAAGCCACGTTTCCACAGTTGTCCTTTTGTAATGGCAGCTATTGTGTCAAAGTATCACATGCTGCATTATGTTCCTTATTCATTTTATTGTTGTTTATCTATGTTTTATATTTATATTTAATTCCTATTTCTATTAGGCTATATTTTTCTCTCTCCCTAATGTCTAATCTCACTAAAGTATTTCTGATTCAAATTCGATTATAAATCCTCATCTTTTTACAGATTATCCTCCTGATACTTGCCTTCCTATCAACTGGACTGAGATATGCCAATTTGACACAACAAACCAACAGTTCATGTCATACAATTTGTCCACCTGGTAAGTCATACTGACAAAGCTTCGTGTTACAGAATTATAGGGAAGTTATCACATTTTTACTCATTCCCTTTTTTTATTCTGCTCCCAGGATATTATAAAAGTGCTGGCTGTGAGGATCCAGTAAAACAGCACAGATGTAGCAAATGTGATGATGACACATTCACAGATAAAAACAACTTTTTACCAAAATGTGAAACTTGTAAGGCATGTAGTCGTAAGTATCTTATCATTAATCACTTTGGGTAAAAGAAAACTTACCTCTCAGCTTCTCATATATTGTTTAATCTTTTTAATTTTAATTTTGGCAATGATCATGGTTGGATTACATTTTCTGGTTATTAAAATACACTTCTGATGCTATTTGTGGCAGTTAGCACACAGCTCTTTAATGATCAAATTGTCATTCTTTTCAGACTTACTGATGGTATTAGAAGTAGTTAATTAGCCAAATTTATTATTATTATTATTATTTTTTAGACCCAATGACAATTTTTCTTTGTATTGTGAAAGAAACACTGTTTATTTGGTTTTCCCCAGATCAAGAGGTGACAATAAAGAACTGTACCAATAAGCGTGATTATATATGTGACTGTCCAGAAAGACATTACTATTTAGATGAACGTGTCTTTGGGGATTGCAGGCCATGCCCAGATAAACAATGTGAAGGTAAGTGAATTCAAAGAAAGTGGAAGCCTTGCTTAAGCATTTTCACCTGCCACATTGGTATATAATCTGGCTAGTGTATTTTAGTATAAACACACTCAAAAGTAAGCCATACATTTTTTTAATCACACAAATATTTTTCAGAGTCTGCTATTCATCGTGACTGCAAAAGGAAGTGTCAGAGGTAGGAGATACATTTTGACAGAGGAAAACCTAGCTATGTTAATTATAATTATTTTATTTATAATTATTTACCATTAATATCAGTCAAGTGTTATTTGTCTATGTTCTTTACATTTCTATGTTGCTATATTTACCCTTTCTATGAAACCTAATCTATTATACATGCTTCCTTTTTGGATACGCTGTTGACTGTTGATAAATAACAACATTTCCATCAACTGAGAAAAAATATCACTTGTAGGATACTTTTATCAGGATTAAGTCTTCATCTGAATAAAGCCTGACCTGATTTCAGTTAAGGGGGCATATGTGGTCTTCTTGTCAGAGTGGAGGAAACTTATTTTTTTTTAAACTTTTGTGTAAGACACTGAGTAGCCTACTTGTGGTTTTTACTGAGGCCCTGCATTGCCTATATGTGCTTTGTGGCTATGAGGCTGTGGATGTTAAAGGTCTCAGGTTTGTGAAGACTTTGAGGGTCTCTTTGTGACTAAAGGGTTGTGAGTGTGTATATATAGGATTTAGCCTGATTTCCTTTTAAAATCCCACAAAAGTATGGGTACACAACTTTGGAGTAAACTGTAAGTCTCATAGAATTATGATACAGTATATACAGTATATGCCAGTGGACAGAAAAGTATTTTCACTCTCACAATAAAAGATAAATTTGAGATCACCTCATTCCAAAAACTCCTTACAGAAGGGCAAAACCACAATACATGGATCAGTGTTCCTGCCTCATCACAGCCATGTGAACACAAATGTGAGAGGGAATTAGCTGTTGTTTTTTAGAGGAGGAGGGACAGCAAAATATATCGTTTTGAAACTAATTTCCTCCCCCTCAGTTTATTGTCCAAATCATTATCAAGCCCTGTGGTTTTTTATTTATTTAACAAGTAACCTCAAGATTGGTTTTAGATGTAAATGTGAAAAAAGTGCACACAAACATATTTAAGCAAGTATCTGAAATTATATTCAGCCTGAGCTATCCAAGGTAAAGAAATCCAGTAAGTGTCTTCAAAAATCAGACTTTTATTACAATTTTTTCTCTTTTGTTTTCATCCTTTATCTCTGACACATAACAGCAGAGGGACACTCTACAATAAAACGTAAAGTTTTATTTTATTAAAAAAACCTTAAATTTTGTCTCTGACCAACTTTGAATCTTTTACATGCCATTAGGTGTTTTAGTTTAGTAATCCATTGCTTTCATTTAAATCACAGTAGAAAAGGATTGTTTAATTACCTATTTGAATATTACAACAAGGAAGAACTGACTCAGTGTTCAAAGATGGACTAGATTATTTGTAATAAGACTTTAAAAAATTGGGAACTATCCTTTAGTGTAAGGTAAAATATGCTTCTGGTGTTATTTATATAAGTTTCTCTTTTTTTCAGCACAACTTCAGCTATAACTACCTTGATGAATCTACCTACAACTACAACTACACCTATGAGCGCTACATTTAGAAGAACTAAAGCTCCAACCACTGCAGTGAATCCAACTCCACATCACTGTTAGTTCTAAATATATTTGGGATTTTAACAAGTAATTTAACGAATACACATACTATCCTGTTGTCTTATTATTATATGGCTTAAAAGCCTTTAAACTTACAACAGTGCATGTTTAACAGACCCTGATTGTTTCCTCTCGCTTTTAGATTGATTTCAGTGTGTTTCTTTGTTTCCACAGCACTGAACCAATTCTCCTGGCTGCTTCTGGGGGGAGTTTATGTTGTGACTTTTCTGTTACTTTCCTGCCTCCTTTTCCTCAACAAGAACCCACTAAGATACCCTGCCAGTTGTCCGTTTTGGAGTGCAAAGAAAGACCTGGAGCTGCCTGTCGAGGAACCAAAATTCAACGGTAACTAAGCATGAAATTTAACTCAGTACATGCACTCATAAATTGTACTTAAAGGGATACTTCACCCGTTGAAACATGAATCTGTATTGACATTGGTTCATATATGTATTAGAAATGTGAAATAAATTTTGAAGTTGGTGCCTTCTTGGCCGAGAAAAGGCAGAAAGTTTATTTTTGAATCATGTGGATGAAAGATACCAAATCCCAGAATGCACAGCACCGCAGGCCACTCCCACTAAGGTCCTCTAGGTCAGAATCAGAAATACTTTATTAATCCCAGAGGGAAAATCGATCGTTACAGTTTCTCCAAAATATACAATATAGCAGTAGAAATATAGTAATAAAAGCATTTACAGACATATTTACTTCAACACATAAGACCGTTTCCTCAACAGATTCAGAGATTTCTTCCAGAAGTGATCTTGGAAATTCCTGGCAGAAAACAGACTCTATGTCTGAGTCCATAGGCAAACAGTGAGAGCACCGACACTACCAGTCCGCCCCAGCTCGAGCCGACCCCGGCTCCTCGTCCTCACCGCCGCTGATAGGCAGGCATCATGTCTCGGCTGCTGAGCTGGCAGCGGCAATATAGCAACACAGCCGTGAGACGGTTGCTGCCGACAGGCCAGTCTTGTGCCGGGCTCGCGGCACCCGGTCTTGTGTTTGGCAGCAGCCAAAACACAAGACCGACCTGTCTGCAGCAGCCATCTCACCATTATATTTATATTTTTTCGCCATTATCAGCTTTCTCCATTGAGCCTGTTAGCATAACTTCCAAGCAATATGGCGGACGTTAAGTTTCGATTCTGGGAGTGAGTTCCCACCCACTGATCTGTGATTGGTCTGTAGCTTCAGTGGTCGAAAATATGAGGAACTAGCGTTGTAGTTTCACCCTGCTAACCACAACAGCTTCCAGTGACGTAAAAATCGTCATTTTGCATCACTGGAAGCTTCTTTTCAGACTTAGAAATACAAAGATTTCCCATCTCAGGGGAAAATGAGGGCGGGATGCACGACCATTCAAAAATACTACCAGGTTTCTAATGATACAAAGCTTAATGCAAATGGGTGAAGTATCCCTTTAAGTACAGTTGTTGTACTTGATTCATACTTGAGTACTTTGATTTTATGCAACTCATACCTCTTCTTCACTTTCAGAGGTATAAATATACTTTTTGTTACTGTTTTTTTAATTGGATTACTATAAGTACCAAGTTACTTTAAATATATCTTTAAAAAAGCCTGTTAAGATATATATTGTTATAAATTAAACTACCCAACTGTAGAAGTAATTCACTTTTTATGATACACCTAAACGTCTAAAATGAATACTTTTTCATTTTGGTCTCAATACGTCTGTAGTCTTTCTATCCCTGTACATTAAAGATTTCAGATTTAAAATGTTTTTTTTTCTCAGCAATGTATTTGCTTTTTTTTTGTCAAAGTGTGCTTCTCACTCAAAAATGTGTTCAGACGGAAGCTTATAGATAACATCTGCTTTCCTCCTACCAGAACAAAACAGTCATCAGGACATCAGCACAACCACACTGGTAAGTGCTAAACTTTGCAAATTTTGTGTTCTGCTCAGATAGAGCTCAAGATTGTTGATGTCCTGTCGAAGGCCAGACAGATGAATGTTTGAATAAAAAGAGACATGGAAGGTCAATTTGAGGAAAGTTAATCAATTGATCAGTTTTCTTTTAGAAAGCTAGAGTTGTGATGAATTATCTAGATGATATAGTTGTGTGTCAGAAAGACTGATGAATTTTACCCATTGCGCTTTGACACTTCAATCTTCAATTGATCTTTACCTCTCTTTGTTGTTTGTCCTTCTCAGACATTAAATATATCTGAGGAAACTCCCATAATGATTCCAAAACAGGTGCTGGCCACACAAGAACATCCCACACCAACCCACGACTGTCCTCTACTGCCAGCCACTGAACACAAAGGTAGGTTTCACTACTTGTTGTCAGGCAACAATAAACAGCATGAAAATAAGTGAACTGTTTGGAATTGGTTCAATTTATTTTGATGTTTGACATCCCTGTTCCTCACTGGTGCATTTGATTGATAACACATAAATGTGAATATATATGGTTACAAATATTTGGCCCTAAGATTTCAGTAGAATATGGATGAAAGAAGCAGCTGTTTGGAGTTGACTCATTTTTTTCAGCTTGTATTGCATTTTTGTATAAAACAAATTTAGCATGATATGGCATGTCAGCATTTGTCAGTACTTGAATCGGAACTGTTTTTTTTATTTTTATTTCACTCTCAATACTGTGGTGAAATGAGACTCATATTTACGGTGGCCCTGAAGTGCAAAGCACAATGATCAGTCAGAAAACACAACAGCAAATAAGAAAACACAACAACAAATGGCAACAACAACAATGTTTTCTTATTTGTTGTGTTTTTTAAATTTGTTTTTTTGTTTTGTGATTTTTCATTGTGCTTTGCACTTCAGGGCCACCATACATGTTATCAAAAACACACAGTGAATTTTGGATTAATTGGACAAAACACCCTAGGTTGAGTTGTGAGTGCCAATAGCGTCATGTTTCTATTTATTCTATTTCTATTTATTATATAAATAGAAACAAGACTATAAATAAAAAAAATAACTATAAATTACATATTATCTATCTACTTATTGCTCATGTGGTAAGGTAGGGTAGGTAGTATCGGCATTGTCACAACCTGGCTTGTTTACATAATCAGAGCCAGGGTCTGTTTTGGTTGCATTGCTGTTTTGGTTGCAGTGGCATCTAAGGGCCACAAGGTAGGTTATATAACTTTTCAGTAGGGCATAGGGCCATAATTAGGAGGAGGGGTTTCTTCACTATTCGCATATCCTTTCATTAGAGCACAAGTACCTTGTGTTTATTTTAAATTGATAAAATAAAAGTTGAGTTGATAAATAACAAAAACGTTCATCTTCAATGTGAGAGCAATGACTTAAAACTAAAGCCCATTATCAGCATTAGAGCATAGATTGTTACCAAAATGTTAAAAAGTTCTATCAAACCATCACCTGAATTTAATTACAATGTAATCTACCAGACATCATGCAGCTAACATCAAATGTTGTGGGGAAAAAAAATAAACAGAATGTCAAAGTTACACTTTTTGTGGTGTTTTATCTTGGGCTTCAGCCTTTTCATCTATGCCTGTTCAGCATGTAAGTTATCACTGATCAGCTGTAACGCCCACAGTGCCGCCCTCACTCGTGCATCAGTCAGCTAGTTGGCCTTTGCGTAAATGGAAATCAGATAAGATTGCATATAACTTAACTGTAATACTTTGCATCCTCTTCCTTTATGTGTGAATTACATTGAAATGACTGTACAGTACATGCATTTAGATCTCATTTTTGGAATATTCCATGACAAATCCATTTATAATACTTGTATTATCTGTGTGCTGTTGTTGTCCTTTTGTGTTGCTGTGTATCATTTTGTAGAGTGACTTGACCGCATGGCTGTTAGATCTTTTACTGTAGGTTTTGATCCCTATTTATGATTTTGTTTCACAAATAAATGTAGAAAACGCATCAGGAATCAAAAATCATTTTACTGGTAGCAGTGCTGCAACAGTTAGTCAAACCCTACAAAGTGTGTTTTATTTTTCAAAAGGCTGTGTTTTGTCCTATAGGCAAATGTTACTCAAACAGTAGGGCGTAGTGATAATGAATAAGTGACATATGACTAATGAAAACCTGGAGGTTTATGGCATAGTGGAATAAGATATATCAGGCTGGGCTTTTTAGTACTTTGATGACATTTGTCTACAGTCAAGAAAACAGAATATATCACCCAAACTAATCCTTTTGGACCATGTGAACCTTTTCACAATCAATGCAGTCAACACATGCCCCATCTTCTGACATGGTCTGCTAAAATGCTTCTTCACAGTTTCTGTATCTTGATGACCTGTATCTTGATAGTTTAGCTTGAACGGGGTTTATAGTTTGCCAAAAAACAAACCAAAGGACAAAACATTCAGCAAGATGGAGCTGTGCACTGAATAGGGTAAACTTGCAAGATTACAAAAAAAAAAAAAGTTTTTTTTATGCAGAAGCACACTAGATACACTGCACACTAATGCAGGTTGTTCACCTCTAGTGCCTGTGATTCTCTCTGTACAGCTGGCGGACAATATGATCATTCAGAGCACTGGCCCGCCATCGTCCTGTATGCCATTATCAAGGAGGTGCCCTTGCGTAGATGGAAGGAATTCTTGCGTTTGCTCTCGGTGGCTGACCAGCAGCTGGAGCGGGTGGAGCTGGAGGCTGGTTTGGGTCTAGGCTCCAAAGAGAGGCAGTACCAGATGCTGAGGCTGTGGAGCCAGCGTTCCTCAGCAAGCTTGAAAGATGTCTTCTCTGCCTTGCATCACATGGATTTATCAGGCTGTGCACAGCTGCTGCAGGAAAGCCTGGAGAAGCTGCATTTGAGGTGGTCGCAGCAAGCAGAAATTACACACAACATGGTTTGAACGGGGCAATGCAGGAAACCGGAAGTTGCATCTGCAGTGTAAAAATACCACACTATCATTAAATCAGATCATCAGTGCTTAAACCTTTGACACCTGTAGACTAGAAAAGTCCAGTTCCTGGAGAGGACATTACAGACTGTATCCAATACATTGTTCAACCGCAGAAAACTTCAATAATGACCCATTCTTAGTGAATAAGATGTATATTACAATCTAGCTAAGAGCTAATATTAGGCATTATGAAGATCTGTTGTGATCATGACAGGCTCAACAGGAATTTACATTTTTTATGTTTTCATACTTCTTGTAATGGCTAAATAGCATGCATTAACTTAATCCAAATATCTCCATTCTTTGTGTTTTTTGGGGTTGAGATTTATTTGTATCTAAATAAACTTGCAAAATGCACCATGTTCATACGAAACTAATGGATTTGTTGTATTTCAGAGATAGCTGCAGAATAGGAGCTTGAATAATTAAGTGGCATTCTCAAATGCATTTAATAACATCAACAACATCATCATCAACAACAACAACAACAACAACAACAACAACAACAGTGGCAGCTTAATTTTATTTATTTTTTTAACTTCAGCTTTGTGGTAGGTTCATTTCAAGAAGAACATGACATCCTGTTACTGTAACTCTGCACTCAATCCTGTAACCTACAAGGGAAAAAAATCAGTTGACATCTAGGTGTTCTCCTTCATCTCATTTCACATGAAAGTCTGTTTCAGTTTTAGCCACCAAATTTTTTACTGCACTCCCTCGCAAGGTTAGAAAACTGAAATCCCCACAGGACGTCAGACTTTCAATTTCCTGCAAACAAATGGTGTCATTGTGCAGCAGGTTAGGTTTTTCCTAACCACACACCCAGGCTGATGATTTACTGCAGTTGGGTAGGGGTATATCTCACTTTGAGATTTTTTTTAACGTTAATTCAGTAACAACCAGAAAAGTAGTAGGACACTCCATTTATTGGAGCCCATAAATGAATATTTTTATATGAATATATCTGTAGTTTTTGGCTACAGGCCCAGACACATATTTGTTGGTGTAGGCTTGTATATATATTTTGTTACTGGTATCATTTTTTCATAATGCTCATGGGTGCTTACATACTTTATTACTGAGCTTAAAGGCTTTATATGTGTATATATCACACTTAAATATAATAGAAATCAAGTATATCCTCTGAAAATAACTCTGTGAGTCATGACTGTCTACAATGGGTGTAACACCTGAGTCCCACTGTCTGTGATGCTTTCAGAGTTTTCCGAGTCCTATCTTCAGTTTGTTTACATGCATAGGTTTCGTTTAGGAGCCAATTTCAACTGCTGTTTCAAGATTGAATTTGAATGTAGGCCTAGTTGAATTCAACATTCAACATTTGAAATTTAGCTTATCGCGGTCTATTTGTTTTCTTTCCTTAAAGGCTTTATATGCGTTTATTTTTTGATCCAGCAGATGTCGCCCTTGAGCACCAGCATGAAATCAAAACAACTCACAGTGCATTGTTGTGTTAGCATGCTAATGCTAGTGATCTTTATTATGCTCGTATCTTCACACTGCATGTAAATTTACCTGAAATGAGCGTGTTCTAGAAACGCAGTTAAGCAGTGAGTACAGTATGTTATTCTTCTTTTCTCTAGTCCCTCAATTAAACAACTTTTGTTCGCGAGGGGAGGAGTCAGCCGGCTGTCCGGGCGATGTAAACAAACTGAAAATATGACTGGGAAAACTGGGAAAGCATCACAGACAGTGGGACTCTGGTGTTACACCCATTGTAGACAGTCATGACTCACAGTTATTTTCAGAGGATATACTTGATTTCTATTATATTTAAGTGTGAAAAATCACATATAATATAAAGCCTTTAATGCAAAGATGCAACATGATTATCAATAATAGGCTATTATGGAAAGCAAGAAAATGTTGAGTTTCAAAGTTGTCGGTCTCAATCATGTAGGCTTAATTGAGCGATAAAGATCTAGTCTACTACCTATAGGTAACATCAATGAGCAATTCACGCTCGTTATAGCGGCTCCTAGATAAAGTGAAATTAAGAAGGCACATTTCTGCCTCTGGAAAAATATCTGTGGGCCTAATGGATGCCTTTATTGAGATGCGAAAATAACATTTTATCTCATAACTTTTTATGTAGCTTTCTCCTTTCCTAGCACTAGCTATGAATTTAGTCCGCGTTAACGTGAGGGAACTGATAAGTCGACTACACGAGCTGCTGTCTGCAGTGTTGTGGTCTTCCTGGGGAAACAAGCATTAATGGTTTCCATTGGCAACCGGGCCCGTGCTTAAAATCATTATCTCGCGCATCAGGACGGTCCCATTCCGAAAAGAGGACAGCGCGAGGAGGCGTTGTTCTCTTACGTACAGCGTACTTCCGTCTGCTTCAAACGTGTGAAACTTCGCGAGAGCTTTTGTTGTATGAGTTTACCACGTTGTCATGGAAACCCTGTGCGGCCGGGCTATTGAATTACAGTAATGGGGCCAATGTTTTCTGTAGGCTACACCGGACGTTCAGTAAAATAATCGGTGAGTAATTTCCATATATAATAAGTCACCATAAGTTTTGGTTAGTAGGTCTATAGGCTGTTTGCAACATGAGGCTTATTGCAGGTATAGACGCCAGAGAAGAAGAAACCCCCCTCTAACAGAGGTTTACAGGTAGGCTAGTATATTTTAGAAAGCTGCCCAGAATTAGGCTACTTAATGAAATCGGTGGCTGTCCGACGTCTTTAGGATCATATTAGGTCTGCTTAGTAACTTCTATGCAGAACATGATTGGGTGAATGTGTGGCGAAAAGTTGGCGTCATCACCCCCCCTGCACAAAGGAGGTTCAGCCAGCAGCAGTGGAGATAGATTCCTTAGATGACAAGTAGCCTAAGTCATGTTTGCAGGCCTAAGGAAAATCGTCCAGATTATGATAGAGAGTTTCACAGTCGTGTTGTGTATGCTGTTGAGGTGGGCCTCCAACAGAGTGAAATGAGGAGGAGGAGAGAGAGAAAAGGGAAACACTGTCTCCTCTCTTAATAGACAGACCTCCAGGATCTCCACCACAGCCAGAGAGTCAATGAATATGCAGAGCAGAGGACCCTTTTGCCTCTCTGTTCCACAAAAAGATACAACCCACAACATCCCAGCAGAAAAAAAAGGAGGGGAGGACAGTCACAGACTTCTCCAGGCTTATCACAGTCTAGCTCATAGCCATGATCTCACAGCCGTTTCTACTGTAAGGCATGTCAGTGGCCCCTGAGTGGGACTTTTATCAAGACCTGTCAAAAAAGATGATTCATTTACACTGGTCAAATTGAAGGTATAACTCATGAAAATAATTAGCTATTGGCCTACAAGTCACTTGGGGTACAACCAAACCAACTCTTTACTGTATGCTGACATTGATTTCAATATTTAGTTTCATGTGCAGGTTTGAAAATTTGAAAATTCTTCAAATTATGTTTGACCTTGTTTCATTTTTATTCAACCATCAGGTGACATCAATGCTGTAATCACTGGGACGAGTAAGGAAAAAGAGAGTGCCTTGCTGACTGATTATGACTGCTGTGGTCAGACCTGGGGTCAGTGTTTCAGGGCTATGTGAGGAAGGGGACAAGTTCCTTGAGGCCGGAGAGTTGGAGAGGGCTACCACACTCTACATGTCTGCCTTTAGGGCTCATGCTGCCTCAACTATGTCCCACATGCGGAAACTGAAGTCCAGCCTGGGTGGAGTGATCTCTACTCTAGAAGGCTGGTTGGATGGTTATGGGGACAACCAGCCTGCTGAGGGTCTCAATAAAGGTCTTGCAGCCGTGTTTCTGTCCACGCTCTGCCCCAACAATCTGTCCGCCACCATTTTCAAAATGGAGTCTCTCCTTCAGAATGGTGGACATAGCTGTGAGGAGATTTTTGCTCGCTGCACTGCTCTGCTTGAAGGGAAGCACAATTTTCATTCACAAGGTAATACTGGCATTGTGTTGGAGATAACACAAGCTCTGGCCTGCTTGTTCTCTGAGCCTCACAGTGTCAAGGGGCTGAAGCTTTACCTCAGGGTTTACCTAAGCAACAAATCTGAAACTGTCACTCTCATTCGAAGAAGACAATCTCAGCACCTTCCCAAAATAGTGGAGGCTTATAGAGACCAACTACTGCAAATAATTCCCTCTTTGATGTTTGACAATGATTGTGCAGTAATGTCAAAGGAGTATGAAAAGCTTGATGTAGAGACTTCTTCAACAATTATTGAGTTTTTGTTAACAATCTCCCCTGATAATAGAGAAGTGCAGGAACTCCAAGCAGCATATTTGTTTTTGATAGGCAGGTTTGGTGACAGTGCAGAGGTTTACTCGGCTCTTTTGAATCATGGTCATTGTCAGAAAACAGAGAGTAGTGAGGACATGTCATTCATAGTAACTCATGAGAGAAGAACAAAGCTCTTAACGTGTCGAGCAGCAGCCTGCTTGTCAGCAGGTGGAAGGACCACAGAGGCATGCAGGGACCTGGGAGAGGCATTTGAGACCCATCCTGCAACTGCCAGGATTTATTTCCAAAAGTTATTCTCAGATCAAGGTGCAGGGATGGCTGCTCGCAATCATCTCCGTCAGGAGGCAGAGAGGGGCCTGTCTGGTTACAGAGAACGGGTCCTCATCCGTCCAGACCTTCGATCTACTGATGGAGTCGAACTCCTGGATCCTGTGATCAGTCAGTTACGGACTCTGTGCCATTTGGAGCCTGACGGCGGAAGCAGAGAGCTGCGGGTACGACTGGCAGACTCTCTTCTACTCAGAGGGGAGCACAAAGAGGCACTCTCTATCTGCAGCCAGCTAGCTTCTGCTCAAGGTCAGCAAAGCTATCAAAACACTGTACAGGTTCTTTGTGGATATGCACGACTTCTCTCTGATGACCACAAGGGGGCGTTAGAAGACTTCCAGGCTGTGATTGAACACAATGCCCCCCACCCAACCAGCTGTGTGCGGGCGCTGTGTGGAAGGGGCCTCCTGCGCATGATGGGCAGCTCAAACTACCTCACAGCTCTGGACTATGTGACCGCCAGCAGGCTGCAGCCTCAGGAAACAGCACTGACTGTTCGCTGCTTGGTGCCATGGAACTACCGGGGACTCCTAGTCACTGTTTTACTGGAGCAAGGACGAGTAATGCTGGAGGGGACAGGGGAGCATGAATCCAGGTCCTGTTCCCATGAAGACTCCAACAACACCAGAAAGGGGATCAGCCACAAGCTCCATCAAAGAGAGAAAACCAGAGATCAGGGTATAATGCTTGCCTCATATATAGTTATAAACTGTAAATTTACTTTTTTTTAGACAATTTGACATGTGATTGTATCAAAGTCCCTAAAGAGTCCTGTCCGTCTTATAAAGGCATAAAAAAGACCAAAATAAATGTCCCAAGACGGACTATTAAAGTCAATGTTTGTAGAAGTCTGGTGATCTGCTAAAGTTTTAAGTAGGCCTCTATTGTCTACAATTCAAAATGCATTGTCAACAGTGCTTTAAAGTCTTCTTAATAAAATTAAAAGGTCCTCATTCAGGATTTTTATTTTGTTGTTTTTCTTTCTTCCCCCTCTGTGCATCAGAATTCCTGCTGGTGTCCACTCCCTGGCTCTGCTGTTGATGGAGCTCCAGCCCGGGAATGATGCGTCTCAGATAATGGCGGCGGATGCCTTGTACCAGCTGGGCCGGGTGGAAGAGGCCTATCGACTACTACTTTCCATTGGGCCCAGCAGTCCACGGGCATCCATACTGGCTCGCCTTGCCCTGCTGCAGCTGCACAGAGGCTTTTTATATGACACCAATCAGGTATGTAGGTTCTAGGCAGTGAGTCTAAAACTCAGATTGTTTTGCATGAAAATGTTTGGATCACCATTTGTAAAGGCGTTGCATTTTTACAATGTTGCCTGTTTTAGTGGTAGCTGGGTGAAAACACAAAACCTGTTTTTTTCTAGGGTTGGAGTAACTGCCTGCATGTGCATTTCCCATTCACTGAAATTGCTCTCATGAAAAAGCCTCAAAAAAACTATATTAAAGATATAAAGGACCACAACGACTAATTTTAAAACCCTCAAGTTAGATTTCTTTATTTGTATTTCTGTTGCGAAAGCATTTGATAGACCCGGTGCCATATGAAGTCGGCACATTAAATCTCAACTTGTCTCAATACTAGGGGAACAGTCACACTAATATAAATACATTGTTTTATTTATATTGCAATAAGGGGGGCATTTAATCATGCAGATCACCTGTTAAAGTCCCCAGTATTCAGATGTATAACTACACACAGCATTTTTCTCATTTTTTCTCAATAAATCTAAAAGAAAATGTTATATCATTTTTGTGAATGGAATGATAAACAGTCAACACTGCCTTTACTCTTCAAACAATGTACCTTTATTATGTCCTATAGGATTGTGACAGTGAATGTCCTTATTTATTGAAAGAAGAAATATATTCCTCCAAATAAAAAAAAACATCTTAGTTAGAGAATGTGAGCCTAAGCGTCTATCACTAATTAAAGATGAAACAAAGGCCTTTTCATTTTCCTCACAGCTGTTGAAAAAGCTCATCCATTGTGGTGATACATGCTGCTTGCGCCCTCTGTTGGCGGTGGCACAGCAAAAGGATCGGACACTCCTGCAGGCACACTGTCACACTGCTGCTAAACGCATCCTGGAGGGCACAAAAGAGGAAAGCGCAGTGAGGGAGGCTGTGGCATATCTTTCCATTGCTATCATGGCCTCTGGTGATTAAAATCTTTTCATGACATGTGGATGTTTGTTATACACAACTGATAGTAATATTATTTAATGAATTTCTCAAAAAACTAGAAAGCCTTACGATGTTTGAACAGCATAACCCCTTTTTTTGAAACCAGGAATTTAGACAGGGGTCCTTTAGTTGTAGCTTACCCCTTTATGACTGATTATATTAACTTTTTGTAAAAGTCAGACGGAATTGCCAAAAATCTCGGACACAACTTTGATGGGCCAAAGTTTTCATAATTCTTTTTAAAAATTGAAATGTAGATGACAATAAAAGTATTTTTTACATCTATGTAATCAGTAGGTATTACAGGTTTGATATTTTGAATGCTTTACTTGGCACATTGTTAAATTGTTTGAAGTTTTGAATTGTTGTCTGGGTTAGGGCGTTTTCTGGCGTAGTGGATGTTAAGAAGTTTAAAAAAATTAAAGTAGCGCAAAAATGTGATATTTCATATTTGTTTCATATATATGAAATCTTTTGACATTAAAAGTTTGTGTGCTAGGGCATTATTTGTCCCAATTCTCAAGAATGGGTGAAAAAGCAGGCAGATTGTTTTTGTTTTACAATTTAATTTAAAGACAGGCAACCTGAGCCGAAAAACTGTCAATGTGAATACATTTCAACACATGTCATCGAGCTTCTGAACTGTCATTGGTTAAGGGCAAGTAAATGTATATTTATAGAAAAAGTTAGAAAAATTAAAAATATAAATGCTGTAAATATTTTCATGTCAGTCATATAACTGCATTGTTGTAGGTGGTGAGGCAGATGACTCTTTGCTGGAGAGAGCAAGGTGTTATGCCTTGCTGGGCCAAAGAAAGACTGCCATCTTTGATTTCAGTGCCATTTTAAAGCGTCACCCAAAACATGTTCATGCACTCTGTGGAAGAGGCTTCACGTATCTCATGCTGAATCAACAACAGGTATTCTATTCACAGTTCATCATACTTTTCAGGTGTCTAGACTTTAAGATACATTTTTCAGCGTTACAAATTAGTAGCTGCAACTAGCTGTAAAAGGAAACTTGAAAATCTCAAATTTTAGGAGCTTCACAATGGTCATGTTGATCTGCAAAGCTTAGAAAAAGGGCAGATATGTGAGCACACTTTAAACTATACATGATATCACAGATTTGAATGTTGTTTTCTTTTACAAACATATTTTATTTTTTGTATATTTTGCTGATATGATAGACATAGTTTAACAAAAAGTTGGTATAGCTGTAGGCAATATTAAATTAATAATAAATAAAAAAAATTGAAATCTTTTTCCCTTTAGGAATGCACCAATGATATCTTATCAGCACTTCAGATGAACACAGACATAGTCACCAAAGACATCCTGTCCCTCAAGGACAAGGCACGCAAGCTGGTCTGTGATTGGCTGCATCAGTTCTGTCGATCTAATCTGTCAGACATCCTAGTCACTAACGCTGTCCCCTGCCATGAAGAGCTGCTTAGAAAGGCTTTTATAATTGGTGGAGCTCTGATGAGGACTGATTGCAGAGACCCCAGGTGGCATCTCCTATATGTGGACACACTCTTAGCCAAAGGTGAGATTTGAATTTTCATTAGGATCCTTGATGTCAGCATTCTAGTTACATTACATTATGGTTCAGGCTGTTTCCACTTTGATAAAAGACATTCTATCAGGTACTTCTTGTTTACTGTTATCCCTACCCCTGCTGTTGTGGTCCATCTACTCCAGGTGACGTGAAAGCAGCAGGTGCTCATCTGGGCCAGGTGTTTGGCCAGGAGCCAAGAGATGCAGTGGCTCAAGCCAGACTGGGTGTGGTGGAGGCCTGGCAGAGTAACTATCGCTGTGCGGCTCGCAGGCTCAGCAAACTTAGTGAGAAAGAATCATCCAGTCTGGACTTTCTGCTGTCCTTGATGCCAGTAAATCAGCGAAAACTCATTGCACAGGTATGCCTAGAACAAGAAGCCTCAGTTCAGTATGGAGAGAGCGCATTAATAACGTTGAACGTGATTGCTTTTGTAACATTGTTGTTCTACAACCATCAGAAAATTATTGTTTTTCTGCAATACATTTCAAATGACAGGAACAAAAACATGCCCATATATCTGCTTAGCTATAATTAGGCTATTTGTGTTGCAAAATAAATTATAAGAAAGGAAAGGAAAATACTTTATAAAAAATTCTACTGTTAATTATGTTAATTAAGGATGTGAAGATTAATCGTGAGGTGTCAAGGTTCACATCGGTACTCTGAAAAATTAATCGCAATCCTTTTTTTTTACAGCAGAGGGCGCTATCTATTTATACTTCTCACGCTGTCTGTGGTGTGCTGCCGCTTTGCGGTCTGCGTAGGAACACAGATTAAAGCACTTTTGTGCCATGCGTACTCAGAGGCGTTACAGATCACTGCACGCCAAAACAACCAGACAGAAGAACAGTTTTTCCCCCCAGGCTGTCAGGCCGTAGGATGTCACTTGCGTGAGCGTCAGCAGCTGTGAAGAGGCGGTTGGTTATAACAAGCAGACGTTATCATGGCAGCTGCCATTTCTATTGAAGTTTTTAATCTTCAGTTTTAAATCAGGATGTATTTTATTACTATGCGCAGGTTGTAGCTGTTTTAATTTCGTTTGAAGCTCTGTTAATCTTTCCTTTTTAAGTTTCTTCATATATGTAGTTATGGAAATAACTTTCCCTCTCATTACCACCTTCAGTGTGTCCCATAGAATTATTGGTGATATTTCCTCAGTATCATTAAATTCCAGATAGTCTTTGATGTCTCTGTTCAATTTCTCCACTATTTTGAGGTCATTTAGTATATTTGAATTTGATTTACAATTTGATCTCCTTCTTTTCTTCTCTAGAATAACACACAGAGAAATTGGGCTATGTGGTCTGACAGATCAATTGTAGCAATATTGCAATCCTTTCCATAGGCCTATCTGTGGTAAATTTAAAAAAAGGAGTCTATCCTTGAGTTGACCGAGAGTGGGAAAGAGCAGTGTATATAGTCTCTACTAGTTGGATGCAGATTCCTTCAAACATATATGCCCAGTTCTTCCATAAAGTTTTAACTTTTCTAGTTAGAGGCTTATCATTAGCAGCCCTTGATGAGTCTAGTATAGGATTGAGCCTGATGTTAAAGTCTCCCCCACAAATAACCACCTCCTGGGAGTTTACCATTACATCAAAAATATGTCTGTAAAATAACCATTCACTCCCAGGTGGTGCATAAACATTCATTAAGTGACCAAAATGCCTTCAATTCGTTCTGTAATCCTGACAAATCTTTCACCTTCATTTCTAGTCTCTGAAATATGCTATATATACTGTGTATATATAGCATATTTCATATTATATGTTAATGATTTAGTGTATTGTATACAAGAGTATAGCAACTCATTCATATGTGTTCCTTACAAAAATACTATCTTGGCCTTCTCCTTTCTCAGTTTTGACAAGATCTTGCTTCTTTTAATCGGATATAAAACCCCATTGACATTAAAAGAAGTAATTTCCACTGATTCATCCTGCATTTTGTTGAAGTAAAACAGAATCAGAATCAGCTTTATTGGCCATGTATGCTTACACACACACACACAAGGAACTTGTCTTCGGTGACCTGTGCTCTCAATATACAAAAGTTTAACATTAAATATGAACATAAATAAGCAAAGAATAATATATACGAGGCTAAATAAGACAATAGTGCATGGTAGTAGTGCAAAAATGCTGAGATGGGATTGAAAGAAAATATGTGATTGTGTAACAGATGGTTAATATAACCTACATAAGGTAGAGTTTTTTTTTTTTTTTACAGTATTTACTTTAAAGTGTGCATGAAGAGGACGATATTAAAGTATAGCCTACATGATTAGGTTATTGAACATTAAATGTTTTGAATAGTCTATACATTCACAGGTGGTGATGGTTTAAGGGTTAGCGGTACTTTACAGCGACAGGTCTGACACTCTGTGACTGTTAGACTTTCATCAGCCTGGGGCAAGAAACTGTTACGCGCGGCACTAAAGTGCTTTAATCTGTGTTCCTACACGGACCGCAAAGCGGGAGCACACCACAGCCGGCAAGCGTCATGGTAGTCACAACAAATGAGCAGCTCATGCTGGAAGATCCCCCGCTATCGATAAGGTCTCCTGTGTGGGAACATTTCGGTTTCCCACTTAAATACATTAATGAACTAAGAGACATTGACGAAACGAGATAGTGTGCCGACGTTGCTCATCGGGCACTTCGCTGGCAACAAGTCCAACTTATTAAAATCACTCGAAAAGGCACCACACGAACGTAAACATCACTGCAACTAGGAAGAAGGAGACCGTGGAGCAAACACAACTGTCATTTGCATTTAAACAGCCTTTTGCTAGTTATTCTGAACGGGCCAAGACATAACAAACATTACATTACACGCAGAATGTGATTTTATTGTTTGTCATTGTTTTTATAAGTTCTGCGATGAAACTATTCTGTCCCAGATGTGTTGGCTTAAGAAACCAAAAGGTGTCAGTGCTTGTATCTGCAATTTAAAAAAATATTTTTATATATAGGCTATATTGATTACTTTATTTATTTCATTCATTTATTTTATTTATTGGAGACTGGTTGTACTTACTGGTCGTTGACAGAGAAGACAACACTTGAACATAGCATGCTTCCTTAATGTCTGATGGTAATGTAATTTTATGATTCAATTCAGTAGATATCTTACATATTGGACCTTTAAAAATGGCTTCTTTCTCACGTAATCAAAGTGAAGTCCATTATAATGCAACATATCATACGCTCCCAAACTCCATCTTTTTAGAGGTGTAATTCTGGCATTACCCAAAAGGAAAGAGACGTGAACAATGACTGCAATTCTTCAGCCATCTTTAGTGGCATCCACAAAATGATGTAGTTGGCCGTGTATGGGGTTACCAAAATTCTTTGGATTTACACATCTTTCAACCCTGAATGATGAGAGCAACTTAACTTCATGCAACCACATTTCCCATTGGTTTAAGATCTCTGATGGTATAGCATCGTCCTATCCACAGCTTCTCCTGCAGGGGTCTTGTTGAAACATCTTGGCAGACAGAGTAATTGGTTGTTTAACTTCCATCTTGAATTTAAAGGAGTCTGTCACACCAAAACATACCTAAATCTCTCTCAACAGGAAGATTGTTGTTATCAAGATCAAGTTCTTTTCTGTCCCTCACCCATTGATCTCTGCAATTGTCTGCCACACTGCACGACTGCTGCTACTCCATTTCTCCAAAATGAAACCACCTCTTTTACAGAAAGCACCAATTTACTTTATTTGTTACATGGACACCTCTTCTGAGCCCAAGCTCATTATTTTTATGATTTCATGTGAATATAAATGGATGTGAATGATTTAATGATACTTGAGCCTCTAACCGAAGGTAATTTTCTATCACTATGTGAAAGACAATAAAGATTTTTGAATCTTGAATTAAATAGTCATTCATGTACTGTAAAATTGCTGCTAAACAGCTTGAACAGTCTCTGCAGTGACTCAGCATTTATCTTTTAGAATATGAATATATACATATTCCCTTCTCCTTTAGGAAGTGGATCTTTTCTCTGTGCTTCTTTCGTAGGAACAGTTCGCATTTCTCCAAAAGATGAGCATGTGAAAAACAACGACAGTAAAATATCCCCTTTTTCTTTGAGTTGTTTGTAAAAGAAGTGTCATGATGAACAGCCATCTGTCAAAACTGCGCTAGGCTTGAAAAATGGGATAGAGGGAGGTGGGATAAGATGCAGGAAGAAGGACAGGGACAAACAGAGGTGATAGCAGTAGGCCTTCCCCTCCAACAATCCCGAGGAACCTACAAGACATGAGAGCTCAGGAGCTCCCAGGAAAACATGTGGTTAGTAACTAAGATTTGCAGATAGTCAATGAATCAATCAATCTTTATTTGTATAGTGCCAATTCATAACATACATGCAGTAATATGATGTCAATACACAGAGCAAGAGAGAGATAGGAGCTAGTCCATACCTGTGCCAGCCTTAACTATAAGCTTGATCAAAAAATAATGTTTTGAGTCTATACTTAAAAGTACAGAATATGTCTGCCTCCCGGACCTTGACTGGTAGACAATTCCAAAGGGGAAGGGCATGATAACTAAAGGCTCCACCTCCCATACTGCATTTAGAGAATGTACTGTAGGTACTATGAGCAGGCCTACATTCTGATAGCGTAAAGTTCTCGAAGGGTTCCCTTAATTTGTATGGCAACTTGAAAACAACCATGTTCAAATTTCTGGGCATATCCAATTCTTGCATAATTATGATGAAGTTCTTCCATCACGTTGCAGCATCTGTGCAAGAATAAAGAATTGGTTTGTAAAGATTTGACATCCTCTGCCTTTACTGTTGGCTAGGCTAAAGCCTTTTCTACATATATGTCCATTTCCAATCTTGTACTGGTTCCCAGAATTTTCTTGAAGTGTATGTACAGCGTCATGTGCTGGCAGCTATGAACCAATTCCTTTGGCTGCCAGGAAGTACTAGCAGTCTGCTTAGGTAGCTTTGTCCTCCACTCCTTGTTCAAATGCCTTAATAAAAGCTTTATATTGACATGGATTTCCTCCAAACACAGGAATGTCTCATGCTGGCAAAGATAGTATTCGCTGTTGGTGTGCAAGGGCAGCTGTTATTTTGTTTTGTTGATGCATAATAGTGACAACATCTCCAGATGGAATCTGATAACATTGTGGATGATCCATGTGTTGCCTACTAATTGATTTACCCATGCAGTTGTTGTATCAGGCCATCAGTTTTGTGATGTTTCCAAAGGCTTAAGCTGATTTGGTTCAGGATGTCGCTTTGCTATCAAAATGTGTTTTTCAGGTTGTTTTGTTCGTGCTCACTACTGTTTACTTTGTTGCAATGATCAACCCTTTCCTTATGTGCTGAAGGCTCATATTCCTTGGAAATGGGGTTAAGTGTATTGACTGGTAACAGTTTTCTCTTTTCCGTTTTAAAAACAAGAGTTCATGCTGTCTGTTGGTGCATGAGAAAGACCTTATCCAGCAGAAGCCTCCAAAACGGCCACCTTAGCATTAGATGCAGCCAGTTCAGGCAATTTGGGCAACAAGTGCAGATCTTTTGGATGATGCTTTTATTTGTGCAGAAGGAGTGGTTTTTCACCTAGGGCTGGGAAATTAATCGAGTTTCAATTTCAACTATGATTCTGTTTGTAAAAGCGCTTTGAATTGTCAGTAGAGTAGAAACAAAGAGTGTCAGAAGACTCCTGATGGTGCCAACTACATTGGCAAACATTTAATGTATTGAAAAACAGGTTGTTGCTGAAGACTTTAAACTAGATTACACTTTTTAGCACATTTTTGTGCATTAAAAAATATACAGGGAAATAAGTATGGTTGAACTGGTCAGTAACTTGTAAATTAGATAAAAATCATGATTGTGATCCTGCCATAAAAACATTGTTATATATTTATGTTTCTGACTTTAGGGTCTTTAGATTTCTTCCAATACATCCAAGATTTGAGACCATTCCTCCACAGGTTGAAGAAGAATCTGAGACCTGGAGACCCATGTTTTTTTCTCAAGAACGGACTTGACTGATGAACCTTGTGAAACCATGGTTGCTGGATTGGTGTATTCACATATCTCGGCAGTTACAACTCTTGTTGTTTTACTGTTCATGAATTTGAACGTTTTCTTCAGGTTAGGTGTATGTTGTTCAGCAACACTTTTGTTTGAAGGCATGTGTATGTTCCTGTCCTTTAATGTTAGCCTGATGCAGTAATGACAATCAAGCTCTGCAGGCTTTGAACTGAATCCAAGAACAGCTGGTTTTCTTCTGAACATTCTTGGTCATCCATGACACACTCAGGAAAGTCTGTCTTGAACAGCTGTTACAAAAGCTCAAACAGTTTTACCACTGAAATGATATTGACATCAATGGCAGCCTGCTCATCAGCATCATCAAGCTTTTCCTTCAATGATTCAGTAACTGTCTTGCCAAGCATTATTTTTACAGCATATGGTCCAACTCCACACTCCGTATGACCTGCAGTGGTTCCAGGGCCTTCAGAACATATAATCCAATTAACGACTCTTACTCAGAGTCAATATCTGGCAGTTCAACATTTCTAAAATGACTCCATTTATTTGAAAAACCTTTGGATGCGGAATGTTTCCTTTATGAACAGGTATGGTCCTTTGACACTTGGAATTTAGCAAAGGATGCAAATTGTTGTTCAGACCAGCAACCTCTAGGCCCAAAACAATATAGGTTTCAACAACCTTCTTTTGACCCATCTTTTTCAGGAGAATAGTTGATCTTCTTCCTTAGATCAGCCCCTCAGTGATGAGTGATGCCGTGCTACCAGTATTAAGAAATGTATAGCTGTTGCATTCCCTTTCCTAGCCCTTTCTTGAACAGGCACTATTGAGAGCTTGCAATTATCCCCCAGTGACAACACTATAGGTTGACCTGAGGCTACAGCACTGTTCTCACCTGTTGTCACTTTTTCTGCTTGTTCTTTATCCATTTCAAGTTTACTTTAATGAATATGCAGCAAACTGGATGAGAGTCGCTTCCTGCAGTCTTTGCTGATGTGCCCCTTACACACATTAAAAACCTTACAGAGACAGCCTTTTTTTTTCAATAAATGTCAAATATCCAAAGCATGATTCAGTCCACATAACAAATAAAACTGGCAAATTCACATTTTCCTTTATTCCTCTGTCATTGCTCAAATTTCCTTGTGTCCTTACCCAATGTAGAGGTGTCTTTAATGTCTCTGAATACTGAATCTGTTACTATCCTCACTTGCCTTTCCAGGAAATCTACCATGTCTGGTTTTTCCTGTAAATCACAGACCACAGTTCTACATTTGTCGCTCAGACAATAAGATGGATTCTTTAGGATATCTAGTTGGAAGGCATATTTAGTTTGTGCATGTAGGTGATATCATTAAAAGAATAAATACATCATCCAAGAAACAACGTGCTTGAAGTCTTAGTGTCATCTGCTTTTATTGACATCGACAAAAGAGCCTTCTCAGCTGAAGCAATGTTATGCTCATTTCCAAAATGCTTGTGAAGTAAAGATTTAGCTTTTCTTAATGCTCTGTCCAAACCATTTGACAACTATATGACAACAAACAACTACTGACAAGTTCCCTTTGCTGTCCTCTTGTGTTGTATTGTTTGAGATAATAAAGACAACTCGTGTTTGGATTCTTGCTCTCGATGCTGTAATGACTTTACAAATGTTTTATATTGAAGTGGGTCACCTTCAAAACTTTGAATTTTGCTCCTTTCAATTGCTTCAATTGCTCCTCCTTCTCTTCCTAGGCATATACTGTGTGTCTTGTAAACGTTATTGCCTGATCATTAGTGCAACCACTTCAGCCAGTATGCATGCAGATCGTTTTCATATTGCAATGACCTTCCATTGAAGCCTAAATGCTGTAAATGTGGATAAATGCATTTATCAACTGCATATTTACTCTCCCTTTCCCTCCACACTATGACAGGCAGCAGCAGAGGAAGCCAGCAGAGTGTCATCAGGTGGTCACTGGGATCAGGCCCTTACACTCCTGAATGTTGCAGTACACGCAGTGGGAAATCAAAGACTTCAGTATCTTCGTCAGCGGGCTGCCTGTCTCTCTCAGCTGGGCTTACATGAACATGCTATAGCTGATCTAGATAAAGTTATCCAGAGACACCAGGGAACTGACTCCAGCTGCTCAGATGAACCTCGAGTTTGGGCGGAGGACCTGTGTAGACGTGGCCGCAGCCTGCTGATTTGTTCCAGGGAGGGAGCAGCTCTGGAGGACTTCACTCGAGCTTTGGAGCTTCACAAGGACCAGACCGTCCAGTGTGTGGAGACGGGTCTGGGGAGGCTGTGTCTGGCTGAGTGCTTCCTGCGGGGGGCGCTGCAGCACTATGGAGAGCAGCAGCTCAATAAAGCCTGGGCATTTATTGAATGTGGCCTAATTATCGACCGTGAGAATCCAGAGCTTCGCAGACTGAAGGCAAAGGTCAAACGAGAAGTTACCAGCCCCTGTAATGTCAACTAGTGAGGATAGAATCAATAAGTAGCTCCAGCTGAGGTCACATAATGTAACCATGCAAGTGCCTATACCTTTAAGTGCCTGTGAGGAACTTTTGGTTTAAATTGATTTAGGCAAGCCCTGTGGACAACGTAGTACCTCTAACTTTTTTGCTGATATTGTCTTGATTAGTAATTAGCATTTTTTGATAAAACATCTCATCCTGTGTTCTTTTAACACTAAAACATATTACTCATCATGAATCAGAAGTCACAGGCATTAAACATTACTATATATAAATGATCAGTTTAATCACTGATGTTCTTGTCTGCTGTAAGCTTATGTAGAGGCATCTGTATTAATTTCAGCCTGTTTCATGACCACAAACTCCTCATTGGAGCTCCAGCATGTCAGAAAACGTCATTGATTGGAGCTCAAGTTAAGGGCTTAAATAGGACATGCTTGAAAATTCTTAGAGGACACTTAACATCACACTACATCACATTACGTATACATCTTATGTCTTCCAACTTCAATTCAGGTCTTAAGGATAACTGGAAAGGTTTGTTCTATTATTCATTGTAATTTTTCATGCATCATATGAATATCATTCATTCTTTATATAATTATTATATTAGAGTATGAAAGGTAAAGATTTGTATCACCCCTAATCATTTAAATGTTTAAATATATATTTGTATGTGTACCACATAACGTTTATAGTGCATTAATTACTGAATGAAACATTAGTTGAAACATTGTGAAAAAAGTACATGAAAGAAATCACACCACATAAAATTAAATAGTATTGTTTTATTCAATCCATCACAACCAGATAAGAGATTTAAGAAAGTGCCTAATGTGCAGGTTTTTATGCTCCTAAAATTAAGAAGGCACACTTTAAAAAAAAATCATATCCATTAACTTAGTATTGTTACATGAAAACAGAAATTAATACTGGAATTAGTCCATACCACTGACATTAAGTAATGTTAAAATAATTACAAAATAATAACTTTCGCACTCCCCCTGGTGCACCTGAATTATGTCTGTATGATTGTAAGTATGGATGTAAGTATACAATAATATTTTTATGTTGTTGACTCCTGTTAAGACAATAATTAGACAGACAGAGTTATGTATTGTGGTTCCATGTTGCCGAAGTAGGATTTTTCCCACTCACTCATAAGGTCAAAGTGCAGCGGCCGGTCACAGAAGGTGCAAGATGCCCTGGCCGCGCTGTTGAGCCTGAGCCCAGAGTCCTGCCACACCTCCACCAGTTTCTCTATGAAAAAACACAAGCATTTATAAAAATGTACACGTACATGCAGATATTTACTTCTTTACTACTTTAAAAACAAATATCTAGTCATTAAGATTACTGTGTTATTTGCTGCTATAGCTGGGTTTGTGGAGAAAGTGGATGTCAAGAGACTCATTATTGCTTAAGAATCACTAAGGACAAACATAATTCACTTGTACCAGCCATTGTTCCCCCTTAAATTGATTAGACACTAACAAAAATGACTCAGACCTAATTTCTCTAAGGTTCCCTGCACTCACCCACAAAATAGTCCATCATGGCGGGGTCATGATGAGGAGATGGAGCCAGACGTAACAACTCTTCACCACGAGGAACTGTTGGGTAGTTGATGGCCTGGACATATATGTCGTGTCTCTCAAGAAGTGTGTCACACACCTTACTGTTCAGCTCAGCGTTGCCCACCTAAAATGTTTTTTTTAAAGTGAATTGTTATTCAGCTCCTATTACAAAAGACTTATTTTGACAATGCTGATGCTGGTTGTAGGTTTATGCATCATCCTGACATAAATTGCTAAAAATATGACCAAAACTCCAACCACCACTACTAACTACCAGAAAAGTCAGATGATGATTTGCTGGAGTGATGGTTGTAATGTAGCAGCACTGGTAGACTCTCATACTTGAATGGGTATGATGTGGCTGGGACAGTTGACCACAGGCAGGCCCTTATCCATCAGCAGCTGTCTCATGTGTTTGACGTTCCTCTGGTGGGCTCTGCGAAGCCCCTGGCCCTCAGGACTCTTCAGGACCCGGACGGACTCCAGAGCTCCAGCCAGGACCATGGGGGGCAGGGCAGTGGTGAAGATGAAGCCAGCTGCGTGGGAGCGCACAGTGTCAACCAGGGCGGCGCTGCTGGCAATGTAGCCTCCAACACAGCCGAAGGCTTTGCCTGAAACAGCAACAGAAAAAAGTATGGAAGGGGAGTGGACAGAAATAATTAGAGATAGGTATTATTGTTAATAGTTATGTGACCTACATAACTATTATGACATTGTAGTGCTTATTATACTTTATGTTTGGTTTGATAAAGGTATGTAATAAAGGTAACGTGACCTTGAAGACTACATTTCACATTTAAAGATATTTGATTATGAGCTTATAAAACATACATTTTACTGGTTATACTACCAAATAATATAAAGGATGTTATTCTAAATGGCACAACTGAGACATAATACAATTACTTTGAAAAGTGGTTGATTTTTCAAAATATGCATTTACATATTTTTATTTAATAAGGATTATTGTAAATGGTAAATGGGCCCCTATGTAAAGTGTCAATCAGTAATAACTAATCCCATTCTTCCACGTTCATATGTCACTGAAAAAGCAATGAAAAAGGCTATGAAAGAGCGCTCCGCTGTACACTTGATATTTACAGTCTATGGCTGTTCTTCAACTTTGTTGTGGGAAAATTGTAGCTTGATTGGATGCTACTGCATTTCTTAATCAATAAAACAGCTACTCAAAAGCTATTCAAAGCTACTGAAACGCTAGGCCTACTGTTAAACTACTAACGCCACTATTTAAAGTGACTGTTACTGCTGTTACTTTAACTTTTCTTTCTTTTCCCCCGCTATTGAGCACTTGCAACCATATAGCTTAAGTAAAGTCTAATGTTGAAATCTAAGAGCTTGACAGGGGTTTCCTACCTAAAACCATTCGTCTGTCTTAAAGCTTCACACAGCATGAAATCCCTGTTGATGGTTTTATCAGAGACACCAGAGAGGGAGTAGAGCTGGCACCCAACAGATACAATATCTGCTTTCCCCTGAGCTCACTCATCCTCTCATGTCCTCATTTAACCTACATGTGAGAAGTGACATGCTTTTTCAGAGGTAGCCTATTGCTGCCTAAATTCCAGTTAGTTCAATTGGCTGGAAGTGAGAGTTATTCTAAGAAGAGGGGCAATAATCTAAGACAGTTTGAGGTTGTTTGCCTTGCCCTTGTGAAAGAACCTATATAGGAGAAGGGTTATCAGCTAAGGAGTGGTCTTTAATATATTTTATGCATCGGGTATTTCGTCATCCTGAAGATTAAATAAAACAGGTGGGTAATGAAGGTGGAACATTTTCAGAAAAAGGTCAATACTCACCTAAGGTCCCAGAAACAATGTCAATCTTGTGCATCACGTTGTCCCTCTCTCCCACACCAGCTCCATGTGCTCCATACAGACCCACAGCATGAACCTCATCAACAAACGTCAGGGCTCCGTATCTGTGAGACACATCGCACAGCTCTTCTAGAGGACATATGCCCCCTGAAAGCCCCACAGAATAAGTTGTTTATTTAGAAGTGAGCCATAAAGCTGATCAGCAGGAAATCTGTGCTGCAAATGTCACCACAGTGTAAGATCTTGATATGCATTATTCACTTAAACATATGTTTTATCTACATTGTTTCCAAATACTAATATCTCACTAGCTTAAATGCATAATAAAAAATATGTAGGCCTAGCGCAAAGCAAAATAGAGTCAGTGTTTTATATAGTCATTATCCTCTTTTGGGAAGCAGTTACAGAAATCCATTCAGCGTACTTCAGTGCTTTATGGAGCTGTCAGGAGTGTGTTATTGCACACAGAAGAGAGCTGAAGGAGAAAAACTATTTCCTCCCAGGCAAGACAGTAATGGATAATTTAGACTGAACATTGCAGATTATAGAGATATAATACTCCCAACTGGACTTTGTCTTTATTAGTTATAGATTATGAATTTTATTGATCATTAGGTAGGCCTACTGGACTTAATTTACAAAATACATGAAGAATTCAATGTCGCTACCAATGTACATACAACTAAGAAAATTCCACACTTACTATGCAAACTTTTGTAACTTTCTCCTTTTTCACATTGTAAACTATTATACACAACATGTTATAATTGTATTTAGTAAACAAACATAAAGAATAAAATCTCATATAAAACGGATCATTGTATAATTAAAAATAATAATAAAAGTGCAGTTCAAGTAGTTAGATAGATACACCATATCTCTGACAAATGGAATAAATGACTTAAAATATAACTCTAGCACTGCAAACATTGTTCTCACCGTCCATTGAGTGCACAGTCTCAAAGGCCACTATTTTGGGAGTCTTTGGGTCTGAGCGTTGCAGCAGCTCCTCCAGGTGTCGGCTATCGTTGTGGCGGAATATGAAGCGCTTGGCTCCGCTATTCCTGATGCCCTGAATCATTGATGCGTGATTCCCTGCATCAGAGTAGATTTCGCAACCTGCACAGTGAACACATCATAAAACCAGTGGAGCTGATTTCTCTCTGAACAGTAACACATCCTCATAACATTTTCTATAATGTAATATATCTGTAATATTTGATATAATATAATAATAGGCTATATCACCTCTGAAACATTTCTGCTAGACTTCACTATTCATTACTCTTGAATCTATTCAAGCAAACCACTGTTCAGAGATCAGTGTTTACCTGGAAGCATCTTTGCCAAAGTGAAGAGGGTGGAGTCATTTGCCACAAAACAGGAGGAGAAGGCCAGAGCTGCATTTTTCTGGTGCAGCTGAGCAAGCTCCTTCTCCAGAGAGACGTGAAAATTGCTGGTGCCTGATATGTTCCTGGTCCCCCCTGCTCCTGCACCGTGTCTCTCCAGGGCATCACTGAGGACATCCAGAGCACAATGATGAAGCATCATGCCACAAAAGATATCCAATCCTTTTTTTTTTTTTTTTACATCATATTTCTGTTCAAAGCTTTGGAATATTGGCACATGCTACAAAACCCACTCAATAAATGTGTCTTAAAAGTGGCTGTTGCTGTTATACTGGAAGTACTCCACATTTGCCTCCTTGACTAAAGAGCAGACAGAAATAAAAACATTCAAGTCTCAAAAGTTTAACCTGGTATAACAATGTAGAAATAAAAAACATGGAAAAGAAAGTGATAGGTTGGTCCTTTAACACAACTTTAATAATCGATCATTGACACTACAAATTAAATGGACTTGAGAACCATTATGTAAAATTAAAATCTATAAACACACTATTGAACTGCAGAAATACAGTATTAGACAGCTGAATGACTAGACGAACTGAAGTTTGAGCTAGTCTTTGATACTTGAACATAATAAGGTCACATTTGTATTTCTGTCGCACTTTACCTGATCGCACCGAGAACCTTAGGGTGCCGACTCATTCCCAGATAGTCGTTGCTGCACCAGACAGACACTTGGGAGCCCTCTCGCCCGGAGATAGAATAATCATCAGCAAAAGGGAATACCTCAGCACTTCTGTTGACTGTTTTAAAGACTCTGTATGTGTGGTCCTTCTTTTTCTCTGCGATCTTCTCATTGAAGAAGCTGTCATAGTCGTAGCTGGGGCCAACTGCAAGAAGGACAGTTTTTTTGTTTGAATGAATGCAAATAACAGGT